GGGAGGAAAATGGACATGCCATAACAAACAACAGTTTCTAGTGATGAGCTCAAATCAATGGTAATGTTCTTCTAAAAAAACAAAGAGAGGAGGATGAGCTTCCTGCCATAGTCACTACAGTGTCTTATGTTTCAAAAGGATTCAAAGCTCAAACCCTATTAGTCCACTCATATGAACCAAATGGGTCCCAGTGGGTCACTTAACAGACTAATAAGACTTGATGGGCTTGTGGTGTTGGACAGCATGGCTTGCTGTGGCTTAAAGCTCTGACTTGTGTATTTGCAGTCCCACAGCTATTACACTCAGTAATTATATACACACTAGTCTCCAGAGTGGCCCACCAGTGCCTAAATTACAGTCGGTGGATAAACCACTGCAAAGTAAGAAAATAAAATTACTTGCAACAAACTTAACATACCAAATTCTTTTGCCAACAAAACTAGGACAAGAATTGAAAACAACTCTTTGGAAATGAAGGTCTCTTGTTTACATCCGTTTATTTAGCACATTTAGTTTTCAGTCAGTAAAGATGGAATTTACTGTGAGAAAGGTTATGGAAATTGACATTTAAGTTAATTTATTATGAGAAATGAGAGGATAACAAGTGTTTAATCTGTCAGCATTTATTCCCACTGCTTGCCTTGTAGCATTATATATTGGAGAAGCGCTACTGAATATTTATGGAAACATTTGGCGCTCCTCCAGTATATACCGTGATTTGCATGCTGAAATGCAAGAACTGCTAATGATCTACTACTGTATTACCTTCATCGAGAGTTGTGCATTTTATTTATAAAAGCTTAAAAAAGTCTATCTGGACAGATAGAGTTGTTCAGAGGTGTAGAGCCTGGCAGGTTTCCTTCCAGTGTCCAGCCATAACATTACACCATGGCCACAGCTGCTGTGTCGCCGCTGATCTGTCCCGAAGAAACATGATCCTGTTTATAATCTGACCATCATTTGGATGCAGACTGTCCACGACGCCAGACCCATGATTTACCCCAGTGCGTGTGTGTGTGTGTGTGTGTGTGTGTGTGTGTGTGTGTGTGTGTGTGTGTGTTTTTCTCAGAGATAGATTTACGAGGGCATACTGTATGAGGGTGAGGATATGGTCTTGAGGGACTGAAAGTATCCCACGACGCATGACTTGATGTAGTCCCACAAGTAATAGTACTTCTTCCTCACCAGCATTAACTGTGTTTGGAAACCCTCACATATTGGCAACAAAATAGTTGTGTGTTTGGGTAGATATGAATGTTCGATAATATGTAGGAAGGTTATTCATAGTACTTACGAGTTACTCTTCTGAAGAGCTCTTGTAAATGTCATTGGAAGACTGTGCAGTATTATTTGTTTTGCCTTAGAGAAAATTCCAAACATACATATGTGTATGTTTAGGAACATGTTTTCTGTAACAAACTCGTTATAAGTAATATATTAGGGCAGCTGTGGCTTAGACTTACACTAATCAGAAGGTTGGCAGTTCAATCCCCCGGGTCCTCCCACTGCATCTCCTTGAGCAGGAAACTGAGCATTGGTGTATGATTGAATGAGTTAGTTTATGAATGTGTGTGAATAAGTGAATATGGCATGTAGTGTGAATCACTTTGTGTGGTTGGAAGACTAGAAAGGTGCTATATAAGTACAGTCCAGTACTTTTATTAAACTCATAACTTAGCAGTTGCTCTATCTATCATCTGGCTCAATTTAAATTTACTCAAGTATTCAGTAACAGTTGTTGATACAAATGAGACATGCATTTGTGTTTTTGTTAAGAAATGCTATTTAAAATAAATTAAATCAGATGGCACAACATATTGTTTCTTCTATAACCACTGTAATCATATCGCACAGAATATTTTACAGTTATCTCTGATGGAAAAACTCCTGTATGTAATGGCGACAGACTCCCATTTTTTGTACTGCAGTTTGTTATTAATTATAATTACAGTATATCAGTAGTAAGTTAATATCAACCACTGTAGGTAGAGTTCAAATGCTAATGAGAAACCTTGTGTACTGTAGCTTCAAGTTGTTGCTGTTTGTTGTGTGAAAATGCAAAAAAAATGTAATAATATTTTTATATAATATATAAATTTGGGGTATCTCATAACGAAATTGTTTCTTGTTTCAACTAAACAGTTTATGTTGTCGTAAGAAGACTGTTTTGCTATAATGACCATGTTTATTATGACTCGTATTCAGTTAAATGGGACAAGGATTTCAGAATTACTGTTCTCATTTCGTTTACCATCTTCTCATCTGAAGGCTGTAAAATCTTAAGCGTGGCCAAATACATGTTGATGTCATGCCATCCATCTGGTGCCACTCATCACAAGAACCAACTGCTAAGACAGTTTACACATTCATGTCAGGATATGGTTGCATACCTTTTCCAAAATAAGCCCCAGTAAATGATAGCCACAATTATGAGGCCTTTCCTGGTTGATGTGCAGTGAGGCCCAGAGTTGTCATAGTGTTGAAGCAAATCTCTGTTAATGCATGGTTCAAACCCAGAGTTACTACTCTGAAACTACTACCTGGCTATGTGCTTTCATCATTACACAGCCTTTATATATCTATGGGAGATCCCTAGAGATCCCTACTTACTTGCATGGAAACAGAATGTGTGTTTACATAGACTTTTTTATGTACTGTAGCGTAATATAATTTGTACAAATGGAATTACTGGGTGCACTGAAGGAGAAATAGCTGGAACATCTGTGCACTGTACTCCTTTGTGCTGAACATACAAACAGAAAGAACAGAATTAAAAGGTGCATTCTGATTGTTTTGATTGTGCAAACTCTACTTTTACTTATTTACTTAAAACAGAAATTTAAAATCTACAATGTATGCTAGGATTATTATCCTATACATATCCTATACACATAGGTGGGAAATGCAGTTCATAAACTGTACATATTGTTATACAGTATTAGCAACTTCCAGATTGATGGAAGTGAGTCGTAATAGAGAGTAATATTGTACAGAAAAATCATGTGACCATTTTACCCACATAATTCACCACAAATGCTCTCTTACCAGGATTAAAATCACTTGGAATTACTGATAAGCAAAGGTATTATTGAAATCACCCAGCCTCAACTAGAGAAATACATCTTGCCCAAATGGGACTAAATATTAATTCAATATTTTCAATGTTTGTTTTGAGTCCGTGTTCTATATATAGCATAGCATTTTTTTAAATATTCTTCTTCTAGTTGTACTTTTGATTAATAAGATACTGAAGTCATGCCATCCATAATATTTGAGTAATGAAAGAGTTCTAGAGCGATCAACACTAACATTCAAACAACAGTTACTGTACATCACATTCCCAAAACTTAACAACGTGTGTGTGTGTGTGTGTGTGTGCGCGCGTGTGTGTGTGTAAGGCAAGGCTAGCCTTTTGTATGTAGTTATTTACAGACATATATGATCCCCACTGCAGCCACTGTATGCTTTCATTTGTAGTATCTGTCATACACACTAAGTCCTGTGATGACACACGTGCATTTATTCACGCAGCGATGCAACAGTCTGTGTTGTGTCTTTGGCTTTTGATGTGTGCCCTATTCATATCAATCATGCTCCCACACTGAAACGGTTCCAAGAAAAGGTCTCCATATAGCAGGAGACAGGCATCACATATGGCTACAGTTAAGTAAACATGGTATTCTGTATCATTTATCAGTGCCATTTAGGTTATTTATGTTTCATATATGTACTGTAAAGTATTTGCTGAGGTCATTAAGTCTTTCACTCAGCTGGAAGAAGTTATGTTCCCACATTTGGATTCCATGGGTTTAGGCTTGGCTCAAACATCTTTCTGAACATGACAGGCAGCATGTGTTAATTTAATATAAACACTTTTGTACAGTGCTGCATACTAACATAAGTAAAAGAGAATTGAAAGTATATAAGTGAGCTTGTTGTCCTACTATTTAACACTTCCAGAGCTCTTGTGAAAATATATTAGGAACTAATTTGCAGTTTATATCCCTTTGATCGGCACTAAATCACGTCTGTTCACAGTGAAAACACTATAACACATTTTATATGTCAGATGTCCATCTTATACTCTTTGTCTCGTTGATAAAGCAGTTACTCAGAAATACGCTCACTAGCTTTCTGAGTCATTCATAATCATTTTCATCAGTATCTGTAGGCCATTCTTATCCATTACACATTATCTTTGTATCCGTTTTCAACACCTCCTATCCTATTCAGGGTTGATGGGACACTTGGGCAAAAGGCCAGGCACACCTTATGTTGCTAATCAATCACAGGTCTATGCAACCATAGCTTAATAATCAGAATGGCTTTTCAGTTCATTTATATGAATCAGTGAGTGGGTGTTAGTTCTAAGGTCTGGATACATGCTAGTGGTACTTTAAAAGCCTGGAAGTTCTGAAGTGCAGTTAATGATTGAGTTTGTCCCTCGGTTTGTCACAATTCATGTGTAGGAGGTCTGTACTCCAGCCTATAGGTTTTCTCAATATTGGAAAAATGCAATGTGTGAAAGGCATTTTAAAATTGAGCTGACTTGCAGTCAGTTGCAGTATGTCAGCATACTGTAGCGTTCCTACTCCTAAACATCATTAATCTCTCCAGAAATTCCTTGCACAGAGATGCTGGCTCTTAAAGTAGCGTGATTTGCATCAAAGTAAAACGAATGAAATTGGCAGATTTCCAATGTAATTGCTTATATGTAAAATTTAATACAAAGAGTTTAGTGTCTTTTAATTGCAGTAACTAAATTACTTATTGTAGCAGTCTTAGTAAGATCATTTTGTAAATGTAGATAAATAGATAGATAGATAGATAGATAGATATAGATAGATAGATAGATAGATAGATAGATAGATAGATAGATAGATAGATAGATAGATAGATAGATAGATTTTTTTTCTTTATTTATCCCGAGGGAAATTCAAGCACTAGAAAAGTGAGACTAAGACTATTTTTTGACTAAAATACTTTGTTTTGTTTTCCAGGAAAGTGTATCCCCCTGCAGTAGATCAGTAAGAAGTGCTCTTCAATATGAATACAGGTATACAACCGCACACACACAAACCACATGCTGCATGAATTCTTTGGGGAATCATCCGTCTATATCTATTGGTTTTGTTTTGTGCATTTCATCATGCATTTTTTTTTTACATTTTAACTGAACATAAAACTATTATTTATATTTGATACTTCACAATGAGAAAGTCAATGTGTTTCCACATTTCAGACCACCTAGTTATTTTAAAAGCCGCTATGTGTGCCAGTTTTCCTCTACCACAGGCATGAGTCTATCATTCTAACCCTGACCCTGTTTCACCGCTTTGGTGGTGGTCCATTTTGGGCATGGGTTACTGTGACTGAAAGCATCAATAAGTATAATAAGCCTGTTCCTTTTAACCACAATGACACATTCCCCCTTTAGTACATTCCTGAAGCTCTGTCCTAAACTTGGCAGTCATCCCAAATGTGTATTTCAGCCGGGGAATCAATGATGAGTAATCCATCTTTGAGTCTTCTCCACACACCAACACTGTGTGTGGCTGCCAGTGATAGCTTGACTCATCTTGGTTCTTCGCCTGTGTTTACGATGTGGAAGACAAAACAAAAATAGCTTTGTCATGTGTTAAAAGACAAACAATGACACTGCCCGAATTAGAAAAATTGATTTGATGAAGAAACAAAACAACAAAAAAGCTGACATTTCCCCTCACCAAATGGTTAGTGAGTAACTACAAAATAGCTATACTGATCATACCATATATGTCCAAAAAGCAAAACAAAACACTCCTACGAGACAAACTAGATCAGTAGCCACTGTCTGCCACAGGAAGTAGTAACACACAAACCTAATACAGGGGGTTTCCAGTAAACATATTTATTTAGTTTGATATTTAGTGATATTGACACTTGATTTCTCTATTAACAAATGTCCCCCATGTAAATTTCATTAGTCCTAAAGTCTTGACCCTCTTTGTGATTTTGTAAGCCTAATTCAGAAGCATCCAATACAACATCTTCTACTTTACAATTAAATCTTGTAATTGGGCTGTATACCAGTTTCTTCTCATATCCTGAGCTCATGCACTAAAAATCTGGCTCTTTAAGTGCATGTGCTTTGCCTCGTCTTTGCGTGTTATGTTGGCTGGAAGCATTTGTGTGTGTGTCTTTGTGTATATGCATGTGCACGTGTTTGCTGCTGCTTCTGCCTCTATGATCACCTGCCTGGCTGTGATTTCTCAGATAGCGGAGGATTCGCTCGCAAAAGTGTGGCCTTGTCACTCATACTCTCTCCCATGAAGAGGGTCCAGAGCTCACCAAATCTAGGCACAGGTACTAACACTCACAAACACTCAAGAAATGAACACATCTTTGAATAAGAAAATACAGACCACATCAGGTATTGACTCTACTAAACTGTGAAAGAGGTAAGTCTTTAAAAAGTGACTTGTTGTTTGGGCTCCATCAAGCTGATATGGTTTGAGCATATTTGAAATTGTATCAAATAGCCTGCGGCTGCCCCAGTTTGCTTAAGCAATGTTTGGACTACGGCATGCTATTTTTTTCTAATCAGTTGATTGTATAATTCTTTTGTTTCCTTTTTTTAGTCTCCTCCGTCCTGGGCTTGTTTTTGCTTCCTAAATCAGTCATACTGTACTTAGCTGTTGTTGATGTTAATCTTCCTCCCTTTTGACAGCTCTCATATGTCATGCTCACACACTGCTCCATGCCATTCCTCCCTCTTTATGGGTGGTTTAGTGTGTTCTTCCTGTTGTCTCAAGTTCTTCCTGCCTCATTTTTACCCATTACTCTTTTTCCTCTAGACATAGCACAGCTCCCTTGATCCTAAATTCTGCTTAATTCTTCCTGATCAGTGTTTTAGTTTAATGCAATAAAACTTACAAATGTTGTGTATATATAAGCCCCTTCATCCTAAAATTGTTGCCTTTTCCTTGTCACATTTAATTTGAAATCCTGAAGTTAACAGGAATAACTGAAGAGCTTTTTACATAGCGGGGGAGAAGAGCTGAAGCTAAAGTATATTCTGGGCTTCCAGGGGATGCAGCTGGTCAACCCCACCTGCCTACTCCTTTCCTTTGCTGAAAGAGCAGTGTTTGTGCCTGAACCTTGTCAGCATCCAGGTTAACAGCTGCCCCTATGTAGGCACCCCAGCACGGTCAGCTTCCTTTTAACAATAGTAGGGCACTGTGTGAAAGCTGATAAATTGTTGTCCGATGTAGAAGCTTTGGGAGCATGGTAGCACTGATCAAACCACCACTTAGACGGCTTAAGGATCCTGTGCGTAGCCACTAGAGCTTGTTTGTGAAGGAGACATGCAGGCGTCAGCTTCTAACGAACCCTCAGCCTTGGCAGGGGTGTACAGTTCAGTCATGATTACTGTTTAGCATACTGTTATACGTGGAGTCAGCTCTCAAAAATCTACAATGATGTTTCCTAGGAATACAGAAATCACCCTTCTGCATGGTTCCAACACTGTAAACTAGAGAGCGGAGGTTAAGGAGCCAGTTGAGAGTGTTTCGTGTGTTGTGGCATGATCCATCCCAGCTTGAGCCATTCCCGCTGGTAAAACTATCTGTCTATATTTCCGTGAGCTAGCCTACATAACCAGCCACATGGAATCAGTTGACATATTCACACAATCATAAAAATGTACAATTAACCATGAGTGTGTAAAAGCACTCAAGAAGAATTTGATTAAAGATGAAATAATTCCGCTTTATTTAAATCTGGTGTATATCCCATAATTGTGGCTATTTTGTGGGTCTATGGCTTTTGCTAACTTTGCACTGGCCACCTCTGACGTCAAGATTTAAAATAAATGAGGACTCAAAACAACATATATTTTAGGGCAAACTGAGTGAACCTCAAACAGATTTTTACATAAATAATTTCTAACACTCTGAGTGTGACTGAAAGTAAACACAGAAAGAAAAACAGCCTGCACTCATTTCTATAACAGAACCAAAATCTGATAGAACATACATGTACCCACTGCAGCCTTCTGAAGTAAGCCTATTTTCATATAAATAAGCCATTACCATATTATTCATTTATACTGGTAATACTGTGTGAGTTTTGTTTTTAGAAATCTGTAATTTCTGTGACTTAGAATCCTAACCAATTGTTAGTTAGCTCTGTGAATTAGTGTAGTTGTCTTGTCACTGTTTTATCGTCAAAAGTTGACAAAACGACATTATCCGGAGAAAATGCTTGGGCTTTCTGCGATTTACCGGAGAGGAATCATTAGTGGTAGTAAAAGCAGTAGTAGTAGTTCATGGTGATTACAAGATCAATTGGTGGACAGGGCCTTTTTCTCGAGTTTCACAACCACCGTAGTTTCTCCTACACACGCCCGTTCTTATTCCCAGGTTGTCAGATACAGACGCGAGTGGTGTTCAGTTAGTTCGAATCTGCAACTTCACTGCTAGATGCCACTAAATCCTACACACTTGTCATTTAACATACATAATTTATCTGTCCTATGCATTTTCCTCTTCAGTCTGTCTTTTCAGACCTGTGTTTACTCCCTTAACCCCATCACCAAGTCTCTGTTTGTCACACTGAACATACTCACAAATACTTTGTGAGACAACAGCTATACAGTAGTATTGATGTTTGTTGCAGTGGCGATTGTGATCACACACTTATTGCTGTGTCTTCTCTGTTCTCCAGGGAGTGATTCTCACTCATCAGACTTGGGTAAGTCTCTGCTCCTTATGGTGAATTCAGGTGGAAAATCTTGACATTGCGCATGATAAAAGGCGCTATGAAACACCCCGTAGGAGACCATAAAACATAATCAAAACACACCGCAGTGTGTGATGTTAATATTATTAACTTTATCTTCAGAATCCTGGCGGTCACGCAGTGTAACAGATGGCCTTAAGAACGGAGATGCCAACAGCTCATCTCTTGCTGCCAAAGGCTTCCGCAGTGTCAGACCCAACCTACAGGAGAAAAAGTCTCCAACACAGGTAAAATGTCTCACACACCACACTGACAGATGTTGACATTTGCATTTTTTCTGTTGTACTATTATTTAGAGTTTAATCAAAGAAGTGTGTTTGGCTTGTAAAAGTCTTTTTTTGGAATTCTTATTCTTAATGACAACACATACCATCATAATTAATGGATCATTTACACAGAACCATACTGTAGTTGGAAGAACTTGATGATTATTTGTATCAAGCTTTGAATTGATTACTTGTTTGTTGTTGTTGCTTGAACTCCTCTTGGCTGTGGAATTCTAATTGCCCAACAAGGATGTCAATCACGTGCCCCTGCCACCCCCCAGGAGAGAGAGTTTCCACTTTTCACCCACTGGCACTAATCCACCAGACTACAGCTCCCTCATTACCTTGGCTAATGATTTTAGCCCTGGAACGCTAACATTCACTCAGAATGAGAAAGCAATTTTGAAAGAGTCCTACACTATTCACAGCGCTTCTTCTTACTCCTACTCAGAGAGCAGTGAAAACCCAGTCCAACAGGCACACCAGTCCACTGTCCCAAATGATGTTAGCAACTGTAGTGCAACCACCACCACTAATACACAAGCCCATGAGCGTAAGGTGTCTTCCCTCAAACTAACCCCGGTCACCATCCCTGACCCTCCGGCTCACTGCAACTCTAACCTTGACCCCCAACCTAAGACCCAGACAACAGGTTCCCCTTCACCCACTCCCCAACCTCCACAGAGGGCCCCCATCCTGTCTCTACCCCTGACACAGACTGCCTCGCTTTCTGTCCATTTGGGCCCCGAGAGTCTGAAACATCCAGAGCCTTCAAACAACACAATGGAACTCAAGGTCCCAAATCAAAGTCCACCTCCAGCCCAGGTGGAGATAATGAAGGCTCCTCCTGCAGTTCCACCAAGACCTTCTCCTGCAGAACTGTTGGTACATAAGTGACTACATACTGTAACAATACAACAAACAAGAGCAATGATTTTGTCAATTTTAAGGTTACTATAATACAACATCCCCGGGGTTTTGTCTTTGTGACATCAAGAGTGATTAAAGGGTAACACACTGGCTGTGTTATTTCATTTGAGGCTCTTAGTATACCATAAACACCCATACACACCAAAGAAGTAGTCAAGCTACCATAGCCGGGATGTGCCAAGAGAGACAGGGTTTTTTTCTGGTGTCTTTTCTGGGGACAGTGGTGTTCCTTGAAGCTGGTGTTTGGCCTTACATAGAAAAAGGGAGGTGCAGTTGTTTTAATGCACGTATTACACTGCTTATGTGTGTTGCCCTTTAGTTTGCTAGTCTTGGTGCTGCCATCCAACCAACCAAACTAATTGTGGTTCTGCATATGTGTGAACTTATACTGTATATGTGATAACCAACTGTTACATATATTTTGTACCACTGTTACTGTATTTGCTGCCTTCCAACAAGTTTGAACTAACAGAGCCTCTTCAATTCACAGCATCAATCATGTTTCGGACGATGATGCTGCAGCCTCATGACACCTCATTGTGATTTCACAACAGCATTTCACCTTCTGTTAGGCTCACGTGTTACTTCCACACATCCTTTGTGACAACACAGCTAATGAGTGATATCACTAAGCACTCTCCTCATCTCCTCCTTTTCCAATCAACTCCCTCTCCTTCCAACACCAGGGGCCTCCCTCCCCTGACCCCACAGCACGGCACTCCCCCTATCGCTGCCACAGCTCAGAATCACTCGACTACCTGTCAGGCCTAATGCCCAAGACTCTATCGCCCACTCCGTATGTTCCTAGTGGAGCTAGCAGCACAGCTGGTGCAGTCAGCGGGCCGAGCCTTACCGCAGTCAGCAGTGCGAGCATCAGTGGCTGTGTGTCACCCTCGGCTTCCCCCCTGACGGTGTCAGCCCTCAGCCACTACTCATCGTCCACGGCGGGTCTGCTGGATGAGCTGCAGATCTGTAGCCTGGACTCACCTGGCGCCTCACCCACACCATCGCCCACCCTCAGCCATGTCTCTACCTACACTTCCACTGCTGGCCTTGATGATGTGCTAACAACCTCTGTGGCCTCCACTGCTGCAGCATCCACTTTCACTAACGTAATTATCCCAACAAGTCACTGCAGTAACACATATCATCACCAAAACAAATGGTTTCCTCTCTCCCTCCACTCATTTGGATGGCAGAACCAAACCTTCACAAAGTGTGTTATTACTATTGATTTTTACCTTCACTAACCGCCAACTACAACCTACTTGTCAGACACCAAAATTAAATTCAGCCCACTAGGTTCCCTCACTATGTTCATGTCTGTACTCATTAGAACACTGTCTATGTGTGCTTGTCTATGTTTCTCTTTGTTATGCCTTTTTTTTGCAATCAAATGCAATTATACTCTCTCTTAAAGGCCGGTTCACATAAAAAATTCATGATGTGACAAAACCATTTCCAGAGAAGTTAATGTAGCAGAGTGAAGTTGGAAGCTGTTGGCTGCAGGTTTCTGGCATCTGCAAAGACTGAACCAGGGTGGCTGTAGTTGTGTTTCCTGTTCACTCATTATATTGCCCCACAGAATGGTACATCTGTAGATTTTTATTTTTTATTATTATTAAATGTGCATGTGTACAAGACTGATATTAAGGTTGAATTGACATTTTGTTAGGGCTAGATAATCGAGTTTATCATTGGCTTCCAAGCCAGAAATCAGCTTGGTGTCAATCAAAGTTGCATTGCATTGCCACGTTTTACTCTGAACTTCATGGTTTGCATCTTCCATCAGTGGCAGTACTGCTCAATGTCATTGAAGTTTTCATTTTACTCATTGCCCAAGCACAAAACTCAGAAGAAGTCAGAAGTAGGGAGCGCAACAGGACCAGCATGTTCGCAGAGCTGCACCTTCGGTCTCCACATGTGTTTACACAGGATGTGTTCAGGCACAGTATTGAGTGTGAGTCACTTGTGTTTTGGTAGCTCACAGAGCGTGAAACAGAAAAAAATTTACTTAAAGCATAAAAATACACTGTGGTCATGCATGTATAGAGCAAGTAAGGTATGAGCCGTTGTGCAGCCTGTAGACAGCTGGATTGTTCAAATAGAGGTATAGATAGAAAATGTCTGTTCTGTCAGACGTGCATGAGACTGACCATTATTAAACCAGACTGAAACATCTCCTGTGTAGACACACTGTTGGATACACTGGCAACCGAGTGTTTGTGTGTCCGCTTGCGTGTTTGATGTGAATTAATCACTTTTAAATTGCATTGGTTGCTAGGTACAGTAGTCATTGTTTTTTTTTAAGCTATCATGAATCTTTGATCTGAACACACAGGCCTTTAAATAAAATGTTTTTATACTTTGTCAGATGAAATCATATGTTCCTGTGTCATGTTGAATGGGAGAGCATTCTACAGAAGAGCCTCCCATTGTAACTGTATCGTGTCCATTGTCTTGTTTATGTCACAACTAATTTATAATGAAAGTATGTAAATCTGAAAGAGTTGTGTTTGTTTTCCATCGCTGCTTTAATCTCTTCTGTCTGTTTTGAAGTGAAGTAATTCAATAAGTGCCCCTTTCCCTCACTAACTGTTCTTACATTGCACAGTCACTTCAGATTCAGCAGCTCCTATGAATCACATAAGCCCCAATATCTGTCTACATGTACATTCATTTCCATACTAGGTTCCTCTACACCTTCATATGTTATAGCAATATGATGACTAATAATGGATTTATAAAACTAATCATTCTCTTGTTTTGCTAAATGTGTTTTACATGTACACTTATCACCTATTGTTGTAGGGCAGAGCAGCAATATTCTCCACTATAGTAAATGGAAATTTGTACATTTTTCTGCCATTTGTAATTGGTAGTGAATGACTCTCTTTCTGGCTTGTGGGTCACTTCTAGGGCCAGGTTCTCTCTCACGCTATGAATGGAAGTACTAGCCATCCACAGAGGCCCCTCTCTCCCCCATCCTACCCTCCTCCCCCGTCCTCACTCCACACTGGGCTCCAGAGACAGAGCAGGAGTTCAGGTGAGTGGCTGACCTTCCACCATATTTTCTTCTACAACATGCTTGGAAGGGCTGTGCTGTATTCAAATGGTTGCAATCTGCTTTACTTTACTGCTAGAAGCCACAAAATTCTTTAAAAAAAACCTGCCCTGATATGACTGAATTGCTTATAATTTCAAGAATGTGTTTTTTACAGAGCTATAACAATTAAATAGTTAATAGATATTTAGGTAAAGTATTTGTTTCAATTCCAGTATATGTATATACCTCAAACCATAACCATTCAGTTGTGTAGCACAGTAACACATTAATTAGTACAAAATGGAGGCAAATATTCTGGTTGTTCTTGTACTACTCAAATCTTAAAACATAAAAAAGGGCAGTCAGTCTTGGTGCTGGTTCAGTATTCACTATTTTAGCTGGTGTTAGGTGCCCCAACTTTGTTTGATTATTAGTAGGTACATCTAACAGTGCGTCTTCCTCTTTTAGAGGGCAGCGAGTCAGTCACCAGAGAGTCTGTGGTGTCGGGCCACACCAGCGTCAGCAGCACTGTGCCCATTGCCCACTTCTCAGAAGAAGAGAAAAAGGTGTCCGTCATTAAAGCCCCTCATTATGAAGGCATCGGCCCTGTGGATGAGTCTGGCATCCCTATTGCCATCCGTACGGTGAGGTCAAACACACACACACACACACACAGAGCTGTCCACACTAGTTTGCATACTGTAGCGTTGTACAGTAGTGTCTTTTGACCCATTGTTGTCTTGTTATGTGATCAGGTTCACGAGAGGGGATTACTTTCAGCTGTCAGCAGCTTTTGACCCCCTTTCTCTCTTACTCCCACTATCTCTTAGTATGTCTTTTACTCTCCCCCTGTGTGCTAGTTATAGAGGAGTTCAGAAAAGGTCTTTGCTTTAGTACTTGTCAAAGTGTGCAGCTGTGTGTTATCTCTGCTAAGGCTTTCTGTATCACTGTCCCTCAGATATCCATTTCTTGAAGAATGGCATTTAAAGACTAAAGAATGAGTGAGCAAGAGAAAGTTAGAGAAAGAATGAAAGACGGGCAATAAAAGCAAAGAGAAAAGGTGGAGGGAAAAAAAGCAGGAAAGAAGAAAAACAGATGCTCCTTGTTGTGAGCAGACAAACATTTTTGTGGGCACTTTATTTGGTAGCCATGGAGAGTGAAGTGGTAATTGGCCCGTCTCTTGGCTGTGCCAATGCTACATGCTCAGTCACACACACTCCTTCACTGTGGAGCCAAACTGCCTCTTCTCTGACCAGAGTTCAGACACAGTGTTTAGTGCTACTGAATAAAGACAGGATTAAGTCTTCCTGCCATTTGATAGCTCTTTTTTGAAGTGGCTGTTAGATCTATACTGTACACACAAAGACACACATACCAGGGTTTCTCCTGGATTTTCCATGCAGAACACCAGAAGCTCCCACTCTGATTTTGTAGCAACATGGCTTCTGTATCTTCTACGCTGCCAAACCAAATCTGCTGACATTGATTTCTGAAAGTAGCCCGGATCAACATTACACACAAATGTTCTACATGTTTGGATATTATGGCAATTTATATATGTATGTTTAAAAGTTGAAATATACTCCACAAATGTTATAGACTGACCAAATAACACAAAAACATTACTATTACTAGTATTTTAGTATAGTAGTATACTATATAACAAAAAATGCAATGATTAAATGCCACATCTTTTTTTCTTTTAAAGTCACAGTAAAACAGAATTTAGTGTTTATCTTCTGTAATGTGACCTATTTCCAAGTGAAACAGGATATGTAAGTGAGGTATAATTATGAGAGATTCTTTGGAAATGTAGACCTTTTTGCCATCTGACATCCAAACACACACTCCTACTATGATATTGCTCTGCTAGCTACTTCAGTCCACGAGCTAACAGTGAAGTGTGGTTTTACATGATGGCCGGGGGTTAGCTCATTGCCCCAAATCACATTTGATTGGATACATTTATGTATACAGTACAGTCCCTGTGTTTAAGATGAGTCATCTAGTGTATTCCAATGTTTTACAGAAAGAGAAAGGAGAGAGATTTTGACATACACACACAAAACATATAAAAAAGATAAATGAAAACACTTTGAACATTTATATTTTATTTCAGTGTATCTTTAATAGATCTCTTAGATATGTGTGTGAAAACAATGAAAATCAATTTTCAGATTTATCATCAGCTATAGCTGAAACAAGAGAGACATATTAAGAGCAGCTTCCTTGAATTAAGTTAAAACAGTGTGATGCAAATGCTTCTTGACAAGATTATTCATGTTGGACACAAAAACAGAAGATTTAGTCAATCTTAAATCATCCTACATTTCTTTCATTGAACAAGCTTGATCAACATTTCCTAAAAGCATGATATGGAGAGTGTCTTTAAATACGATGAATGTATCTTATAAATAATTTATTCATGTCACAGCATAAGTTGAATTCTCTGTGAGGGAAATATGGATCTCTAGAAAGGCTGAGGGTGTGTAATGGCCTATAAAACGGTGTGAACCCTTTCGACGTTTATGTTGCGTTTCACGGCACATAAATCTTTATGATGATTTCTCTCTCTACAGACGGTGGACAGGCCTAAGGACTGGTACAAAACTATGTTCAAACAGATCCACAAGGTTCACAAAGCAGGTAAGTAAATACTGAATCACACTGAATGGCAGAAATTTCCCATTATTTGATGCGATTGGTTTATCAGACATTATGAGCAGAATTGCTCATGCACACACCCATACAATATGCGTATGTGTGTATCATTGTGTGTCTCTGCATGTCACCTATTGTTAAACCAAAAGACCCAAAGGACCTCAGAGCCAGAACTCATTAGATGAGGACAAGAGAGTTTGGAGAGGAGGAGGAATTGAGAGAAACCTCTAATAGACACTCAGCTGTCCTGGGAAATCTGCTCTAATTTTGTGGGCTTGACAGACTCACAGTCATTACAAGGCTTGTTTGTTCATAACTGCTCAGGCTTCTTCTCCTGAAGCACACATACAAACATACACACAATTTCATGATTGTGTGTGCCTAAAAGAATGTTTGCATGCATCTTGGAGAGTTGATGAATATGCACATATTCTCTGTAAATGTATAAAGCAATATTCCATTAACCCCTGTAGAATTTGCAGAAAACTGCAGCTTCAACTTCACTTTCATAGTATCATAATTATGTCAGAATATGGGCAATACACTGCTTCTAAGGGTTGCTATCGCCCTTCTTAAAAGAAAAAAACACATATTGGAAAAACAATAGTTTGAAACACGCTGAGCTTGTGGATGAACAGAGGAGAAGTGGTTTATGCTGCTTGGGTGGTTTTGATCCTTTCTGCTGTGAAAAATGGCCACTATCTGAAATTACTTTGTTACTGACTGTTTTCAAGCTGACTAAAGGTGATGTTCTCCCTGGAGAGGAAACTACAAACTTGTAAATGATTATATTATCATTATAAATTATGTTTGTACATGTATACCAACCAGTCTTTGTTCCTTTCATCTACAGATGATGACTATTCTGACACATACAATGCAACATATGCTGTCATTAACAATGGTGAGAAATGTTTTAAGTAATGTCGTCCCAACCCATTTGTCTCCTCCTGTCTGGCTTGCTCTGCTTCATTACTTCGCCCTCCGATGTCTCTTCTGCCCTATCCTTAACAGACGACTACAGCCTGTCGTCCAACACCACCATGGCCCACCCTGCTCCCCGGACACATACATACAGGCCACTCGCCAAAAGCCCCTCGGACAACGGAGGTCATCTGGGGCCTCGGGAGCCTTCGCCATCCCCTGTACCCCCTCCACCTCCACCTATGCCATCTCTCCTCCAACTGAGGGCCAGAGACAGTGACCGTGATAAAGACTTGCCTGACGCGTAAGACAAACTTTGCCTTATCTCTTTCATGTATGACACCTTATTAGTTTTAGAAATACTGGCCCTCAATAAAACTCAAAACCTGGCCCTCAAACAAAACTAAATTTAAATCCCCATGTCATGCACACAAACTAATTCATGGGATGGATTATTTATTTATTCTAATAGTTTATGTGCATTTTTTTATTTTTTATTTTTTCTCACATTAATTCTGAGCCAACTTTATTTATATATTATATTATATTCCTTTAAAATATTCTTAAATAGATAACTAACATAGTGTCCGAATGCTTTCTAAGAAATATGTTTTTTTTATTATTATTTGCACCAGGAATGAATGGGGTCCTCCCAACAGGAAAGTGGACACACGAAAGTACCGTGCAGAGCCCAAGAGTATTTTTGAGTATGAGCCTGGGAAGTCCTCTATTTTGGAACATGAAAGACCAGTGAGTATATATTTTAAAATGTTCTTTAATTTCATACAGTGAATTGAATTGAAATTGACATTTTTCTATTAAAAACACTGAAAACTGCCTGTAGGAGCCAATCTGGAAGTTTATTCTTCAACATTTGCTGGCTTCACGTCTCTATCTTGGGAGAATATTTCTATTACCGTGACAATGATGTAATTTCTGTTACTGTTGTTGTAGTTATGCTTGTTATTGTTAAAAAAAAAAAATTCTTCTGTCACATTCGGTTTTGCTTCGGAGCCAAATAAAAGGTGCATTTCTGAAGAGGTAGACAACTAAACATTAAGCAACATGAAGTGTAGAGATGGAGCAACAAGTAGATGGTCGAATTGAGAAAAGCAAACACCTTTCTAACTTGCAGGTCTTTGTATACATCAGCGTATTGTTAATATATTTTCATATTATGGGCTTTTGCATGGACTTCCGTCAGACACAGTGTGGGCGGTAAAAAGCGAAGGTTTCTAGTGCTGCATCCTCTAGCGACTGTACTGGCTGTTCACTCTGTGTGGGGTGAATGACAAAGCAGACAGAGGAGATAATTACCGTGTAGAGTTAGGGCAGAAAATAATAGACATGAGATATCTGATAAAAAGGACGAGATAATGGAGAATGTGTTACAGATGAGGAGTTATGTGAGAATAGATTCAATAGAAAAGGTTTTTGTGAAGGTTTTGCAGATGTTTAATGCGATGACTGCAGAAAGCTCTCCCAGGGCAATAATGCATGAGTCAGTTCCTGATAAGGCAATAAAAGGAGAAAGCTGTAGGGAGTAGACGTGAACCCACGCTGTCCAATCTGCTGTCTGGGACTCTATATGTTCAGAAGCTTTTTTCCTCCACTCTCCAAGGTGAAGAAATTGCCCCCCAAAACATGCTGTTCGGTGATGAAATATCCATTTGGGCATTTATAAGCCATAGCAAACAAAAATGTTTCTGGTCCTCTTTCTTTTTTTCTGTGTGTGTCTACAGTACTTCCGTGATTGGCAGTCTCCGCTCTAGGCTTCACTTTTTCACAGGGTGACTCATTTGTCTCAAAGCTGAATTCTCTTTTTAGCAGGCGAGATGTGACACCACAACACCTACAAAACATCTCCTGGCAGTGTTTCATTTGGCGTGAAAACCATTTTCATGTGGGAGCAGGGTTAGAAAGAGCAGACAGAGTAGTAAGTGCATTATCTCTACAGTTGAAACAACAGTAACACTTTTTGAAAATGAATAAGGCTCTTCACTGAAGTGCACATCCAAGTGTGTCAATGGAAACAAATAAAGAAAGCTGTACTTGTTGGAGTTGTTTAACTTGCTACACAGCAGTAACCATTGTTTTTGCTTAGCTGTATAATTGTGAAGCATGTAAATACTTTCATCCCATCTGACACAGTTTATTGCAGGTTGATTTGATATGAAAATGTATCTCTATGTGATACAAGGGAAGGGCTGTTATAATCTATCATGTGACAACAGCAGAGATAAACTGCTTCCTTAAGGCAATTTATCCATCAGTTACATGCCAGGTATTCAGAATAGTGGAGGGTGTTTTTTTCAGTCAATAAATTTGAACAAACGTAGCTGACATGCCTCAATATGAAATATGCATCACAGTTCTTAACTCTAAATTAAATATTTGTGATTATTAGACATTATTAGACATGGTGGAATCAAGTGTGTTGTTGGGGATAACTTTACAAAAGACATAAAAAGGCATTAGGACAGGATAAATAAATAGGGTTAAACAAGTAAATATTAACTGATTGGCTGGTTTAGTGGTTTATAGCACTGTCCTGCCTTGATGTTTTTACCTGTTCTCTAAGTAATTAATTAACTTAACACCATTAATTAACACCAAAAAAAACCATAGTGTGTTAACATTAACAATATTTGACACTCAACTGGAGTTATGGCAGTGTGTAGCACTTGGGTCAGTTGGCTGGCTGATGGTGAAGCCATACTGCTCCCACCAGTGTAGAAGTGAAGCTTATTGTACACCCATGTAAGTAACCCCTCATGTCTTTTCCAGACAGCTCTTAAAAACGGACCCTTTCCTCCTCTTCTTTAATGAGTTCCTCTGATGATGATTTAGTATGCCATCCACTGAGCCAGCACAAAGGTGTGGATAATGAGGTTGGGTGTTAGACATGTAATGCTCAAAGTAACATTCTGATTTTCATTATCTGTCACCTGTGCTTTGGCTTAGAATAAGCCAGTGGTAATTTGATTCTGTCATGTGATTCACAGCCCTCTTAATTTTTGTGCATACGAAATTAATGACTGTCAATTCAAAAGAGCCTACGTGTTGAAATTGCCTGCCTCTTCGGTCCCCACTGATGACAAGAGTGTCACTGTGCATATTAGATTATTTAGTGTAAACACGTTTAATTACTGGCTGATGATAATAAGGAATTATGGTACTTTGCCTAACAAATAACTTTTTGGATTACTGTCAGACCAGTTAAAGTAGTGAAGTTAAATTTTCTTAAGATTTGTCAATAGAAAATGGGTTTTGCATCACTACCTTCGTCCCCATGAGCCAGTCTAAATCCTCATCCTGGTTCATCCTGTGCCCATCTCTCTGTGCCACCTTTGCCCATTCCTAACCATGAGGTCCATGTCTCTCTTTGTGTGTGACTTCTTTCCACACTTCTTCTGTCTTTCTTTTACCTCCTCTCTCTGTCACTGTCATGCTTTCCCAGACCTATGATGACATAGATTTAGAGAACGAGCCTTGGTATAAGTTCTTTTCCGAGCTGGAGTTTGGGCGGCCGGTAAGTCAGGGCCATAGTTGCTCCCTCAACCACAACCCTGCCATAGGCAAACACCCCCCCTTTTTTTTTTTTTTAAATGTGTCCACCAATAGACTGGGTGGGGCTAGTTGTTTGGGCATGTGGTACTTGTTGGGTGCTGTGAACCCCCACCCTCCCCCACCCTCGTGACAGGCTGTGTTATGTCTCTGCGTTGCTGGGTTTTTTGGTCTGGTGGCTAGCAGGCACAGAAGCCTTTTGTATTGAAATTTTTATTTCAGTTGGTTTGTTATTGCATTTTGTCCAAAAATAAGCAGGAAAATAGGTTAAAAGGCAGTGTGCTCCAGATGCTTTAGATGAGCTGACTTTTAGGCTGGTAGAACTGCACAGACCAGTCAGTCAATCAATCAATCAATCAATCAATTAATCAATCAATCTTAACATTGATAAATATGCAATGGATGAGTTTCCTAATGATACATATTATTATTATCCTTTTTATCTGGGTAACAGTCTGAGTCTGTGCAGTTTCTTCAACATCTCTTACACATGTTAACATGTGTATCAATTAATTAGCCTTTTATTTAGCCTGTTTATTCATTTAATCATTTATTCATGTCTGCTAGTATTTCTGTTTATCTTTACTTTGGTAAAGGAATGCTCTGCATATCTTCAAACTAAATGCTGTAGTACCCTCTGCTGGATGTAAGAGGTAATAACGTCCTAGTGGCTCAGGGCAGGGATTGCTTCTAGCTTCTGGGATCAAATTACCCCAACCTGACTGATTTACAAAGTGTCATGAGGACATGCCTCTATCCATGCCAGCATGACATCAGGTGATGATTTGTGGGGCTTATTCGAAATGTTCAGGTGAAAATGTCATATCTGGAGCTGCCATGACTTCCCGAGGTCATGTTGTGCTGTGTATTGAGATTTCAACCTGCAATATTTTGAATGTTTCACATCACTGAATAAGCCCTCAGAGTGTACAAGGTTTCCCTACATGCACTGACTGGTCCAGCTGGGACAGAATCTCACAGTATGTTTAGTGTTTGAGTGTTTATTGAGGTGATACAAGAAGTCACAAAATGTTTTGGCCAACTGAGTGAACCGTAGTTTATCTGCACTATTAAACGAGCACTAAATCACAGCATTTGAGAGTGCAATTCAATGCACTCTCAAATAAACACAACACTGCAGCTTGTGCTTCACTCGGCTTCCTGCTTTACAGCTTGCTCTCACACTTTGCATGTGTGTGTGGTACATGGGCACATTTCTGTGTGTGTATGTGTGTGTGGTATAAAGGTTGATGTAGTAGGCCTGATTTATTTTAGCATTGCTATACTGTATCTTAAATGTTGCTATTTTGAGATTAGCATAGAAATATAGCTAATCATTAGAATGTGCACATAAATGAAGGTGTTATGTGTAGGTGTGTCTGTGTGTGTTTGTCAAAAAAAGGGTGTTAGTGTGTAGTCAGTGTCTGCACATGTGTGCATTGTACATGCGAAGCACATGTGCAACCTTTGTGAACTAGTCCATCTCTGGTTACTCAGATTCTCTAACGGGTGTCACTCTCTCCACATGTTTTTTGGTTTCTCCCCATGATGTCACCACTGCTTCTCCTCCTTCACCTCATTTTCACCTTCTTCCTATTCCTCCTCCTCTCCTTCTCCTCTTCCTGCTCACTGCTGCTGCTTGGGGCTCAAGCCTCCTAAAAAACGGCTGGATTATAATCCAGACATCTCCGCTCGCCAGCGCATTGAGGTAATCTCACATTCATGAGTGTTCCAGTATTGTAGTTAATCTCACAATTTCTAACCAATCATAGGAATCGGAATCTATATTGTTAAGACACATGTAAGGTATGATTGCTTAAAATGAGTCTAATGTAGTGTAGCACCAATTGAGTGTGATCATGTCAGCATGTCACCCATCCACCGCAATATGAGTATGATGTTGCTTTCTGAAGACTCTACATATAGCTTTGAAATGCTATTTTGTTGGCATTGTATGAAAAAATGCCGGTTGTACCACTCACGCCAGATTTTTTGCTAACTTCTTTCTCCTCAGAAAATTATTATGAAGATCTATATATTTATTTTGTGTAATTTGGTGGAAACTTTTTTTGTTTCCAATTTTAATGTGTGATTGCATTTGATTGTTATTAAAGGTCCAGTGTGTAACTTTTAGTGGCATCCAGCAGTGTAGTTGCAGGCTGCAACTCGCACTCGTTTCACCTTCCCTTTCCAAGTGTGAGGGAGAAACTATGGTGCTCGCGAAACACACAAAAAAAAGGCTGTATCTAGAGCCAGTTTTTAGTCTGTCTCTTCTGGGCTCCTGTAGAAACATAGCGGTTCAACATGTTTGGCCTGCTGCGTTTTTAGATAAAATTGGCTCATTCTAGGTTAATTTCTGCCAATGGATCCTCCTAAATGTTACACACTGAACCTTTAAGTGTATCAACCATTCTTTACCATTAAGACCCATTCCAGCTGATCCATGCCAGGTTTTAGAGGGCAACATATGCCCCCTGAGCTCAGCTCATAACATCCTTTGCTATATCTCCTTTCCCATCATCCTCCAGAGAAGCCCAAGAGAGAGCAGACATTTATCATCACCATTTACACCGGTAGGCCTCTTCTCAGTCAGGTGTGCCATGTGGAACCAGCATCCATCGCACCTTAAGCTGGGGGAGCGTTTTAAGTGTGGCACAGCAACAACCGCATGCAGGCTGTGCATTGTGAACTGCTCTGCCTCGAGTCTTTGTTCTTGGGGAGCTCACTTTTCTCTTTTGTTGTCTGCCCTATTTCAGACATCCCTGCACATCGCTCCTGCTGACAAGGCTCCGGAGAGACCTGCAAGGTAACCTCTGTTTCTTTTATTTTCTTCTGCATCACCCCCTTCCCTCTCCCCCATCCTTTCAGCAGCAGTGGTCCTTGTTGTGATTCAGCAAGGAATCAAACCTGCTCTTTCTAGCCTCGCCTCTGGTGCAATATAGCTTCTGTGTCTGTTGTTTAGGATGATTTGCAAGGATTATTGTTAGTCTTTATTTGCTTTTGTCACTGAAGGCAGGGCTCTTTGCATCTCCCTCCCACTAACTGAGCCAGAATAAATTAACCCAGCAATCCTATTGATTCTGCCCTTCACCTCCTATCCTTCCTTCAACCCCCCCTCTTCCTGCCCTCGTCCTACTCCCTTTCACCAATGGCCTGCTTATTCAGTTGCATTTTCCTTGGTGAACAGAAAGGGCAGAAATGGGATGTGATGAATAGGCCATGTAATTCATGTCAAGTGACATTGAGTGGGCTTGTTTGAATAGAAAACCCACTGTTTTTTTAGACATTTTGAAGGAAGAGAAGTTTCGGTAACTCGGTTGTCTCATTATTTCGAATGCATTGATAAATAGCCTAATCGTTAGTAGGATAAGCTTGGATATACTTTAAAATGCATTAATAATGCCAAGGATTGTTACATTAGGGACTATATAAATTAATTAAATATAACACGAAAATCCCCAAAATTGAAGAAAGATCACAGTAGTAATATATGAATGTATTACCTTTGTGTGGTGTGGTTCACGGTTGCTCATTATTTACTTTATTTTGGTCTATACTGCGTTTGTAAGTACTGATGATACAAGAAATATAGTAAATAGAATGTACTCGCAAGACATTTATAGACATTTTTGTATATTTAGTTCTGTTTGCCTTTTGTAAACTGCATTCAGAAGCAGTTGTCATTGATGTCTGACTGTGTTGCAGTGCTGCCAGTGACTACAGGAAAAGAAGGAAGTCTGAACCGTCAAGTTCACAAGTGAACGCTCAGTCTCAGAGCAGAGCTGCAACTTCCCCTAAACCAGTGGATGTCTACAGACCCAGCAGCAGCTTAAAGAAACCTGTTATTCGTTCCTCACCTTCCTCACCCTCCAGAGCCAAAGGTACACACTCACACTCACACACACAAACTTCACATATGCACATACTGTACTTATCACATCACCAGAAAATGAAAGATTTGTTTTCATTGGTGGTGTTTTTCACAAAATGATGTCTGCCTGGTGTGGTCAAAAATGTTCTTGATTGGTATTGGTGGAGGTCTGAAGATAAAACATCAAGTCATCTTTTTTTCCACCCTCTTTTTCTCCACTAATTCTTCTTCCTCTCCCCAGCTCTTCCACCTTTTTGCTGGGTATTACTGCTTAACATGCTTTCCTCCTTCTTCTCTTTCACCACGCTGCTCTCTATTGGACATCTGAAAGGTGGGGACGCATGCAACATGTATTCAAACAGTTTGACCTCCTCAGGTCCTCATCAGCGCCCCTATCCGCCCCCTGTCCCCTCTGACCCTGTCCATTGCCATGAGGATGCCAGTCAGGAAGGCAGCTCCTCCTCTAAACAGTCTGTCTGTTGTACGAACAGTTGGCAGGCAAAACGCCAGGATCCTGAGACATGGAGCAGTGCGGAGGAGGCACCGCCCTCTCCTGGCAAGCTCCGGTCACGCAGCTGTGATGACTTACTAAATGATGGGCATTCTGGCTCAGGCGGGCGCAACGCCACCCGCTCAGAAAGTGCCGGGTCACTGGTTTGTGATGGGAATCCCTCAGGTTCGACTGGATCCATCTCCACTCGCTCATTGCCTCGCCTCCACCGGCGACGGGCACATGATTCACCGGGCTTTCTCCAGCTCTATCGTAAAATGCACCAGATTGACCGAGCTCAGCTCATCCCATCTGAAGTAATCCGCTCAGTCCGTGCTCGTATCCTGGAGCTAGAACGACAACCTCACCTGCATCGGCATCGCCTCTCTCCTTGGACACCCTCTTGGGGAATGGAGGTGCCACGCGATATGGTGCCAAACCGCATTTCTGAATATGAGCGCCTTATTAAGAAGTCCAAATCCATGCCAAACTTGGGTGATAGTGAGATTCCTTCAGGCACTACCACACCAGGTGGCTCGTCATCTAGAGCCAGCAGTGGTGGTGGTGTCACACCCAGTTTTCCAAAACGCCGTTTTTCCATAGAATCTTTACTTGAGGAAGACAACAACGGCAACAGTGGAACAGTACCTCACACCATGGATCACTTGCATCGACCTCGTAGCCCACCTGAGGGCCAGCCTCGGGTTGGGCCAGAGCCCGTCCGTGGGCGGCCCTTTCCTGCTGTTCCTGTTCCCCGAGGCCCTCAAGCCAACCCAGACTACTCTGACAGTGAACAAGACGCTATTGCGTCAGACCTCAGTGACTTCATCCAGGTGGAGGGCTCCTCATTTTGCAGTGAGAGTGACTTTGACCATTGCTCTCTAACCTCCTCTGAGAGCTTGTACGGCTCTTCCACCATTCATCACCATCACCACCTCCGTCATCACCACCACCATCACCACCACCACCCTGGTCACCAAAGTCTAGGCCAGAGCCAGGGCTACCAACACCGCCACCTCATCAGCAGCTGCAAAGGCCGCTGCCCAGCCTCTTATACGCGTTTTACAACCATGCTTCGTCATGAGAGAGAACGAGCGCGCCAGGAGCACCAGAGACCTTCACAACAAAGGAGCCATTCCCAAATCCAGAGCTCACAGTCCCAGCAAGCGATGTCCAAGCTGGCCTTCCTGGTCAGCCCAGTGCCTTTCCGCAGGAAAAAGGGCTCACCACCTACCTCTAGAAGAAGCAGTGGTGGCGGAGATCGAGGTAGCAGACCCAAGTCCAAACAGGCCATTTATGAAGCACTAGATGCAGCCTTGAGAGACATATACGAGCACATTCAAACAGAGAGGGGCCACAGAGGAACTAGGGCACCTGATGATAGTATCCTAAGGAGAATACTGGCCGAACTGCTCCCAAATGTGCCTGAAAGAAGCTCCTCATTGCGGGGGAGGAGGGGGTGTTGGCACGGGGGTCACTCCTCTGCATCTTTGTACCCAGATGGGAGCCCCACTGGGTATGCCTCATATAGAGGGGATACCTCCACACCACAGCTACAGTCACCACAGCTACAGTCACCAATCAGTGCCTGTTACGGACGTCACACAGACACCTCAAACAATAATGAATATGGAGAGGAGCAGGGCAATGGAAATGGTCTCTGTTATTCAGGTGGAGATAATACACGCACCACACCTCAAATATGCACCTGTGCATTTTGTCATGTTACCAATCATACCTACACATTTTTTCTACATTTACAAACACACATCCATCCATATTTTAAATCTCTTTCAGTATTGCCTGGGCTTGTTACCATTCCCCTCACTGGTCAGCCAATACATCCATTTCTGTTCTTTTTGATATATTTATATCACATTCAGTAAGCCCTGTTTGCTGTAAATTCTCAAGTAAAGCCATATGTTAAAATTAAAAGATTAAGTTAACCAGTTAAACTAATATCAGTGAAAATAAACACTTCCTGCTAATGTTTCACATTAAAGGTCTGCTGGTAGAATAAGTAAATTAAGCTATTGTAAGGCTTTTAAGAAATATGTTTGTTAGAAAAAGGAAGTCAACAGAAGGGTAAGTAAGACGACATTGTCAACTTTGTTGTTGCACTGATGGAAATAGTTAATTAAAACCTAGCAGTTGATAAAACAGGAAGGCTTTTTAGAGTATTAAAATGTGATAGAAAATACACAAAACATTAGCTTGTCTCAAATAAAGGCCTGGATTTGTTTGTAATTGGCATAAAGGAGTACTTGAGAATTTACAGTATATTACTCTGGTTGGAGTAAATAAATGTGAATATCCTCTGTTTGTCTTTAATGTGGTATTGTTTTGGTTGTTTTATTTGTCTGTTTTGCAGATTGATTTATGGAGTCGTCTTATTATCCCACTATCATTCCTTCCCTCAAGCCTTTTGCTTGTATGTTCATGTTTGTAAAATGGTTTCATCATATGTTTTGGGCTGTATTCCCCTTGTTTCATTTTGTGTTTCAGCTTTTTTGTAGAATTGCATGTGTCATATTGTGGGAATCACATTTGCCATGTTTTCCTATGAAATGGAAATAAAACACACCTATTTTTGACTCCGAGCTTTCATTCCCTCATTTACCTGTTGGAATGGCGTCATCACTGTACCATTCAGTACTTTCCCAAAGCACATTTTTGTATTGTGAGCATGCATGTGACATGATTGTGATTACTATGGTAACTCCCGTAACCTTTTTCATGTGTCTCTACTAATCACAGACCAGGATGTCTCCAGGTGTTATTCCACCATGGATGGACGCCAGACACCCCAGAGTAGAAGACCTACTCCTGACAGAGAGGTACTGATGGCTAGTATTCTCAACACCAACATGGACCTCAATAGTAGCACTAAATAGTTCATTATGTTTCCTTTGATATAATTTAGAAATAACACTGAAGTTTCTAGCTTAAACTTAAATTTCACCTCAATAATGTGTGATGATTGGTTGGCACTATAAAATGTTTCGGATCAACACGCAGTTTTTTTGTCTTTATCTTCACAACACCACACCACAGTTGGAATTGTCTCGCAAAAATTAAAAGGCTGTATTTTATGTTTTGCCTGGTAATACTTGCCGGCTTTCTTTCTCTCACTCTCATCTCCTAGGTCTCCCATAAACAGATGACACAACTTATTCTGTTCTCTCTCCTCCATCAGAAACAGCCTGCAAGAGCCATTTATGATTTTAAGGCACAAACAGCTAAGTGAGTACAGTGAATGCACAGTGCACACACAAGCAAGCCAAGCTTTAAAGCATGAATTTCTAACTGCATATCAACACATCTCAACTCATTGCATTCAGTGTTATGATTTCAGATTCTTAAGCATGTCTTGCATAAAGTTTCTTTTACTTTCTAAGATAACTTCATTGTCACATCTTACCATGACACCTGGATGGCTTTAACTGATATATTTTATATGTAGTCTTTAAATATATGCATGAATAAAGCTGATTTCTTTTGTACTTGACCTTATTTCATCTTGCTTTGGTGGATGAGGTTCTGGAGATGGGGCTGTTTACATGAAAGGAGCTGTGCTGGTTGAAGTGGTCAGTTCATGTCTTCTACAGATCTGTGTAGTTGCACTTTGATAACATGAATGTGTTGCAGGGAGCTGACGTTTAAGAAAGGTGATGCAGTGAACATCATCCGACAGATAGACAACAACTGGTATGAAGGAGAGCACCGCGGACGGGTTGGAATATTCCCCATGTCATATGTAGAAGTAAGTGTGCCACTGATAAACTGTAGTACTGTCAGTAATGTAGATGTGCATCATTTTCTGTCCTATATGTAATTTGTTTCTCCTTCTCCACTACACACATTTACACCAATGCACACACAAAAACAGAAGATGCCGTCCTCAGAGAAGCAGCAGCCGATTCGTCCTCCTCCGCCAGCACATGTCAGGGAGATCGGAGAGGCAGTAGCTCGCTACAACTTCAATGCTGATACTAATGTGGAGCTATCTCTCAGAAAGGTAGTTTATTGTTTGTGTAAATTAAAAGTTGGAACAATGTAACATGTTTATAATAGTTTATAATTAAGGGGTGAAACCTTGCATTTCTTCAGGAACTATACTGTTTTGAGTTTATCAGGTGGACTTTGAAATGATTGCATAAACTTAAAAGATGTGTAATCTCCTCTAATTATAAACAAAGCAAGTTATCAGGCTCCCACCAGGCAGTGTGTTTGGTGTTATTTCTGGATTTGAATCCCCAACTGCAGTATCAAAACAGTGATACAGGTCTCCATTGGAATAATTTGATGATTTTGAAGATGCTATGATCACAAAATATTCTGCACAGTCTTCAAGAAGTTTGAGAGGTAGTACTGTCAAGTTCTGTAAAGAGTGCTGTATTGCAGTTAAAAATCATGTGTATATTTTGGTGTGTGTGTGTAGGGTGAGAGAGTAATTGTGATAAGGCAGGTGGACCAGAACTGGTATGAGGGGAAGATCCCAGACACAACCAAACAGGGCATCTTTCCTGTGTCATACGTTGACATCGTCAAGCGTTCCCCAGCCAAGAGCTCCGCCCACCACATAGACCCACACGGTTACCCTGGCAACAGGACACCGAGCTCTACACCTATCAAGGTAGGGGGACATTGTGACCATAAAGTACAATAAACCAACACAGTAGAGTAACAAATTTAAAACCAGCAATTTGTTTAAAATTTTAAAAAAATAAAGCACTTTGAGTTTCTTTACAAATTATTTTATTGATTGATTTATAATTAAGGTTTATTTATTTATATTTGTGAACAGCAGCGTTGGTTGTTAACCAACATCACAGTTGCCAAGAAACATTTTATATCCTCAAAAAGTAACATGAACATGAATTATGTGTAAATATATTTAAATAAATAAATAAATGCATTATCTGTGTAAGGGAGTAAATGCAGCCTTTAAAGGGACATTGTGTAGTGTTTTAAGTATTTTATTAGCTAAAATCAATGTCTTCATTCATAAATGTGTCCTCATTTGTGTAAAATTACCTCTGCCAATGATCTGACTTATCCTCGTAACCGAAGAATTTGTTATCTGTATATATATTGGACGGGCAAGTCCATGGAGGCTTCCATGTCGTTCCGCCATTTTGAAAAACTATAATCGCAGAGAAGGACATAAAGCACTAGCCTACCTGTCAAGCTAATCCACAACGCGTTTTCGTTCAGAGCCAGCGTCACATGACTGAAACGAGCTATAACGGAGAAGGAGATCAGTGAGAGGCGCTTGTCACTGCCCCGGCACATTTGAAAGTCTGCACTGCACTTCAGTTAATAATGGAGGATCATACTTATGCCGAGCCACAGGAGAAGGAATCCTCGTCGCCAAAAAAGCGAAAAAGGGAATTAAAAAGGCAACGTGACCGGCGAATTCAAAAAACGAGGGTAAACATCGGGGTAGCTTTTCCCAGGTGGAAAGAGCTAATGAAGGAGAATGACTTTCAAAGGGACGCTGAAGTTGCCTGCTTTCTCCTCGACAGGTAGGCGTCTTGGTACATAACGGCTACCGTAGTTGCAATACGCATTTGAAAACGCGAGGCACTAGAGAGCACTATTCGTTTGAATGCAAAATACAATTTCACCGCTAGATGGGAGAAATTCCTACACAATGTCCCTTTAAGCTCTGTTTAACCCTCAAATGACATACTACACACACAAAACACACACTGTAGTTTCTGTTCTAGTTTTATAAATTACACTGTTCCTTCTTTTTCACTTTACCTTCAATGGAGCCTGTCTACCATCTACCCCTATCCCCCACTACTCGTGATCTCCCCTCCCCTCACCCCCCGTTGAGAAGGCTTGACCTGCAAGCGATCACCAGTGAGTGGCTTTTCCTCACAATGGACCCATCGGCATCCACTCCAGCTCACTCCCTCACGACCACCCCTGTACCACCCACACCACCCCCTCTCCCTACCGACTTTCCACCTTTCCTAAAGGCTCAGGAGCCTAAGGCGCTCTCGCCTGTGCCATCACAAAGAGGCTTTGCCCTGCCGCCCCAGACATCTTCCAGAACTCCTCCTTTAAAAGAAGGGAGACACAGTTTAGGTCAAACCCCAACTACCTTGCCTTTCTCTCAACCTGAACCTCATCCTCCTCCTCCTCTTCCACCTCCTCCTCCTCCCCTTTCTCATTCCTCATTTTGCTCTCCACTGCCTGACTCTTCACTGCAGTACAACAGTGGCAAAGGAGTAGCACAAACATTACACTTTCCTAAGCCGGAGGTTTTGTCCTGCACAGTGCCAGAGCCAGTGACATCACCCACACAGGTTCCTCTGTGCCATAAGATAAATGTAAACAAAAGCAACAAAATCCCTGATATTGAGCTGCACGTAAAAGACCCATATGATGAGCTCCTGTCCATGATTCTGGACAGTTCTACCAGTGCAGATGATGCTGACTTTTCAAGATTGTCTCCGGTAGATTCCCCACCAGCTACGCTAACCAGTAAATCCCAAAGCAGATTTAAGCAAAAATCAGAAGAATCCTGTCAGCCAGCACTGAAACCCACAGTAGTCACTCCAGTCAGCGACTTGGCAGGCAAGTTAAGGCTAAAGGCAGAAGAATTCCATCAGCCAGCAGTAAAACCCACAGCAGTCACTCCAGTCAGCGACCCATCGGGCAGTGTTCGGTTAGAGATGCAGTTTCACAAGCCTGTGACAATGGAGCCACTTTCCATAAGTTGGGGAGATCAGTCAGAAACTCTGAATGAGCAACCCGTTGATTCTCAGAGACCACAGTCGGTGAAAGGATGGGGATATACTGAGTTGTTCATTGAGGAAGAGGAAGAAACTAGAGAGGACAAAGAGGACGACAATAAAGGTGTTAATGAGAGACTCAGTCCGCAGGTAGAGAGCATGGTGTGAGCTACATCTGTAACATTTGGAAACTCTACAGGCCCTTGGAAGGGAGATGGAGGGAAATATTGTAAATCTTAGAAATAATAGACCTACTTTTGCGTTGTCTTATAAAATCTCGACACAGAGGTCGATGTACGTGTGTCACTTAGCCATTTGAGAAGCCTGAAGGCATTTACAGGGAGGCAATCTGTTATATACAACTAAACTGAATGATCAAGGAGTCTAGCAATATCAATGATGACAGATGTTGTCATGATTGTAATGGAGACTAATGGAGTGCATCCGGGTTTACCTGCGTCGTTTTATACCCTCATCCACAGCTGATGAGAGCAGCATGAGGCAGCAGCACAACTTACAATAGAAGGATATTGTGACAATGGATTGTGGATGAAAGAGGGTCTAAAGATAAGATTAAAGGTTTTTAAAATAGATGAGTTGAATAGTTAAGTACTGTAATTCGGTATCTAATCATCACACCCACTAATTGAAAGCATTAGTTACTAATTGGGGCACAAAATGATAATAGAAATAGTACAGTTAGCTTAATTTATAACTATATGGATTTATGGACTGACTCACATTAAGTCACTGTGTGTCCGATTTCACTCGCTCCTTCTCCCTATATAGTAAACACAATAGTTTACTCTGTAGTGAGCAGCAAATAGAGATTTCAGATAATTCTTCCATACATAAGGGAATAGTCTTAAAATATGTACAGCATACGGTTTTTGTTGTTTTGTTTTTGAAAGACTTATCCTGGACGTCTTCTTGTTGCCACTGGTGGTAGATCTCTTTAAAAAACATATTTGTAAATTCATGTAAAATATTATCCTCCACGTCCCTTCCAGGGCTTCGTTAAATACAGCCATCAGAATTGTATTCAAATTATTATTTCTTAATTTCCTCAGTATTTAGCTTCTGTGATTCAGCTTCATAACTGATGTGTGTGTCATTACCTCCATAGGCTGATGTCTCTCCTTCCACTCTGACACAGCTTCCTCATCCTGGCCTCCCCACACCTTCTGTACCATCACCTCTGACTTCCTTACCTCCCCCCTCCTCCTCCTCCTCCTCCTCCTCCTCCTTCTTCTTCTTTTTCTTCTTCTTCTACTTCTTTTTTCACTCCTTCTTTATCTTCTTTCTCACGGTCACAACAGCAGGATCGGATCACCATCCCTCCCTCCCCCCCTGTATCCCCTCGGCCCCCGTCCCTTCCTCACCTCATGACATCACCCCTACCTCCGGCCTCTCCGTCTCCGCCTGTCTCACCACCTCCCCTCCACTCCCCTCACCCCTCTCCAAACGTTCCCTCACAGTGCTCTGTCTCAAGCTCTCCCTGTCTTTCTCATCCGATCACATCCTGCCTCGACTCAGAGTCGCCTATTTCCCTTCCCGCCATGTCTCCCCCTAAACCCATCTCTCCTCCCCTCGCCACTCCACGCTCTCCCCCCACTATACCCCATCCAGGACGTAGGTCTCCCAAGGTGAAGGTAAAGCTGTACTGTGGAGATGATGCCGCTGATTTAGATCATGTTTGTGATGATTTTGACAAGAACACATCTGATAATACCTGTCTCTAACATAGCTGAGACTATGGTTGAAGTCAACTAATCAATTGACAGAAAATATTTGTATATGGTTTTTTAAAATCTGATTTAATAGTTTGTGCTGTTTATACGTGAAAAATGCCATGACAAGTTGATGCTTTTCTTTGTTTTATATAATTGTAAATTGAACATCTTTAGTTGAACAAAAATACTATTTGAAGATTTCTCCTTGGGCTCTGGTAAACTGTGATGGGCATTTTTCACTACTTTTGAGCTTCTCAACAGATTAACAGATATGGAAATTATTTGTTTGTTGTAGCCGTGGCTGAAACTACTACGTCATTTGTACACTAACATACATTTATAAACTTTCATTTAAGTGCTATGGAGATGATTTATAGACACCAGAGAGCCTTTTTGAATTAGCGTGTGTTGCTGCTGCTGGTTGCACTGTTGTGTGTTTAGGAGGATTTTCATTGGCATCGGCATGTTGATGGATGAAGTTTTACAGCATGTTATTAGCCTTTGTGGTTGTGTGTTCAGTTCATAGTGAAGGCTGCTGACCCAGTTACTGTTGAAGATTATCGGTGTGTTGCTTCTGGTCTTTCTGCCTGTTAAGCAGGATCCAGTTGTTGGTGGTAAACCTCCTCGTAGTCCCATCTTGTCCCGGAGGTCCTATCTCCCCATTAGAGGTCGAAGGGTAGGGGGGCATGTCTTCATTCAACCATGCTCTGACTGCACTCTTGTCTCTGTGCAGGAAGGACGTCTTTAGAAATACCCATGTCATTCATGACTGATGATCACCACATATTCTATAGCATGTGTAGTAAAGTATGCTGTTTGACAAATGCAGTAATTTTTCTTTTAATAAAGAAATTTAAGTAATTCTGATTTTAGGCCTGAGTGTTTGGTTGGTTTGTATGTTCATGTCTGTTTTCAAAGGAACTGGTCACACCTCTGCGTATGAATTATACCTTTTCATTCAGCCTCCTCAAACCGTAAAGAAAAGCCCTCACAAATACCACATTTTGACTTTCTGTCTGTCTGTTTCTGTTTTTCCTCACAGCGATTAGTACAGGATGCACTCCAAGGTGGAGGAGACCCGTAAGTGATACTTGTTATTATTCCATCGATTTGCTGTCAGCCAATAAAGGAAGATATATCTTTGTGCTAAACTGTAGACTGTGTAGCAACGTATACAACATGTGTGCAGTCATTGAAATCAACAAATTCTTCTTGAACCGTATCAACATGTCAACTTTAACTTCAATTTTTACATTTGCTTTTACAACAGTTGAACACAAACCGATAGTACTGGATAAAGAAAGCTAGTTCAGTGTCAGTTTTTCTAACACAGGTACCAGGCCGTGTACAACTATCTTCCTCGCAACGAGGACGAGCTGGAGCTGAGGGAGGGCGACATTGTGGATGTGATGGAGAAGTGTGATGATGGCTGGTTTGTCGGTAAGAGGAAGGAGTGCAGTGTTGATTCATTCAGTGTCATGTTTATATTCAGTAGATATACAGCTAAACAAAGATAGGCAAACATAAATATGTAGCCATTAGTAGAATTTACTTAGGCACTGTACTTATTTTTAAGATACTTGTTGTCATTTTATGCTTTTAACTGTTTATGGCCAGTTTATTAGGTTCACCGAGCTAAATGCTAAAATCCTCCCTTCAGGAAGGTTATAATGTTCAGTTTTTGTTCAAACTGTTTTAGAGAGGTGTTGATTCAACTGTATGATCATTTTGGAGGATGTAGCTTGGTGCTGTTGAAATTGCTGAATTGCATTATACAGATATTTATATAATGAGGGTTGGCTAAATAATAGCAATACCTCTCTGTACAATGGATCTGAATACCCTCTCCAAGTACTAGATCCATAAATGTTACAGAAAAGCTGGACAACAAATGTACACTGTGTACAGAAAAAGATGCTTTAATCCTCTATACAGGATTTGTAGTCTGGTTGGTAGAAGCAAATAGACTAACTGAGACCACTAGATGGCACTCTGATACCACCACATACTCACTGTGGAAGAATTCAACTGTATCCTGCACTGATGAGCACAGTTTAAGTCTGATAGTCCTGTTTTCCATCTTGATCTGTACATTCTGTTACGTAAAACTAAAGATGTTTCAGTCTCATCTCAATGTTTGGCTGATTTCCAGACTGCAGTGAGCTGGGATAATATTAGCGACAGCCACTGCCAAGGTTCAAGCACTGACGATTTCATTTTATTGCTCTTTGTTTTTGAAGGGACCTCTCGGAGGAGCAAGTTGTTTGGAACCTTCCCAGGAAACTATGTGAAGCAGCTATAATGATGATTCCAGACTCCCCCCCCTGGCCCTGCCCCTTTCTGTGACACGTTCATCGCCCTCAGCACAGCACCCGCAGGACACCGCCTCCCAACACTGGTCCCCCACGACCCTGTCGCACATTTATGTGTTTGCGTGTATGTGCGGCTCGTCGGCTTCACACAGACAGAACATTTAGCTCTAACTAGCCATCTTTAATGGAAGACTTCTATAAAATAATGTTGTTTTTTTAACCTTATCTTTTTATCCTTATTTTTCTATTATGGAGAACCCAAACTTTGTGCTCCAGTCAGTGACCTTTAACTTTTGACAGTGATGGAAGGATATCGAAGGAACTTTGCAAACAGTCAATGATAGAAAACAGGGCACGGCAGTGATGTTTTTCTTTCTGTTAAAGGGCAGTAAGATCACCACCATCAACTTTTTTTATTTTCCTGCAGTATCACATTTAAAAACACTTGTTGCATTTCATTTCAGTGTTCAATTACAAATATACCCAAAGATATTCGGTGCAGAGAGTGTTGTAAAAACAGTGTTCTGTCAGCAGGTCTGTTGTTTACGAACTGTGTTGAAGGGATTGCAGTCATGCAGCCGATATTTCAGGTAAAAGGATGTTACTTCCCACAGTTACATGTGGAAAAGACTGTGCATGTATCACCATTATGTGTTACCCGAGGTATTGAGTGGTTGATAAGATTTGGGAATATATTTGTTTTGAAACAAGTTTTTTGTTAAGCAATTATTGCAAATATTGCAAATGAGGAAGTGGGAGAAATATCATTGACACTGTTGTACTTGCTGTCTAATCTTAACACATTAGATTTGAAGTATAAGATTAGAAAACACAAATATTTTCAAATTGTTGGTTCTTCATCTTCACACTAGGATTGATGCACTTTAACGAAACTTTAACACAATTTCGTGTTTGTTTTATCTCAAATTTCACTTCAGATTTTTCACACTAGAAGTTAATATGACTGTGAGACTTCGGAGTATATTGGTCATGTTTGAAAAGTGTATGCAAAAAGGTTACCAACCTTTTTAGGTATTATATTTATTAGAGGATAAGTGCTGGTCAAACTGTGTTATAAGACAATTTTAGAAAGGATGGAACAACACGTTGCTTTTTTTAAAAACATCTTTCAACAGCAGTAAACCCACTCTTAAAGGATTGTTATTGTATTGTCATTGTCCAGATAGGTTCTGAGTGACAAATAACACAGTAGTTAATGGGCTGTAATTATGCCAGGTGTCATGATGTTTTATGTTGAATTATTTAAGTCAGATGCAGGATGAGATGGCATTTATTAAAAACTTCAGTCATTTAACTGCAGTTTTTTTCAACTAAACTTTGGTGGCATATTTTAACCCTGCTGTCAGTGAGTGGGTCACTGTTTCATGTAGTTATATACTATTAGGACTTCTTGAAAATTTCCATCTTATCTTGTCATGCTCGGTGAATGTGATTTATGTTTTCTGTTTTTTTTTTTCTCATTTTACGTGTTTCACATAGGATGGACACTGACAACAAAACAATTGTTAAAGCACCTTAAGATATATTATGTTTTATCATTCACGCATCATACGTCACCTCCCCCGTCATCCACTATTTCAGCTGGTGTGAGAACACTTGTGTGTGTGTGTGTCTGTGGTGTTTTTGTAAGCCTTTTGTATGAGAGCTGTAAAATGGCCAACATCCACTTGCTTTATAAAGTCAGCTTTTTCTCACCCACCATCACATTTGGTTTCCTCTCCTTCTTTCTTCACATTCTTCATCAGTGGTGCTAATTTCCACTTTTTCAAAGTTATTATTGTAGCCAGGCATGTAGGCCTTTTTTTTCTCAAGTTATTTGTTGTTTCAAGAGCCAGTGACGTATTTAAACTGAAGTTACTGTAGGTAGAGTGAGTAGAGTTGGTGATTGCTGCCTTACATCCAACTCACTAATTTAATAGCCATGTATATGTAAACCTCTTCTGTGATGCAAAAAATTCATTTATGCATATATAGTCTAGAAAACATCGGGAAAGCGTGTGCACAGAACATGAACTAGTCTGCCTTTGATACAACATTAGGAACAGATTTGGATTGAAGACATGAATTTGACTCCTGATATGTTTATACATGTAATGAAAATGTAAATCTTATATGTTATTCATGTTACTATCAAATTCAATGCACACTCTTGGGCCTAAGTATTTCTACAGTATCTTAGATATCTTAGCATTTGTTGGATGATTTTATGGGGCTGTATTGCTAATAAAATCCAGCTGGTAGATGAAATATTCCCAATTATTTTTTCCTTTCAGGTTAACAGAAAAGAAAAATTAGTTTGTTGATGACTGAAAACAAATGTCATTTATAATGAAGCCTTGCTATTTTATTCCAAGCACAGAGGTGACCTGACACACGTTCATGTCCTCTTTATTTCATGCAATTTCACATATGGACAATTGGTGGCGGTAATGCGCAATTAAAGTTGCAATGCCAAGAAGAAGATTCAAATCATGAAGAAAAAAGCTTGGCAAATGTTTAATGAAATTATAAATGCAAGACGCTTTTGGTGAGAAACATTGAATGTAAACAAAATGAATTGCAAAGAAAACTCCACCCAGACACATAGTATCTTTACAAATAGCGTCTTTTATGAAGTAGCAACAAAAAGACTGAGACTAACTCCATCTTTCAGTAATTTATAAGGCTCATTTAACAGTAAAACAGGTCATAGATATTTAGCTTATTTTTCAGTCCAGTGTGTAACATTTAGGAGGATCTGCTGACAGATGTGGAATATAATACAGTCCTGCTCACCATTGGCACCCATGAAGTTTAAGTACATAATGTGGAATACCATCAGAAAAAAATGAATCAAGTGAAACATTTCTGTTCTATAGAGAACTCGTGTTTGATACAAAAGAGCAAATTATAAACAACAATTTAAAACAATAAACAATGGGAGGAAAAATAGAAAAACTTAAAGCTTGCTGTGTCACTGGAATTGGCACCCTTTGCTGTAAATCAGTATGGAAACACGTTGTGACTCACCTGTGGTAAATCACAAATGAGAATCAGCTGTGATAAATTGTCTGTGCCCATGTGACATGAATTAGCCAATGAATGATGACTTCCGTGTTTTAAAAAGCCATCTGTTATCCCCTGTTCCTTTGTCACAATGGTGAAGACAAAGGAGCTGTCTGAGGACATCAGAAGTGCGATAATTAGCAAACACAAGACCTCCAAAGGGTATAAGGCCATCTCCAAAGACCTTGGTATCCCTGTTTCAACATTGCTTAATGTTATTAAGAAGTTTGCCAAGCATGGAACTGTCAAGAACCTCCCTGGACGTGGGGGGGAAGAGAAAAATTGATGAGAGAAGTCTTCGAAGCAGTGTGAATGTTGGACAAAACACCACGTCAAACATCCAAAGACCTGAAGGCCAAACTGGAACAGTCTGGGGTCATGGCTTCAACAAGTACCATACGCCGCACACTAAACCAAACAGGGCTTCATGGGCGAAGGCCAAGGAAGACACCATTGCTGAGGAAAAGACTGGACAAACCACAATCCTTCTGGGAAAATGTTCTGTGGACAGATGAAAATAAAATAGAGCTTTTAGGCAATGCACACCAACAGTTTGTTTACAGATGGCTCAATAAAGCCTACAAGGAAAAGAACACCCTACCAACAGTTAAGCATGGTGGAAGATCCATAATGCTGTGGGGCTGCTTTGCTGCATCTGGTACTGGAGGCCTTGACCGTATCACAGGAATCATGAAATCAGAGAATGATCAAGAGATTTTAGAGCGAAATGTCCTACCCAGTGTAAGAAAACTTGGTTTGAGTCGAAGATCATGGGTCCTCCAGCAAGACAAAGACCTAAAGCACTCATCCAAAAGCACGCAGGAATGGTTGAAAAGGAAGAAATTGACTTTTTTAAAATGGCCAGCAATGAGTCCTGAGACTATGAGTCGCCTTCCAAGGAGTCCGCCATGTTGAATCAACATGTTTCTACAGTAGCCCACAACTCACAAACCAAACACTGACTCCAGACAGGACTAAGTGTTTTTCGCTAGCAGCCACCCTAGTTTCTCCTTCACACTTCACAGCCCGTTCTTATTCCCAGGTTGCCAAATACAGACGCGAGCAGTGTTCACTTGGTTGCATTTTGCAGCTTCAATTCTAGATGCCACTAAATCCTACACACTGGTCCTTTTAATGGCAGAGCGAAATATCAGGCTTTGGCAATACAGACAACATTTGTTAGTAGGATCAATTCATTGGTCTTTTCATTGGAGTTTTTGGTAATAAAACAACTTCTCAATGATGTAGAAGTGTACTCCAGGGTTTGTCAGTACACTGTGACATCCTTGTTACAGGCGCAACACACTTTTAATAAGTCTTCAGTGCTCTAGAAAGACACCGAATTTGATGAATGAATAAAAGTTTGTTTGGTTCCAGATTCATGTAAATCTCAAACTCGACAAAACCCTTTCAGATACAAATGACCTAAATAGGTCTTGCAGGGCATCTCCAAGCTATTTCAAAACGATGCATTGACAGGCTCGCAATTTCAGTTATGTGCTGCATGAATGTTACATAGGTCAATTTTAATGGACATGTCTCTTTTACAGCTTTAGCAAGTAAAGCATACACAAGGGGAATTGGCTGGCTTAGGCACTGTGTATGTATGCTACATATGGTCACATGTTTCTGCTCCAGGTTGGAATTATTGAGAAAAAGAGAGAATGAGTGTTTGAATGGGGAAACTTAATGCAGGCAGACTCTTACATGTCGGTCCAGAGACAGAGGATTTCAGAGTATGAGTAGTTCATCATCAACTTCCCTCATTTATCAGGGAGTTACATCGTCACAGTAACTGCAGAAACAAAACATGAATCTGGTCCACGTTTTCACATATTTGCATGGGATAAGATTTTCAGCACTCTGCGCGGATGATGGATTTGGTGTTGTGATTCTTAAATCGCACTACTGTTTTAACTGGCACTTGATTTATTTATTTACATGATGGAAAAATGCCCTACTCAGAGCAAAAGCCTATCGGTGCTGACACAGATTAACAAGATTTACTCACAGTTTGTTGACAAAGTGCTCTAATAAAGCTTTTATATATATATATATTTTATAATTTTGGATATATTGCAGACATGACAGGTATGTGACAAAAAAATATCCTCAGCTGGATGGAATAAATCACTGTTAACATAAATAAAGCACAGAAAATATGTTTTTCTGTAGGCTGGGTTTATTTTAACAGACAAAACAGACCCAGTTTCTGGTATAAACAGAGAAAATAGAGATGATGTGTTGCACTGGATTGTTAACAAGCTCAGGGGTGAGAGCACTGGGTCCCATCCAGATCAATAGTGGCTGGAATGTGCCTGTGGGACCTTCAGGGCCTCAGAGTGGAGCTGCGCCTCCAGACCAAATAAGGACAGGAGCAGCAAGACCCGTCAACCAGAGCGAGAGGAGGCCAGCCAGACTGTGAGCTGCCCAGGGATGAGAAGCAGTGAGGGGGGCCTGGTTTCCATCCTCACTCTGTCTACAAGTGTCCATATAGGTACTTGCAGACTGTGAGCCAAAACTGAATTTAAGTAGTACAACTGAAGTTTTGGTAGTACCTGATTTAAGAGGCAAAACATTGGAGAGAGAAATAGTGAAAGAGAAAAGAAGAAATGAGAAAAAGTACTCTACAGAAATTGGAAAACTGGCGAGCATGTGCTTGTAGAATAGTCTGAGAGCCAGTTCCCAAAATCTAACCAATTACTTCACTCCTGGGGTGGTGTCTGTCCATTCTCCTCCCCCTGCACCCGCCCACATGGTTCAAAATCTCCATCACTTTGATATTCCTTTGCTCTTTAACTTTGTTCACAGCAGTGTGCAGTTTACTGTCTGTCTTGTTGTTATCTAATAGCTGGGGGAGATTAAAGGGTCATGCCACTCACTGTCGTGCTGGATGGTCCAGCCCCCTGGGGGTTTCGCCTGACAGGAGGAAAGGACTTCAACCAGCCCCTGACCATCTCCAGGGTGAGTAAGTGTTAGGACGTCTCTATCATAAGAACAGAGGAAAAGTGTTAAAGTGTGCAAAAATATTTTCCTCTTAATAACTTGATCAAAACAAAACCTTTACTCTTAAATGTGTTTAATTTGAAGACAATGTTCCTACTGTTCAGTCAAAATATCTCAAATGCAAATGTGAACATGATTCAATCTTTTGGTGGTCCAGTCCAGAGGAGTCAGTGTTTGTGTTTCCAAGAGGGTTCATTCTAGAAAGAGTCTGTCTGGACTGGTATGAGGTTTGCACCTGTGCCACAGCAAATGCAAGAGGCTTAGATACAAATAGCAGCTTACATCGTACTCTGACATGTGCACCCACACACACACACACACACACACACACACACACACACACACACGTCTCATTGAGTGGATTTTAGACTGAAGAATGTAGGAGCACAGTGAGGTTACGATAGTATTCCTAAACAGCCCTGAAGATTGTATTAATAATTTCTGACTAAAACATCATGAAACATGAATGGTAGGATCCACTTAATATGTTTGGACAAAATTCATTTGGCAGTGATTGGAGAAGATGAGCACAGCGTTACTCTATATGCATCTATTATAATAGTGCAGCTGTTCAAATGCTAGTAAAAGTTAGCTTGAGGTCAACAAGCAGCATCATGTAGCTTGCCATCATTGTTGTAACTGTAAACTCAAAGTAATCACTTTTAAGATGCTCTGGATGAACACATGATTTATCGGACACATATCTGGGTAAAAAGAAAAAGCAAACTGTTTAGAAAGTCATGGCTGTTGATTCATGTCAGAATTTTTCTTCAAGTGTTGATGAAAACGATCATTTCCTGGAACTAAAATGGTATTTCCTGTTTATACAAAGTGCAACCAAACAACCGAATCACGTGAAGTCATGAAATGACCAGAAGGTTGCTTATAAGAGTTTATTCCATTTAAAGGAATTTTAACGTCTATAAGTTCTGTCTATAAGTAACAAAATCTGCCAACGAGTGCCTTTAAAGTTCACTAATTCAAACTTTATTTATTTACTCAATCTGATGTTTTTTTACATATTGGTTTTGATTTTTGTATGGAATAAACACATAAGATATAATGAGTTAAATTAGTGAGCTTTAGGAGTTTCTAGCCATGCTAGGTGTATACATAACATAAAGACATAAAGACACGTGAAGACCAATTTAGCATCATTACTATCAAAAATATAACTTCATAACAATAGCAACTCCACATACATCAATAATCAAACATTAAAAGAAAGGGTTTCTCTCTCTCTCTCTCTCTCTCTCTCTCTCTCTCTCTCTCTCTCTCTCTCTGTTCTTCTCTCTCTACATCCTGAATACTGACAGTTGTGTCTTTATTAGCATTCAGGCTCTGTGTCACACAGGATCAGATGTGAGGAGACCCAGTGATCCCGCTGTTGGGGTTAATATAGACGCACATCTATATTTAGGGGAAGACCTCAGAAACCACTGACTAAAAGCATAGTTACGTCTCCAAACCGCTGGCTCTCTCCAATAACCTCACACCTGTTGTGTTAGTGGACACTCAGTGGCCCATATGAGAGCAGTGATGAGAGAAGACTGGGATGGATGGAAATGGAAGAGAGAGAGGGAGGAATGAGGAAGGGTAAACGATACGCGGGCAGTAACACAAGAAGCTATGTGTTAAAATGTGCTTGTAAAAGAGAAGTACATTAGAGGGATAAGGAAAGAATATACTTGACAAAACACCTCACCAATGCATTCACTGTCTATGAGACAAGCACAAGTGAATCCAGGGTCTCCCCTCACTGCCATGTTTGGTTAGGAACATCTTCCTCTTTATGACCCTCCAGTGCTCCCAGCTGAGGAAAGTAAACACAAGTGATTATCATCTTTTTCTTCAGCAGACAGCGGTCTTAAAGGGGCACTCCGCCACATTTACACATCAAGCTCAGTTTACTTGATCTTTATGTAATACTGAGCCTGTGGAAACAGTTGTATACTGTACTGTCTTCTGTGGCTCTGCAGGAGCTCTGGTCTATGAAAAGAACCCTGGTGATGTCATCCGGTACTAAAAAGTTGGGGCGTTAATAAACATGGGCATTTACCAGTCAGGGAGGATCTAATGAAAGACACCCTTTAGTTGCATTATTATATTATATTATGTAATATATTAGTGTGGTGGCCACTTGGGTGTAGCACAACAAGCTGTAAACACAATATTGACTATCACCTGTTAAATTTGTCATGGCCAACATGCTGGCATATTTTAGCCTCTGAGCACATACAGCAAATATGAAAAACCTTTGCATTCATTTGGACTTGTGTTTTTGGTTGCACAGTGTATTGTCCAACATTTGTTTTGCTTTTTTAGTTTTTCCTGGTTGTAAATCCAAAACAATGAGCTAAAATATGTTAAAATGCTCCAGTAGAGCTGAGGAGCTGTGGTTTTGTCACCTTTTACTTTACACGTAGCAATTTGATCCATTGTTAATGTGAAAATTCACAAGTGCAACACAATGTAATTAGAATACTAAGTGACCAGGATTTCATGGTCACATCAGCAAACATTTTGGACCCAGTTCTTGGATAGCTTACAGTATTAGTCACTGGAAAAGTACATAGAGAAATATTAGTAAATCATACTCAAGTATACAAAATAACTGTACTCACAGGGAAGAATAAGAGGATTCCCTTTTGTTCTTGAGTAAAAACCTTTTCTTCAGTTTAAGGGATTTTGGATGGAGTTGTGGATGGAAAAGGAGGAAGGAAAGACAGAAGACACAGGGATTTCAGGAATAAAGGAAAAAAGCAAGAAAAACAAAAGCTAGAGGAAACAGCAAAGATAAAAGGAAGGGAAAAGTAAAGTTGGATGGACAGAAGGAATGAGCAAGAAAGAAAACAGACAGAAAAGATGGAAAGATGGTTCTAATTTAAACAAAGACAAATGACATATGTTTGATATGACAACTGAGCTGCATGGAAACAAAAGAATCCAATAAAAAGCATAGTTGTGCACAGATTCAGGTACCACACATCACAGCAGTAAAACAGAGAGCCCGACAGCAGCAGTCCAACAAATGCTCCACTGTAAATTACTGCTCTCTCTTTGGCAGCATGAGACATCCCCTCAGCACTTTCATCCACAGTTATTTATAGGCAGATGACCTAATTCAAATTTCAATGTAATATCGCAGTGTAGCTTAGTTTCCTGTGTCCCGTAATGCAATACGGTTGAGCATAGGTCACGGCCCGTGTAGTGTAAGTTGGAAAGTTTGGTTAGGTTTGAAGCTGCCTCCTTAGGCATTCTCTGTGACCCCCAAGTTCTTATTAATCTTGATCACTTCCTGGCCGGCCAAATAGCCTACGTACTCCATCTGGATGCTGTCACTTAGTGGGAAGCAGCGCATGTTTACTTTATCTCCATGACAAGGGACGGACAGTTTACACGCATGCATAACAACCAGGGCTTTCTGGAACAGCAACCCTCCTGCTGCACCTCAGAGGGCAGTCAGTGTTTTGCAGAGGGCATGCGGTGAAAAAAATGTAGATTTAGGTCACGAATGGCCTGAATCTTTCCTATTATGAGTTTGACTGAATAGTTGGGCTTATTAGTGGAGTCTGTGTTTTGTATTTTGCTGGAGTATTTAGGCCAGGTGAGACTCAGGGAAAGAAAAAAGAAATCATATAAAGCTGTGATCCCAGCAGGCGAACATGAACAAGGGGCCTTGCAGTTGAGTTTCTGTATTAACTGATGAAGTGCCAGTGATGGAGAACAGACCAAAACTTTTTACAAGGCTGCCCCACCTGTGCATACTGGACTGTTGTAATAGGATTTATAGAAAGACAGAAAGCTAAAATCTGTTTTTTTTTTTGTTTTAGACATTGCTCTGGAATTCATTCTAATGTGAAATAACTTATTATATTCAGTATATTCTCTTACTTATTCACATAGTATTGAAGTTCTTAGTAAATGGACAAATGGAAGAAGAATTTAACAATAGGACCCAGAAGAAATCATACACTGGCTTGGGACTTCAGTTGCTTTAGTAATGTAATTTTAGTGACAAAGACATCTTGGTCTAATTCGAGCAGATTCAATTTAGCTCAGATATTGATTCTAGATGTTATTGATGTTACCATATGACAGATCACACACATGTTCTGTCTAAGTGAACAGGTTTTGGAACCTCATATTGAATGCTGCCCAGACACAGCGATGTTTGGAGTAAGTCCGCAACATCTTTGCCTCAGTCTAAATACCAAGAACATTAACATTTTCTTCCCTTATTGTTAAAAGACTTGTACTGTTTAAGATATAAATGACACTTGGTCCAGAGAGTAAAGAAATAATAAACTACTTCACACTTGAGAAAATCAGATGCCACAAAGGGTGATGCATCCCAGATCCGCACAGCATGGCAACCGATTATAATGTATTTAGATATGATAGACGTATGAAGATTATTAGGCTATATAGTCCTTTAAGGGCTGACATTTGTTTGTCTGTGTGTTAAGCTTGTTAAATTGTATGCAAACATAAAAAAGATTCAGTTATTAGGAAATAACTTTAATATGGAAAACAAAACAAATATAAGCAACAAACTTATTTCCCTTCACCCTTCCTAAGGTGATAAATCAGGATTTTCAACCTTTTCTGCCCCCCATGACCCTGTTTCTCATGACCTCCAGCATTAGAGAGCAAAGCATGTTTTTGTTTGCGGTTAGAACTCCAAATTTATTAGGTAGAAAATATTTATACATGGATTTATTTTCAAGGGATTAAACTACTTAATATTCAGTAATGTTATAAAGTGGGGGAAATGAGAGAAAATCAAGAGAGCAGGCTTCTCTGCTCTCTTCCGCGTCTTTCTTTTTTCAATGAAATCATCACTCTCTGCCTTCTCAATATACAAATGGTTGATAAATTAGCAAAGGAATCAAAATAAAGTGTCTTAATAAGGAGTTGAACCACCACGAGCCTAGCTTTAAATAACTTTAGTGCTCCTAGGCATAGATTATACAGATCTCTGAAACTCTACTAGAGGGAATGATTACTATTGTTTCCAAAAATATTTGCTCAGTTGGTGTTTTGATAATCATAAACACATCAGTCCAAAATCTCCCACAGGAGGTTGAGATCTGGTGACATAATAATAATAATACTCATGCTCTGTATGGAAGCATTTGTTGTGTTTCTCCACTCATTTAATTAAGTTGTTCTATTAATTTGTCTGAATCATCTCACCACTTCTGTTATTTACTTGTTTTTCAGATCACACCTGGCAGTAAGGCCTCCATGGCTAACTTGTGTGCTGGTGACGTCATCCTGGCCATCGAGGGAGTCCCAGCCACAGACCTGCTGCACTGTGAAGCCCAGAACAAGATAAAAGAGTCCACCAATCAGCTCTGTCTTACTGTTGAAAGGTTATATGCAGAAACAAAAAGCATGCACACAAACAGGTGGTGGATTCAGTAAAGGCAACACCTGCACAGTATAATGAAACTGAATACCTTCGCCTCGTAATAATTACTGTGTTTGTGAAGCTTATATAATTGTTCCATTTTTGAGTCAGACAGCTGTTGATTTAGTTCTAAATTAAGTTTAAAGGCCATTGTTGTGGTGTTGTATTGGATTACACAGTGTACTGTTGTTGCTTTTACTGTGTCCAGTAGGTCCATATCCAAGCTTTCTGTCTTATAACCCCTTAAAACAAAGCTTTGTCATCAGTTGAATGTCACCAAAGAGTAATTCTAGTGATTGTATATACTTTTTGAAGGCAAAATTGTCAAGTAATTCACCAGAGATAAGAGTAAAGGAAAGTGAGAGGAAGGACGATGCATTATAATCATCTCACAACCACTCAACCTTCTTCTTTTTTATCTCTTTTGTGGGTGCCGACCTTCAGATTGTGAACTACTGCAATACAGTATGAGCTAATATTCACTGTACTGTGTTCTATTGTACAGTCAGTATTCAAAATATTTGTGTACTTCAGTGTTTTGTCCTAAAAGGACATTATGCAAGATGTGTGCTGAAAACCTTTTTTCAAAAAGTGTTTTTCAAACTATTTCTTTTCATTTTAGTTTTAATCTTTTCCAGCTCCGAGGATGTTCTTACCTTTTTTTTCTGGATTGCATTATGGAACAATAGTATCCAGCAGCACATTCAAACATCAAGTGAACTTGGTCTGACTTATGACTTATGACTTAATGTGGTCACTTTTTCAGTATCGATACATTCAAAACCAATTTTAAAGGGTTTAAAGTTTTAACCTCAGTTCTGGTGTTTTATAGGTTGGGATTATGAAGCTCACACACTCACAGACACCAGAAAGAGTAATTCAGCAGTCAGTTCATCAGTCAGACCAAGATCTTTTTTTAATTTCCAGGAATGAATCAAGACTGTGGTCACCACGTGTTATTGATGAAGGCAGAGCTCACCCATATAAAATCAACCTGGAAGCAGAGCAGCAGGTTTGTTAGAGCTGTGAGAAAGTGATACATGTTTATGAAAGATCATGGAAGCCCTTTTGTTTCACATTATTATCTTATTATTGTCTAAGTAAGGGCTCTGCTTCTTTTCTTCTTCCTACAGGAGTATAAACCTATTGGCACTGGTCATAACCGGAAAGCTCAGCCATTCGTTGCGGCAGCGAACATCGATGACAAGCGTCAGGTGGTCAGTGCATCCTACAACACTCCTATAGGCCTCTACTCCTCAGGCAACATCCAGGACGCCATGGAGGGCCAGATCCGAGGCCTGGTTCACCAAAAGCCTGCGAGGTGATGGTTCTCAATCTATCTGCAGCTTAAACATGGCAGTCAGGTTCATTCAAAGCCCTCCACCATACAGCAACTAACAGCATGTGAGTCGTAAGTACACTGATTATGCTATCAGTCGTGCTAGCAATGACAGATGTTTATGTCGGCTTGTCACTCAGCCTGTTCAACAGTCCATCTATTGGTCTTTGGTACAGAGGAACAGCACTAGGCTTGTGTACTGTTATAATGCTTTGAATCAAGTTTGGTGTAGTGGTCACAGTTGGAATTGCAAGTCATGTAATGCACTTGGATCAAAAATGACATTTTCCCATACAGAATCATTACAAATGTGGCTGCTGAAGACATGAATAAGTGTCACACTTTTGCCTTACATGTGCGCTGGGAGTCAGCTGGCTCAAATATGTGCAGCTTGAATACCTATTTTAGCATATAAACTTGAATTGGAATGGAGTTTCCTCTGACTTTTCATTCAGCACAATCACAATTTAAAATTGTTAAACCTGGTTAGCTCAGTGGGTAGAACTGGTGACCCATGTACCGAGGCTGAGTCCCAGTGTTCAGATCTGACCTGCGGCCCTTTGCTGCGTGTCATCCCCTCTCTCTGCCCCCCCTTCCCTGTCTATCTTCAGCTGTCACTATCATAAAGGCAATAAAAGCCCCCCAAAATTACAAAAACTAAAATAATACTTTTTAATCTTTTTAAACACCAAGTGTCAATTTTCATCCATCCAAGTTGTGTTTTATGGTATGTAATGATCATTACAGCCTCACAGGGCTACTAACATTGGATCAGAGCTTGTTCCCTGCATGATTTCTTTTCACTTTGCTGTTGCATTTACTGTAGTTCACCTGCTCTTTAAAAAACACTCAGTTTGTTTGGTTTGTTTGTCAGGTGAAGCTGAGTAGCTTAATACAGCCATGGATGTGCTACAGTATGTTCGGCCTTCCCCTCAGTTCATGTGGATTTCATTAGGCTACCTGATATATGGTGTGTCACACTGAGAGTATATCGCCACAGTCCACAGGGATAAATCTTTCCATGGCTTAACCACAACTTCTGAATAAGACATATATCACATTAAACCTAAGTCATGTTACAACATAGACTCCCTCCTCATTACTTCCAGGCTACTTAACATGGAAAAATTGAAGTGCAAGTGTCTTTAATTGTAATGTATTCATAACCACTCCAACCTGAAGACGAGATAGAATTATCATATAATTGACCATAATTATGAAATTACAATATGCATGAAAAAGGGCATGTTATAGAATCAGCATGCTAGAAACTCAGCTAAAATCTTTCAGTCATCAACATCCTCTTTCCTTTCTTTTTTTCATCCACGTGGTCCAGCTCATGAATTATCTTACTCATCCCTCATTTAGCACCCTTGTTCTCCTTTTAAGGTGGACTTTTCATGCTGTAGCTCTCCAATCTCCAGCTGGTTGTTGTCACCTGATCTGCTTCACTCTGTAACCTCAAGTTCAAAAAACTCATGGCAGTGCAGTAAAGATTGCAATGCAGCATTTCTGCTACTATAGCATATAGGAATCCCTCTGAATGAAACTGACTGAAAGTGATCTGTGAAAAAGAAGTCATATGGCAACCTATTAACCAAAGCAGTGCATTGTCAAAGTGTTTATATCCTGACTAGGTATTGTACTATATGTATGTGTGTCTGAATGTGCTGCTCAGCCCCAGGACTTTGACCAGCATTGAGGATTCTGACGTGTACCAGATGTTACAGAAAGACCAGGAGGAGCCCCAGGAGCCTCGGCAGTCTGGCTCGTTCAAAGCCCTGCAGGAGTTTATTGACAGTGATGGTGAGTTCTACCTCTTCTCTTAAAACATCTTACAGGTTGAAATGATTACCGGTACAGAGAAATATTTGTACTTCTACTCACAGCCAAAAAATATGCAACGCTTCACTGTAGAAACACATACAGATGTTTTAAAGGTGCTGAAAATCTATTTTCTAAATCAGATTTTTACTATGAGTTATGGGGTTCTCCATGAACACACTATCTATACTGCCAAAGTTTTAGTTATATCACCTTAGAGATTTCTGTGAGATCTCTTCGCATTGGTTTGAAGTGGGCGGGACTTAGCAACTGTCAGTGGGCTGTCAATCAAAATATCTTTTTAAAGTTAACTGTCTTTTTGAGCATTAAACTCTTCACAAACAATACCTAAAACTTTTCTTTTTCTTTGTTGCTTATTCGCTCATCAGTATTTAATGATCTAGAGAAATTAGTTAAAATCAGTATTTTAAGCAAAGTTTTCAAGGTCTTTAGAAGGGTTTTGGAGTTCTTGTTTTTTGTTTAGTTTTTTGTCATTGGTGTGATATTGAAGGATTCAGTTAAATTAAATGCATTACATTACAGTTATAGGTTGCAGCAAAAAGTTTTAGTCTGTTGAAGACAGACACTTTCCCTCAAGCAATTTACATTTTTACCTCTACACACACACCAGGAACAACTTTGGGTTTCAGTGTCTTCACATTCGCAATACACTTCGACATGTGGACAGGAGAAGCCAGGGATTTAACCAACAACCCTTCAACCAACCTGCTTCATTTACCATTCCTGTTCTACAACTGAATTTACAGAACCACATTGCTCATTTGATGACCTCCCTACAACTGTGGCATCAACAATTATTCCAGTAAATAATATGCGTTATGCTACAGGGAACCAACCAACAAATTGCAAGAGGGGTATTTAATGCTTTATTTTAATAATGTTCTATATGACTTACATACACATAATTAAGCCACACCCCCATGTGTTCCCCTATTATTTGGAAGTGTAGTGTTAAAGCCTTACAATACGGCATTACAAAACCACCCTTAAGGAAGTGTTATTTGGGATTCAAGAGGTTGTAAGTGGCCCTGCCACACATGTCATATCTGTTGAGTGTTTTGTTTTTGTTTATGTAATCCAATCATGTATAAGTACTCTTTTGTTGAGTGGTCTCTCTCCCATGTGGGCAGGCACTCGTCCCATTGTGACCAGGACAGTAAAAGCCCCCATGACCAAACCAACTCCGCCCACAGGAAACCTGCAGAAACTGCCCGTCTGCGACAAGTGTGGGAATGGGATTGTGTAAGTAAAAATAGAAAAAAATCATCTGTGATTTACATTTAGAGCCGTCATGAATCAATATTAACAAAGGGGGGAGAAAATTACAGGAACAATACAGTCTACTAGGGCAACATCTCAAACTATAGCTTGTATAGAAATTAATTAACACCCCTTTGTCTGAACATACGTAAGACTTTAACATAACATACAATAAGCTGCATAAAGTAGTGTCCATTGCAGCACACACACACACACACACACACACACACACACACACACACACACACACACACACACACACACACCTGTAATACATGTTTTGAAAAAAATCTGCCTATTTTTACTTTAGTTAACTTTACTTAAGTTTTCTAAGTAGCTCAATAATCTAAATGTTAGTGTAACATAACATAAAAGTGTTGTAATATAACTTTTAATCATATTAAATAGGCTGTGTCGTATGTAATGATATATGTTCACACTCTCGTATAACCAGCTAAATCATCAGAATTATTTATTCATGTGTATTAATAGCTGGTAAATATTTTATAACACACTGTAAACATTAGTTCACGTGTGTTATCATGTGATTGTGATATATTTATCTTTTACTTTATCAAGTATTGATTAACGTTACTGTTTATATACCAGTTACAGATGGTTTATAGGTGTATACGTGTATTGGTCATATTTTTATTCTACTACATCAGAGTGTGTTATAATGTGAGTATTGTATGTTATAAACCATTTATTAGGCGTTTGTACACAACTTATAAATGCTTAATCGTTAAAGGAAACCTTAAAGGGTTTGTAACTCTCTTTAGTCTTTAATTAATAAATTAATACATTAACTTTTTATTAACTTTAATTTATCATGGCATAATTAGACATTATCATTGAAAATGGGTGCAGTTTATTGGTTGCTACTGTTTAAATCATTTTGATGGTTTACATTACTTTCTACACGTACACTGTTCTTTGCTATTTACATCTTACTCTCTGTCATTTGTGCTACAGCGGGACGGTGGTGAAAGCACGAGACAAATATCGTCACCCTGGTTGCTTTGTGTGCTCCGACTGTGACATCAACCTCAAACAGAAAGGCTATTTCTTTGTGGAGGAGCAGCTGTACTGTGAGACTCACGCTCGTGCTAGAATGAGACCACCAGAGGGACACGACCTCATCACAACTTTTCCTTCTGCATAGATTCCACTCTTATGAGCACAGACACACAGACACACACATGATCGGACACACTTTGGTCAACACTCCTATGTCCTGCAGCTGTTGTATGTGTTTATCTGCACGTTGATGTTGTCTGTGTATCTAAGTAGAATTTGGATAAGAATACATTTACATTATTTCTCTCTCAATGTACTGTAACAGTATGATGTCTTCACCTATAAATAACCTCTGCGTAGGAATATTTCACAGGTGATCGTTGAGCAGCCTGGTTGTTTAAAGAGCCCAGCAACAGCAACTATAAAGCACTGAGACTTGCCACTTTTATTTTGCCAGTTGCTCACAATTTGATGTCTTTCCAATAAAGACTTTTGTTCATACTGTATTGCATTTGTATGTGAAGTCTTGTGATAAAAAGCACCACCTTTCATAATAAACAGAAAACAGTCTCCATGGCAATCTACTGAAAAATAGACAATGCCAAAACAGCAGAATATCCTAGCAGTATAGTATCAGCATGCAAATAATCATAAAATAAAAGGGAGTGGGATCAAATGTTTGGTGGATGTACTGTCTTCATTAATTTACACATTTATCCCACAAAGAACATCAAAGAGAAGAAGGTAAAATAGGTTCATCTTTTTATTTCTGGCATTTCCGTTTCTCAGTTGGTTGGTCCAGACTGATATATCTAATCAACTACGGGATGGATTGCAATGTAATTTTGAACAGATATGTTTCCTAGAAGATAATGTTTATACTGACTGTGGTGTCACTGTCTTTAGTGGTGGCTGACTTTCCCTGTAGTGCTACCATAAGGTTGACATTTTTGGTCTGGTGATTAGTGAATGTTAGTATGCCAACATGGTAAACTAAGATCGCAAACGTGGCAGGCCCATATATTATGAACATCATTTAGCTCATAGCACCACTGTAGGCCTACAGTGGTGCTATGAGCTAACTGTGCAAGCTACAATTTATTTAGCCATACAGGCTGTATTATAGTATGCTAATTGATGTTGTTTTAATGGCCATTTATTTACCACAAAACCATATGCCTTTTCACAAAGCACATATTGACATGTTGTAGAAAAAGACCAGATGTGAATAAAAAAAGTTAATGATGGCTGAATTCCATTTAGATGTTTCGGGTTTTTTGTTGTAGGATTCAACAGATTTAATGTATTCTCTCTTCAATGATCTGACCCAGTCACAGTCTGCTCCTCAGTCCCTCTCTTCAGCCACACTCTCTCCCCCTGCATTACTCTCTATTCCCATCTCCAGCACATAGACCATATAATTGAAAATGGACGTAGTCTCTGTGACGTCAACATCTTGGGAGTCTTTATTCCGCCAGCTCCCAGCTAATCTAAAAATGAGCAAATAGTGGGGCGTCGGTGGAGGTGGGGTGGGCTGAATGAAGCTTGGTTACTGAAAACAGCCACCTGTGAAGGCACCCACCTGTCACTCAAAGCGACCATGGCGTTTATTATGCATAACTTTAAGCCTATTATATAATTTAATTGGGTGAATTCACCCATTTAAATTATATTATAGGCCTCCGTACAGTCCCGTACCAGGTCATGTACCAGGCTGTAGTGTTTATTTCTGCTGTAAAGTTGGGCATTTTAATACAGAGCCTTAGGCAGACCACTTCTGTAGCCAGTTTTCCAGCCACGGAGTTTGCCACTTTCTCCAGCACCTGCTCACTTCTCCCAGGCCATGTACTTTCCTCCATCTCCCCAGACCTGCCCTCCTCCAGCTGTCCAGCAGATGTCCTCGGAATATACTGCCTTTCCTCATCGCCTCACTGCCCACCCACCTGTTCTCACATCTCATCAACCCTGCTGTCTCCTGAGCTTCTCCTCACCTGCAATTCATTTCATAATCAGCCACTCACTACATATACCAGTTCGCTTCCTTTGCTCCCTGCCAGATTTTTAAGTTTAATTTCCATGAGTTGGGCTTTTGCATTCTAGCCGTAGTTGTGTGTCTGTTTCTTGTAACCTGGACTCCTGTTACGTGATTCTGCCTGCCTGACCTGCTCATTTTGCCATCCAACTGTAATGGACTTGAAAACCTGAACTTTATTTTTGTTAATAAATCACTGAATTGATCCTGTCCGCCTGCTGCTGTCCATATTTGAGTCCTATTCCGGTTGTCCTCGCACCAGGTGTGACAGACCTTTACCTTTAATGACTGTCTGAATAGGAGCGTTATCGCACCACTGAACAGAATAATCAACCACTGGACCATGAGCAGAATCAGTGCCCTGTCACAGGCCGACTACGACGAGTATTATCTGTCATCTGTGATCTTTCGAATCTGTCAGGATGGGAAAAATCCATCCATTAAAAGCAGAACATTTCTCCTCTGCTTTAACCAATGTCCAGTCTCACATTTTAGCCAATAAACTGTCTAATGATAACTTAAATTCCTCCTGACATTTAACATACCAACAGTGAGAGGGAGCACATCTAGTTACATCTGGTGTTTGTGGCATTGCCTGGTCTTCATCATCTGTTCTTTTTGAGAAAAAAGACATCAGCACAGCCACCCTGTGAGACCACCTACAGTGATGTATTTGACTGCTGCTGAGCAGAGCTGTAGACCAGAGCCAAGTGTCTGGAAATGGGAACAAGAAAAGGACAAAAGACAATACAAAGTGATGTAATAAAACAACAGTATTGATCCTGTTGCTGTTAGCAAAAGTACAGCAGTCCATTATATACCGAGGCTTCTGTGGGGGAGGACATGATTTTATTCCCCCTGGATTAGGGTTGGGGTCACTCGCCACTAGAGGACACGCTTCAATTAAAAAGTGTAGAAAGAAATGACAGTGGGGATAAAAATGTTATTTGAGAGATTAAAATAGTTCCACTCCTGTCTCTGCCTCTACAGACAGTTACACAACTGAGTCTGCTGTCGATAAGGCACAGCAGAGGGTTCATCATTACTCACTCATGTTGTGTTTTTCAAAACTACAGAACTTTATTTGAAATTCCAGTCAACATTCCCATTTCCAGTAGGTCAGGCTCAAATAAAAAAACAGAATATTTTGATTTGATGTCATGACACAACCTTGGTGTCAGTGTTAGGAAACAAGCATCTGCAATAAAGTGCTGAAACTGAATATATATGATGTGATTATGCAGTGTTAAAAAACATCATCCTTTTACTGGTTATAACCCCTAAAACAGTCCAGTGACCGTACTGCAGGTAATAGCCTTGCAGTTATGATTCAGTCCATTGCACATACTGCATATTGAGAGTAGTGACTGCTGTTGTTGAAGTGAGACCCTGTTGAGACAGCGGGGGGAGCTAAAGTATCTTCTTTTTTTTTTCTTTTTTTTGCTCTTTGACAAACACACACACAACAACAGAAAACATTAACAACAGGAAAGACTGTAGTCAAACAAATACTAGCTGTATGTTTTATGGATTAGGAATACAGTGTGTACCAGGTATTCTGTATATGTACTATGTTTAACTGTATGTGGTAATGAGTTGGAGTTTTTGTTCAGTCTATGAAAGATCAAACAAGCAGAAATGCCAATCACAAGTTACCAGAGCCTGCAAAGTGATCACATTTTAATTGTTGGTTCATACATTTTATGGTTGTCTCTCAGAAGCTGGAAGATAGTTAGCAAGACCCAGATATTTTTCTCAAGAGCAAACAAAAAAACCAAAAAAAAGATACAAATATGAATGCTGATATTGCTCCATGTCCCTAACTGTAACTGTTAGTAACATGTTAGCTACAGTGTAACAATTTTATAATGCAATATTAAATCAGGGCTGTGTATGTATGCGTGTGCGTGTCTGCCTGCTTGTTTTACAGTTATTTCCAATAAATAATGCAGCTTTAAAATTTCATATTTACAGCTATTGATAAATTCAAGTAACAATAATATGACAAGCACACAAATTTGAAAAGTTGGGCAGTGAATTTCTGCTAAATGGAATAATTGATGAATACAACAATCTTTAAGGCATTAGTGTCCCCTATAAATATTATGTATAGTAACGACATCCCACTTAAATGGACTTAAGTGGCTAAAGAGCCCCATGACTCACCTATTAACCAAAAAGACTATATGTATGAACTTTAAGTGAGCCATCTCTGATGAATATGCTGTCACACTGTGTTTCACTACCGGCTCCACTTAATTATTTCACAATAGAAGTAAAACTAATTGACAAAATCGATACTCAGTCCGCAGACAAAATGACATTAATCAAATATTAATACATGTAAATGGAAGGCCGAGACACAGACATGGGGAGTGACGTAAGTGCATTCTCTTATGAAAGCCAAAAGACAAGACCATCCGCAAACAAGAAGGAATTTAATTAGTTTTAAGGCTATTGTTCATTTTACTTCATTTGCAAGTGCCCTCCTCCTAAGGACACACTTTGTAGCAGCAGCAACTGCTCAATAACATTGGACAGTTGAAGAAACAATTATTGATTTAGTGCTGAATACATCCATGAATAGCCTACTAAAAATGGACATGCAGACCTAATATCCCAGTCCCTCAGGTCCTCACGTACGCACAAAGTAAATCAGTGTGGACCTGGTCAACAGGAAGGGCTTTTCAAAACCTGAGCACCGGTGTAATCACTGTAAAAGCAAATAGTGGTAATTAGGGTGCTCGCTGCAAACAAAGACAAGTCGGGAGGGGGAGGAACTCCTCTTTACTGTCTAATAAGAAAGCCTATTTTAGTTTCCTACTGAACCCATAATGCAAACACACATAAACATCTGTACCCCTCTGTGACTGTAGCTCAGACCCCATAAGACCCAAATAGCCTATATGTGAAGGCAGAAAGTTAGTGGTATGTACTTCACACGTTTCCCCATGTCACATGTCTTGAATTCATTTGTATGTGATATTTATTTGTCTATTTATTTGTAAATTTCAGCATGCAGTAAAGTTCACCACCAACGTGTCCTATAAAGGACCAGTGTGCAGGATTTAGTCCAGTGATGAAGTTGCACCGTGCAACCAACCTCGCCTTCCAAATGTGTAGAAACTATGCTATCAGTTGAAAGTCACAAAAAGGTGAAAGGTCCTATCTAGAGTCAGTGGTTGGTTTGTCCGTTTTGGGCTACTGTAGAAACATGTTGATTCAACATGGCGGACTCCGCAGAAGAGGACCTGCAATTTCTCTAGATAAAACGGATCATTCTGAGGTAAAGAAAACACAATTCGTATTTTGAGGTGATTATACACGAATGAAAACATACCTATGAATGTTATATTCCATTTCCGACAATAGATCCTCCTCATTGTTACACATTGCACCTTTAAATGTCTATTTAACAACACTTTTACTACAATAACACATGTATCAAATTACTAGATCCCACTGAAAATCAACACAAAGTTGCACCAGTTTCCCAGTCCATTTCTGAATCCTGTTATCATTGACCCCTCATTTAAACCCACAGACAGTCATTTCCAACAGCCAAAATAAACAGTCTAGTGGGTCAAAGAGATCCACAAAGGGACTAACATTGAAGAAGTGGCATCATCATTTTTCAATGAATGCCTTAATTTTATAGTCAGAACCCAATCAATGTTTAACATATTCACTCAATAAATGACGTAAATGATCACTTCCGGGTTAACTGACTAATTGTTTTTTGCATTAGCTTACTACTATGTTATCCATAAGCACTTGGCTGTAATATATCAAAGCTGTACATTAGTAAGCTTAGACATTAGTTCATGCAACTTAATGTGGATTTGTTGCTTATTTTTAGTTCAGTTTAGTTAGTTCATTTGATAGCATCTCATTAATTGCAATGTATTATTTGGCATTATTAATCACACCATCAGCATAACAGTTTAGGCACTGTACGATGTCACTAGCAAACACACCACATGAGAAAATATATATATATACGAATTCAAGCTGCTCATGCCTTTATGAGTACACAGTGGACTCTGGACTCTGATGCATCCTGGCTTGATGAATTAAATTAAGTCCTCTGATAAATACAATAAATTCCTGATTGTGAACAGCAGCATATTTTTTTTACTTATGTTACATTTCATTAGACAGTAGAGTTTCTTCAACATTGATTTCACATTTTTTTCAAATATCTACAAAAGCTCCAGCTATTACTTAATTTCCCAGCTATGACATGTGATTGTTCTTAAAAAACACAAGTATGAAAAACATATTATGTCCTTCTTATAGTTCCGTATACATCATATATACAGTATCTCATTTAATAAAAGTTATACTACCAGTTGTTATGACTACCACTGGTTGTAACAATATCACAATGATATATAGTGATATATAATCAAGTATGCCAGGTCAACTGATCTAACAACCTTGTGTAGAGATGTACACTACAAAATGTACAGCACTGTGAACGCTGTAAAATCAAAGCATTTCATATTAAACCTGTCTGGATTTGGAGCTGAAACACACTGCTGTGAGAGACCTTTATAGAAAAGTTAGGCATTGGCCTTTGTTCAAGCTTCAGAAGTGCCCCAATATAACAAAATTAATCTGGATAAGTACTATGAAGGCATTATTCACTTGCTAGTAATTATTATAAGGAATTTTAGAAAGGTTTATTAGATATGAGCCTCTTTTCTTTCTCTGCTGAATCACTGCCAGGTATCATAGTCACAGTTTCAACATATTTATGTTTTCAGGGCTTCAAAAGAGTTCAATTCATTTTATATTAGCAGATGATTTTGTTATATTTTCTTTCTGTGGTGCAACACTGAGTAGATGTAAAACGATAGAAAGTTACAGTTTCCCGAATCTAATTTATATCAAGTATGCAGTGACTACAAGATATATTGGTCACCCATCCATAGATGATTTATGGTTGATACAGGTGGTTGAGAGACCACAGACGAAATAATTGTATTTGTATGTTCTCTGCAGATGTCAAAGTCTGGCAGTGATAAGAAATCTTAATGCACATACAGAGTGGTGAAAGTAGAGAGCAATACAAAGCAAATGACTTGAGATGTGGGGACTCAGGAAAATAACCTTTTCTACATTTTGAGAATATAGAATACAAATGTTTGGATGAAAAAATGAGTTTTGTGGTTTGTATTGTGTATGATATATACTTTATTTCCTGGCTTTTCATAATGTTTTTGGTGATTGAATTATCCTTTACCGCTGTGGTCCAGAATTAAACTGACATGAATTATACTAGATAGCTTGACACAGAATTAAAATATTGAAGCACCTCATGGAAAAGGACTTTTATCCATAAGTGGCAAAATCACAGTTAGAAACACTGCGACAAAAGTGGGTCATATTGAGTTGAATGTCAGTAAGTAACATTTGTGAACAATATAAAATCTGTTTGGCTTTATAACATAGGGACATAAGGGAGTGTATGGAAATTATTAAGAGGTGGAAAGTTATGTCCTATTTTTATTCTTTCCTCAATGGAAAAAAAATGTATTCATCTTTATTTTCTTCTTATATTGTATTTGCATCTTTGTTGAATCATATATATATATTTATAGATATAGATATACACATACATATACATCTAGATATTAACTTTTCTTATCCCTGTCTGCAGGTATTCCTTTTAGACTATATACAGTCAGGTATGTAACCTTCAGCAATAATGTAGGGCAGGCTGTATGTATGTAGTCTGAGAGGTAAAAACCCCATTATCAAATAAAGTCTTCTTGCTGCTTGTTAAGCTCAGAGCTCAAACTAATAACTGAAGGTGACTCAGATGTGATCTCTCATCTGACTGTGGTGGCAGAAAAACATCAATGTTCAGAGAGTACAAAAACCAATAACACACAATAAAAGTGAGGGGCACAAAAATGAACAAAGCTGGTTGGGTCATCTGTGGCCAAATTTAAGATTCAAATACTTTAATACATCAAGAGGAAATCATAGGCAATCATAAATATTTTAAACAACGCTATATCCACCATGGTTTGATTTAAAAATGCTTCTGAGAGTTGACAAGTATTGATTGGAATGAGAGCTAGTACGACCCACCCTTGTCGCAGTGCAAGTACTGTAATGGTAATTTACTTCAAAGTTGAAGCCCTTTTTAAAACATTTAAGTAATTTCTTCTAAACTATATGTCATTTTCATCATCCATCACTTTGAGAGTCCTAAACACAACCAAATACAAACTTTACATTTCCACAAATGATTGTCAGTGAACTGACTATGCAAATTAGACATTTGATGATTTGCAGTCTGTACAAACCTTGTCTTCATCTTTTTGTGCCTCTCTGCCTTTGGAGGGTCTTGACCTAAAACTGAAAGGCTGGTAGCACTTACACACAGACAAAAATGCCGTCCTGTAGTTGTTGTTCATCCACCCATAGAGGATGGGGTTGACAAACGTCGAACACATTGCCAGAATATGGAACACAGTGAAAAGCAGCTTAAAGTCCTTCATATACAACACAGTGCTGTCGATGTCAACAGCCAGCTGGAACGCGTAGAAAGGCAACCAGCTGACAGCGAAGACCACCACCATGACCAGCAGCATCTTAGTGGTCTTCTTCCTGCGCTGATGACGGTCATTTCGACCTCCACAAGTCATGTGATTCTTCAGCTTATTCCAGATGCGAATGTAGGCAACAGAGTTAATGGCCAGAGGTAAACCATACTGAACCAGAAGCGCTGATACACTGTAGATGCTTCCATTCATGCTGCTTCCTGGCCACTTCTCTGTACACACCTGAATAGACTCGTCCGGTGAAAGGTCAAACGTCCCGTACTCCCTGAAGATGGCGAGCGGACTGGCCAACAGGGCGCTAACAGCCCACGTGATGACAATGACCAAAGCGCACATGTCTTTGGACATCTTGGTCTCCATGTGGTAGACAATGCTCCTGTGGCGGTCCAAGGCGATGACGTTCATTGTGATGGTGGACACGTGCACTGCCATGCCTTGAGCACAGGGCAGCATGAAGCACAACACCTGGCCAAACTTCCACTCGCCATACAGAGTGTAGACGAGGGTGAAAGGCAAACACAGCGTGTTCACCAGCAGGTCTGCCACTGCTAAGTTTACTATAAAGAAATTGGTGACCGTTCTTAGGTTTTTAAACTTGTAGACAACATATATGACTAAGGAGTTTCCAATGAGTCCAAACAATATGATTATACTGTAAGCAAGGATGAGAATAACTTGGACTCCAACCAGCTTTGTGCTGTCGTCCAGCTTTAGAAAGTTCTCGTCACTGATGGCGGCTGTAGTTGAGCAGCAATTGGAAGGTTTCAGTTCAAGTTGTGAGTCTTCCACTTGAGTCGTGTTTAATTGATCTGCTGGATCCATGGCTAACAGTCCCCATAAGTCACTCTGTGGAGAGACGGACATCTGTTTCAGCAATGAACATGTTATATTGTTATAAATATTTTCTATTAGTTTCCAGGCATTAATCTGTCAAAATGTTTTCAGTAAATCATCTAGAAAATGTTAAATGTTTATTTTCTTATGAAAAGCATTGGATTTAATGAAAATGTATAGTGCCTTCACTCAGCAGGGACACTGTGGAAGTATTTATTTTAATTCATATGTAGATTTCAAGGGAACATTTATTTCAATTAAGACTGCACTGATGCATACTTAATATCTAACTTTCATCACAAAGGAAGTTCAACAATGATTCATGATATGGAGACTGATCCTCGAGCTAGTTCACAGAAAAAAAACCTCTATGAGCTTTTACTGTCACTCCACATCTGATGACTTCATTAATTCAAGTTTTAATGCTCTGTTTTCTAGTTGATAGCAGAACTTCTCTGTGTGTTTGCTATTCATAAGACTCTACATATTCTCTTTAGAGTGGAAAAACATTATGGACTATCATACACTGAACGCATGAACCACATCCACATACAGTTTGATAACTGCTGCAGTGATCTTTTTGTTAATATAGATAAGATATTCACTTCATTTATCCTCTCTCACATTTCAGAAGGAGGATGAGTGAGAACCTGCTAAACTATTGGCCTGAAAATCTTAAAATAAGGTCGAATTAACCTTTACACGAGCTTTGGGAATATCCCAGCCTTGCCCAGAATCCGTTACGCCCAAAAAGGGGTTTTAGAGGTTAAAATACAGTTGACCCTTTGGCAGTTGGTGATGATTATTTATAAAGAAAAATTCAGAAGTGAAAACCTGTCTATAATATGCAAGCCTACAGTGAAACAGCACTGCTACAGCTCATTTCTCCACACTGGAAAATTGATGAACACGCTCTTTACTGAGATTAAGATCCACTCACCTCAATCTGCAGGGGGAGATTTTTAGATTCCTCTCATTGTTTCTGCCTCCAGGGAAGTTTGGTGATAGCCTCTGACATTTTTCTCGTTCCTGTGATATCCAAACAACCAAAACAATATAAACCACATCGGCTTCAAGGAGGAACAACGTGCGCGCAACATTTGCCAGTGCGCACTGCAGCCCGTTTGGCACTAAAGGCGCATTACCTGCCCTGTGAGAGTCTGCGAGACCGACAGATGAGGCGGGTTGAGGAACAGAGAGGAAATGCGTCCTTTCCTGACGAAGATCCTCAAACCTAGGGATGATTGCCTTACAATGGGTCGTTTTTGATGCACTTTATCCCGAGGGAGTACTAAACGCGTTTCATGGCAAATGGCATGTTTCCGCCTATCGGTGCCAAATAATGCGTATAAATTGACCATTTGTGTTCAGTTAATAGTGTAAGAAAACCATTTTTTAATGTCAGATTAAGAAATGTTTCAAACATAATCAAGAATCAAATAATCTATTTAATGTAATCTGTTAATGTCAGAAGCCCTGTGTGCCTCTACAGACCAGCCCTCAGGTGGAGAGCACACAGGCTTGACTATTTACCAAACACATGGTTCTGCGTGACTCTGTTTAATGTGAAGGATCAAGCATTAAATCATAATTTCCTGCTGATTTAAATAATCATCAGGCTCATGTTGGAATTTTTCTAACATTTACAAATTGAAAACATCCTTTTTAAAGAAATGTTCTTGTTGCAAGTGAATAATCAAAACTGAAACTGAAAGGCCAGATTGAATTTAACTGCAGAAGAGGGGTCAAATAAATCAGCACACACACGGTTGCATTTGTTTCTTCCAACTGTGCAGCACTAAGTCAGAAGTAATACTCTGAATCATCGCCCATTTGCACCTGTGCAGGGTCACAGAGAGCTGGAAAAACAAATTGGGCAAAAGGCAGGGTATACCTTCAGGTTGCCAGTCTAGTACAGTGCCAACACACTCACCTACACACACACACACACACACACACACACACACACACACACACACACACACACACACACACACACAAAGGTTAATATAGTTAACAAAAACTAAATTAAAAATTAAATTAGGTGTGAACAAAGCACGCAGAGGCTTTTGTGCATATGTTTATTGAGTTTGTATTGTAAAACCTACTCTGAACTTCTGCCCCTGACAAATATATATATATATATATATATATATATATATATATATATATATATATATATATATATATATATATATATATATTATAATAAAAACTAAAACAAAGAAACAACTGGAAGTTATGTTTTACAGAAATGTTTCAGTGACAGTGACAACTGCCACTTCTCTGAGATGGTAAAATCCTGCAGCTTTATTGTCTTTACTCCACAAGCTGCATCCTCATTAGAGACCTCACTTGAAGTAACATTTTATATAGAATGGCCAATGACAACAAGAGTTTACTATTTAAAGTGTAGTATAATGTAGCTGACCCAAACTGTTAAGCCTCTGGCTGGTAATTAGGCTCATAATTTGATTACCACTGTTATAAACCAAGACACCATGTGGTCATTGGAAATTGAGTTACTGTCAAGCAGCATCCTTGGCAATAGCCCACTACGCCCACAGCGCAACTACACAGATGGTGAAGTGATGATAAAAACCAGGAAACCCTGAAAAGATGGGCATGTTAAGAGTTTGCCCTGTGACTTTATGAGGCGCAGACTGTAAATGATGACCATGTTTTAATGTGAATGTCAGCACAAGATGGTCTTTTTTTTGTCATGTTAGAACCATATCAGTGAGGTTTTAGTTCTTTGTGTATACAATACTTTATTTTTATCTGATGTTTTTGCTGACTATTTTCTACACAGCCTAACCTTTTCAATGCATTTCCTTGAATTTCAGGCAGCTAGGATTATTTGTCATTCATGAACTTGCTGCAGTAATATCACTTTATTGTCTACTTGATGCTCACTATGAAGGAATACAAAACTCGATGTGTCAAGTATCTGCAGTTTGCTAATAGATTTTCATACCATAAAGATTTGAATGGAAACCAATGGATGCCTGGAACGGGATAAAAGGTAAAATTTTAAAATACTAAAGCACAGTGCTTAAGATAGCTGTGGGGTAGAATCTGTGTGATTTGTAGTAAATGGGATGAAACATGAAAATACACTGGTGGCCTATGCTTTAACAGGACAGAAGTTCCTCAACCTTGTCAGGAGTCGTGTGTCGCCCCCTGATAAACATTAGTCCAATGTTGACTTACTGACTTTGCCTGTCTGCTCTTTGCTGCTGGACAGGAAGTGTACGTGTGTCCGTGGAGATTTTTCTGAAAACAGCTGCCTGATGCATGCAGCTGGAAATTAGGTTGATGAAAGCATTGAGAGTGAATGAAAAAAGTAAAGTTGTGGGCCATAAAGTCAAAGCGCTAACCACTAAGGCAATCTGCAGAGTCAGGTGATAATTCGTTGTTGGTTTATTACTACAAGCAATACTTTTCATATTACACATAGTAATTTGATCCATTGTTGATATAAAAACATTGATTAGTGCAGCTTTAATGATTGTCCTATTTAGTTTTTACTTTTATTTATCTGAACTTATTCTGTCCTTGTGCTGCTGCAACAACAGAATTTCCCTTCTGGGGATCAATAAAGGCTTATCTTATCCTGTCTTAAGTTAAGCAAATTAAGTTCCCACAAGATTGCTTCAAATGATTAATGAGAATTTCACCACATTAATTAAGTGGACATTATTGCAATCTATCTGTAATGAGAATGAAAATACATTCTTCATTCTTCTTTTCATTAATTAAATGCTTGTACAATGTCTATGTCCATTCCAATGATCAGACAGGATATAGGACGTAAATGTAAAAGACTCTAAATGTATTTCCACAATGTTTTCTGTTTTATTGATTTATTTTATTTAGAATAGAATTATAGCAATAATTGTCCTAACTCGTGTCCTATAGATTCGAACTACTCATCCACCACACAAAAGAACAAGCAGTATCTGAACATGACAGCATTGAGTAGGGACCTGATATTGATTCCCTCAATCTAAATAGAATCATACTCCCGAAATATCTAAAGTGACTGAAGTGTACCTAAATAACGGCAGGAGCTTTCATGCCTTACACACTATGTCTGTAGAGGCCGACAGCACATTGATCATTCTGAACAGCAGACATTAATAACACTGAGCCCTTCTGTCAGGGGTCAGCCTATTAAATAAAATTATTGACCAAACGTCCCCTGTTCTTTACAAAGCTTCACATGCCGGCATGATTTCACAATCCAAAGGCCAAATGTCGGTTTAAAGGTGAAGTGGTTAATAAAGGGAAACTTTAAACTTTAATTTTAGCCACGCTGTTATAGTTTTTATCCTGAGTTATGGAGCCAAATAAAAATTGAGGATGCACACCATTTATTGCTGTCTTGTGAGACCATGAGGGCTTCAAACCATATACTACAAATGACTAGATTATTTTCTATACAAACGGTATAAAAACTGTAACAGTATTTTGATAGTGACAGTAGACAGATGACTAAAATTAATGGTATTTCCTATTCATATGGCAGTGCAGGTTTCACTTAAAAGATGTGAGGTGTGTTTACTTCAATCTTTATCTCTGTCTCCAGAGACACCAGAGTCTCCTATGAATCTAAATGAGATCATTATGATATAACTTCAGTCACAGCTGCTGCAAATTTGCATTCAAATAATGATAACGCAGTCCTTCCTTTTCATACACCCAGGGCTTCCAGTGTATCCATATAGTCAATTGAGACTAGTATTACAACACTGCTTTTATGATAATATTTCTATCTTCTGGTTGACTTCTTTTCTGCCTCAGTATTCATGATAATTAATACTGTTGCTGCTGTGCCACATTAATCCTCAGTATTAAATGAAGCTGTAGAAAACAACAACTGTACTGTCTCTGGCAGGCAGTGATTCTTTTATTTTATTTTTTTCAATAATTTAAGAAAATGAAAAATCCCCCCAAAAAAGAAGACTTATTTCATTTTTGTCAGTGGTGGTTTTTAAGCTGAACTCAATCTTGAACATGAGGGTTTAGTTTCATTGATCCCATTGCACTGCAGATGGCCTCTTGTCTGATCATCATAACTTGAATATGAATTACAATGACATGAAGGTACCCAAATTTGAGTCGTAACAGAGCATAAGCTAGAAGGTATTGTAATGGAAACACATTGGGCATAAAGCAAGTTTTATATTTCAAAAGTAATGACATTGGAGTAGAATAATTTAGTTGTAAAGACGAAAAGTAAATGAGGTTTCTTACATAGTCATTGTCACATTCCTCTATGGAGTAATAAGGCTTGGAAAAACAGAACTAAAAACCTTTTGGTAGAGGTTATCAGGTTATCGCCAAAATGTAAAGTCACATCCACCAGTTACAGACCTGAGACTGTTTACAGCAACATTGTACATCAGTGATTTGGTAGGATTTAATTAGCAGGCAGTTGAATATGTGTGTTGGAATTGATAATATTTCACTGATACCGATGTCATTAACGATTCTAATTATGGGTACATTTCCCTTATTGATTCCTGATCCATTCTGTGTGTGTCACATTTTCCCTCTCAGTGAAGCTGAGCTAGCTGTAGCCTAGGAGCTAGCTGTAGCAACAGTCAGTCTGTCATCATTTAAAATGGATGAAATGAGAGAATATTTGTAGAGCATTCATTTTCATTTAGGTTTTCTTTGTTAAAGAAAAAATCTGCTAAGCATGCCTGTGTTGTTATTTTAGCTTAGGATATTTACCTTTGGTAACGGACATGCTGCTGCAGCTTGGAAGCAGTTGCACTCATGCATAGTGTCAGTGTTAGGTACATGTCATTCCTGGAATTTAAGCCCATGTTGCATAGAAAGATGTTTCTGCATACTGCTGGTGTTTCCACCCTTTACATTATCATTTTGCAGACATGACAATTACCACTGTTGTCATCTTTCTTTGTGAAATGAATCCATGCTTTGGACTGTTCCCTCTCCGTCATGACTCCTTCTTGTTGCAAGTTACCAGCAAGACAGATGCATCAGTTTGATGTCATTGTTTTGCAATGCGCAACTGTCAGATTAAATAAGCTTGGAGGCAGCTTGATTCTGATGGATCAGACCATTTGAAACCGGTTCTGAACTGGAACTGGTTGTCGATTCCTAACCCTAGTTGAATAGAAGACATTTTTTGTATAAGTAAGTAAACTTCGACATTGGAGAGTTGTGAGCAGTCATTAGTTTTAATTTGCATGTATATTTGGGTGTTGTCTGCCTACGTGAAAATAATATCGTATGACATTCTTTGCCTAAACACTGGAAGGAATCAGAAAATTGCAAGATCCAACACTGAACCTTGTTGTATGCTGTGTTGTGGTTTACTTTTTTTGTCTAAATGCACCTCAAATGACGTCTATCTGACATACACTTTTAGCTATCTGAATATAGTGAGAGACCACAAACTCCCCCTGAAGGTACCCAGAATGGTGACAGAGACTCACAGAAAGCAAAGAGAATTGACTGTTTCACTCCACGTGCAAGATTTATTTGCATCAATACAGGATACAAGCAAACCGAGTTGTCTCGAGAATCAACTAACTAGAACAAAGAAAATCACTCTATTATATGCCTCTTTCCCCTAGAGTGTCTATTGGTGACGTCTAATGTCTGATAAGCAGTAGTCATAACACATCTGATGCCCTACTCTCCAGGAGACAGCCTTGGTCTTTGGAATGTGCGCAGCTCATGGCACAATGAATAACAACTCTCCTAACTAGTGTGAGACAAGTGTGTGAGTGTGTGAATGCATGAGGATTAACATACATGAACATAAAATATTATACTGTAAGCCTGTAAAATTAAACATGAAATAACACAACATAACATAGTTTGCTTCATGTTCACATAACCTTATCCCTGAATGCATTTTCCCCTCTACATCTAAAACCCTTTTTTTCTTATTTATCAGATAGAAAGAACTTAAATTATTGATTATTGGACAGGACCCTGTCTGTTCAAGGTGGAGTCCACATGGTCCAAGTTCCAATAATAGGCCATGAAGTTGAATTTACACACACATTTGTCTGTATGGCACATCTGTGGTATGGGCACTAACTGACAAGCGTCATAATCATGACACCATGTGACTCACTTTACACTAACAAGAAAACTGGAATGTTTATCATATAGAATCTGGTAATTAATGGCTGTACACCAGTCAGAGACTTGTATACAATACACCAACACAAACCATAAGTATTATGTGATCAACTGTATTAAATGCTGCATTCAAATCAGATTAAGTGAATCTAATGCAAAGATGTGTGTTGTTTACTGCATCTGTATCTAAATTGAAATGTTTCAAAAAGACCACTGTTGGGGAGATGTCATTAAATGGAGTAACTACTAGACTTTCTGTGGTGTGGGAAGCATTTCACAGTTGGATATTTGGTCTTTAATATCCCTGGAGGCCTGAAAAAACTGTTAAAAATAAGAAAGGGGTGACTTAAGGCTGTGCTTAAAGGACAGAAAGTAAAGAAAGTCCCAACTAGATAGTTGGAAAGACTAAAATATCTATCAAACATTATAAAAAGCATCGCCAAGACTAAAAGTACAGAAATGCTTCTTTCCCTTGTAATGGCCCTTATGACTGGTGGACATTGTAACCATGTTTATGCTTAGAGCAAGTCCTATTTTATCCTTGAGACTGACTGTTTGTTTGTACTTTTAGTAAAGATCCATCCCACTTTGTTCTTACAGAAACAGAAAACTTGATTGCTAAAGCAGCCATGTGATCCATATTTGATGTATTTGTTGGTAGCTAAAAAAGGAGACCCCTGTGGGAATATAGATATGAAAATCAGATTTCCCTCAGTGAATCCAAGCTAAAAGCTGAAAGGCGTCAATTTTAGTGGTGACAAAACTCAGTTACTCTTCCATCTCAGCAGGGGCTGTGCACCTGCACTCCGCTTAATAGAACTTGGGGACTTCAGCCCATTACATCAACCTCTCTTGAATCAATACATAGTGCTCCCCTGCAGGATTAGTGCTTATGTGTACTGTACAGGCAATTGTCCTTCATTAACACTGGTCTTTACCTGTGTCACTCAGGTTGAAGGCAGACATAAATGTACACTTTGACCCTGGTGACTGTTTATATCTCACTATCCTGTGCACGCAGCAGGTATATAATCTGATGAAATACATCTTGTCAAACATCAGTTTGATTTATCTGAGATAAAGGCAAGGAGCTTCTGGTCAGAGTGAGAGATTCATACATGGCCTTGGGAAAAGTTAGAGAGACAAAATAATCTTACCACAAGGTCTACTTACAACAGTTGGTTATCATGGATGTGGCTCAGTTAATACGTATTAAACTTCAACTGAACTTTGGTCATGTGACAACTGGTGGTCATATATTGGGGAAAGAGTTTACTGTAACTCCTGTCTCTGTTCAAAGATGGTCTGTGGCACCAAATGTGAATGGCTTCTGAAAGACTGCACAACTTTTTTTTTTGGGGGGGGGGGGATTATTTTTTACTCTATTAAAACGGAAGAAACGTATTGTATAGTACAACACTGATGACAAGCTAAAACAAACATTCACTATTAAGTTCCTACAACATCTGTGTACACCATCATGTATCCACAAGAAAAGTCTCTTCTTTCTAGATGTCTCTGCTGAGCTTTATCTATCTGTCTTCACGAGTTTGCCACTGTGCTGAGTCCATTTATAATCTATGAGCTGCTACTGTTAAATGAGATTATGTTGAATATCGAAGCCTGGTGATCATTAATAATGAATACTCACACCTAACAAATAACATTATAATAGCATGACTATTCAAGATCAAGGAGAAGAAAAACAAAACACCAGTCAAAAAAAATAATAATTACATTTTTATTATTGTAAACACATTAGTTTCTTAGTGCCTTAAGTCAAAAGGCTAAACCACAGGACTTAATTTCAACTTCAGTCTTCTCTCATGAGATTTCTCCCCAAAGGCCATTTGGACTTTTTCTTTTTTTTGCAGTAGCTCAACATCCTCATTTAAACCAAGAGGCAGTTAGAAGAAAATGTGCATGGCAGGTTTTTAAAGTTACCCTATGGAGTTTATTTGTAAACAAATTGTTATGTTATGTTTACATCCAGTGTTTCTTACTAAAGGTGTAGCTCTGAAGCCAAATAAACATATTGAATGCATTTCCTTCAACACAAAACATTTCCAAAGCCAACTTTTTGAATATTTTTAAACCTGCATAGTTTACATCCATATATACACCAGTTATTAGTCTTGCTCTTTTCCCCTTTTTTGGTGGGGCATTGCTATTTTTCTTGGCATGTAAGCGCCACCAAATGTTGGTCAGTGGAAAATTGTGAATCTATTGGCAGTAAAGTATATCACATTTTGTGCATGCACAAGAAAGCAAAAAAACCTTCACAGAGTACCTTTAATTGGAAAAAGATGAAAAGAACAAGGTATGCATAAATTCTGCCTTTACAGACAACCAAAGCATGCTCTTTATTAGAGGGTTTTGTCAGTTCATTGAACCAGGGTTATTGTTATAGTTTGTCTTCTCACATGTAGTGTTAGATCATTCATAAAAGTTATTTACTTCAACAGTAAAGCAAAACACATACTGCCTTTCATTAGTAGTTCCATGTCCCCTCATTCACCTAACCTCAGCCCTTGGTATTACATAACAGCAGACATCACACAGAGGCAACTTGGAGACCAGTGGCCAGTGGGTGGGGTTGCTGCGGGGGATTTAAAGGGAACTCACTTTCCCTTGTACACTTCCAGCCTAAACTATCATAGATTGACAGCCAGTTGTGCTATATATATGGTATCAAATGGCAGAATGATGGGACAGAGCATTACATTACTGTATACAGGTTTAATCAAACAAAGAGTCTAAACAGTATATTTGCTTAGCTGTTATACCAGTCTTGTGCTGTCCAAGCTATAGCATTACAGCCCTCTAGTCTCTTTGTCTGTCTGCCTTTTTGGACTTTTGGCAGATTGTTGGCAGCTGTTGATCAGTAGGTAAAGAGGGTCATCCACCAACTGGCTCCCCCGTGCCCATGTGTCAAAGTGTCCTTGATCAAGACACTGAACCCCAAGTTGCTCTCCAGGTGCCCATGAATGCCCACTGGTCCTAGTGTATAGAAGGGTCAGATGCAGAGGACACATTTATTTTTCATGTATGCAAATACTGTGAAAGGAAAACTTCTTCTTCTACTTCTTTTCCTCGGTTCCCACACTGATTCTCCGATTCTCCAAATAATTAACGCATTGTTGAGAAACACAGATATTAAAGGTTTGTCCCTTTTATGAATTTACTTAAACTTAATAGCTCTGTAGGCACAGATAGATCTACCACCTTTAAACTATAATAAAGATTTATTGATTTGTTATATAAATAACATTCCTTGCTGAGCACTAAGTCTGTCCTCGGAGGTAATAAAACCATTTTGAACCTTTTCCCTTTGGTTAGAAGCAGGATGAAAAGTGTGATCCTCAGATTCTTGAAATAATTAATCAACCAGAAAGTCAAGGTTGTTTTTATTAACATCTAATAACACTGCTGACCATCAGGTGTTCAGTTGATTTATTATCAAGACAATTTTGCTCGAAGGTTTAGCAATGTTTAATGTCATTACGAAGACAGAAAGTTTACCACATTCTCTGCACTAATGAGGAAAACACTTAACACTAATTGTGCTTGTTTATGGCTATTTGTTCTGCAAGTCTGCGTTCAGTAGTAGATTTCTTTTGTGTATTTAAAATGCTTTTTTTCATCAGGCACAATCCAGGGACTGTATACAATTAACTATGTTGAGAAATACATGTTTAATGGACTGATAAACACATTTGACATTTGACATTATGATAAATCAAAATGATACTATTCCATTCAGAAGAAACTTATTGCACTTTGTCCAAGCCTATGTTATAGTATCACAATGATGACAAACATTAATTTCAACATTCTTGCAACATCCATCCGCATACACCATCTTGTATCCACTGGTTGGTTAGCCTCTTCTCTCCAGATATCTCTGCTGAGCTTTATCTCAGTCTTCAGGAGTTTGCTGAGTTAAAGTCCATTTATAATCTATGAGCTGCTACTGTTAAATGAGATTAATATTGAATATCAGAGCCCGGTGAACATTAATGATGAATAACTTACAAAATTAGACCTCTAACAAAAAAAGGGTTTCTAACCGCACAACGATTATCAATGCAAAGAAATATGAAACATTATTTAATAAATAAAAAATCTATAATTGCCCAAAGAAAAATAAAACGTAAAACTGTTTTATTATCACGAACACATTCATTTCCCAGTGCCTTTAGTCACACAGCTAAACCACAGGACTTAATTTCAGCTTCCACTAGTGTGTTAAATTAAAGTCTTTTCTCATGAGTTGTCCCTCCAGCGGCCATTAGGCTGCCATCCAGATGGTGAATGAGATGAGCAGGGTCGGTAAAAGTGTCAGTGGTGTCACACAGCCCAGATACAGCAGGATTCCTACACCACACAGCGCAGTCAAATAGGAACTCATCCTGCTGAAAACAATCTTCCGTACTGTTGTGCAGAACTGCAAGAAAGAGTGTGAGAATGAGACACTGATTTGAGGCTGAGTAAATCACAAATTAACAGGGCAGTAAAGGTCTATTATCTAGAGGAATTCATTACCTTCAGAATGGCAGTCATTTGGAAACACTAGATGGAGCTACTCGCCTCAAGTTAATTTGCACTTCAGTGAACTGAAGCAAAAAACTACCTTCAGTGAAAATATCCTCGTGACGAAACGTCAGTAAGTCTTAATTGCAGCATTAAGGTATCCCCTCGTTGTGAAGCAAGAAAATAAGTACATTAAGATTAACACCACTTTACACTGAGCGCACATTTGTCCAATAATCTGTTTTTCCACTAAATCCATGTGGCGACATTGCAAATGCTACACGTGAACCTTAAACCATTGGCTTTTGCATGTGATCTTTCTCATGCAATAATCTCCAGGATGTGACAATAGAAGAAGAATTGAAGGTTACTGTGGAAAAATGATAATCAGGGGAAAAGGTTTTTAGGTAAACTGTTTAACTGTGACATAAATGATAGTTTACATAGTATAATAAACAGTATATTTCAGAACTTTTTCTGATGTAATTACCTGCAGACTTCATAGACTAACTAGATGTGAGGTACTTTAATTGATCTTGTATGAAAGGATGGATTTGATATGTTTGATAAGTCTGCCCTAAAACAATACTCACACGTCTATATTCTATATTCTATATTCTGTATTTCTTCCTGCACTTCCAGTGTTTCAGTTCAGTGTTTAATTGAAGCTAATACAAGGCTTGACTCAAATAAAATGGCTATTTTCAGAAGTTACTGTATTTTTATAACAATATTCCATCTTTTCTGTCCCACCACTGTGGTCAGCAAGCAGAGTTTGTTGGGTGAAAAGGGAAAAAAGGAATTTTAAAAATAAAAAGTCTGTAACATAGCTGAGACCTAGAAAGTCTCATATTAGCTTTGGTTAAACTTAAACTTTTACTCAGGACGCAGACTGTGGATTTTGTCCTCCATTACTTTACATTGGTTAGGAAATTGTCTTTTATGGCTATGATGGACAAAAATGCAAACATATCCTTTGTTCTTTCTACTGACAGGAAGCCAGAGACTCTACCTGGTACGTCTGGTAGCTGATAGCCATCCCATATCTGCAGTACATGACATAGTGTTCACAGTTGTACCACAGTAAGCTGTAAGTGACAGAGCCCAGGAGCTTCTCAGCCCTCCTGGCCACCTCGTCCCCGTCCAAAGCTGGTTGACGGCACACTTTGTCCATGTGGTTGATCAGAATCTCTGATCCATATGCAAAATCTACCACAGAGTCCACTCTGACACTGGCAACCTTGGTGATAACCCCCAGCAGCAGGCGGTTATTTGTTACCATCTTGGCAATTGCAGATTTACTGTTGGAAATTGCAGGCAGGATGTCCGGAATGAGATGAGCCACACGGTTGTCTCCCAGGTAGATACCAAAATGTGTGAATAACGTCCTGGGGACTTCTAATAAATCACCACGCTTGTAGAGTGACAGGTCATATTTAGAGTCCTCCTCCTCTTTGGAAGCTACAAGGAAAAAGTTGAGTAGCTGGTAAAGAAACATGATGGCAGTATGCGGCAAGTGCTTGACACCCATTTTATTCATGGTGGAATTGGGCGGGACCAGAGTAGTTAGTAGGATTAGATATTGGTCAACGTTTCAATATGATTTTGACAGAAAAAAGGAGCTTTCTCTAATCACTTTGCTCTACGGTGCGAAACTCAGGCCTTGTTTCTTTGTGTATTGAGGTCAAGGGTCCTCATTAAGAAGGCTGACTTGGCAACGAGTTAATCCTCATTTAAAAGGTCAATGATATTGAGCCATCATGCCCGAAATAAACAGCCTTTGTTTCTCGTAAACTGGATTAGAATGCAGCCCTTTCTCATTATTATTCAGCACTTTCTAGTATTTTTGGAAAAAGGTATACATCTTATATAGTTATAGAATGTGTAATGATGTGAAATGTTATATCAAATTAGCTAAATCCATCACAATACATACAATATATACCTTTATTACTTTAGCATTTTTTACAGTGCTATACTGCGCATTTACAGGCTTATTGTATTATTATTTTAGAGCCCGAGTCCCTCAATCGGAAATATATCATGAAATATCACACATATTAAGGCTAATTTGTGGTTGTGCATGTAGCTTTAGATATATGGAGAATCACACAAGGCACACAAGTAAAAATAAATTGTTTATTAAACATTTGTCATATTTACAACTTTATATTAAGTGCACTAGTATACAATATGCACTACACTGCATATGTACATTTCGTTGTAGACTGTATATTCACTTTTGACTCAAATGTTGCTGACCGTCATCCTATGTCAAATAATTAATATATTTCCCCACACTTTTATGAGAGGACAAATAAGAAATGATTAATTCATGTATCAACACAAAACATTAAACATTGTCTACATAATAAAAAATTAAAGTATGGTTGTTACAAGGCATCAAATGACAAGCAGGCATCGTTGTGAGCAGTTCGGTCCTTGCCAAGTAAAAGTTCAGTTCAGTTTGTTTGCAGGTTCCTTTAACCAGCCATCCACAGAGTGCAGGGAATGAAGATTGTGGGTAATGTAGTTGAGGGCGCCATGCCGAAATTGACAATGGAGATAATTCCAAGAAGGACTGTGACAATCACGCTGCGCTGGTCTCTGATGATTGATTTCAAGCACTGACAGAACTAAAAAGGAAAGAAATACAGTTAATTATTTCACACATTGTGCTTGGCACACAAATATTTTATACCATGGTTACATTTCTGATCAGCTGTGACCTGGAAAGTCTCCATCTTTCATACTTCAAGCTCTCCTGTGAACAGTTTAACCTCCATTCTAAATCAGTGTGCAAGGTTAACCGGAGGTAACATAGCAACAGTACTCTTGTAGCAACCTCTGATGGTTAAACGGCTTCAGCGGTGTGTTAAACTTAAAGCTGGATTACCAACTGGGCAAAGCGGGGCTGTCCCTTGGCCCCTGAACCTCTAGAAACCCTAAAGATCCCGCCCCCTCAATGTTGGTTGGTTTAAGCAATCTAATTTGCAGATTTGATTCTCATAGCTTCTCATATGTTTAATCTTTAAATTTGCCCATGTACAGTTTATTTTAGTTTTTCAAAGGAAAAAAAATGCTCAGATTTTTTGCACACCATTTTACTGCATATTGCATAGTGTGCATTTGTTTCATCATCAAAATGCCCAAAACTAACTAACTAATCTGGGGTATTAGGAGTATGCCGTCTTTGTGAGTACTGTATCTAATCAAAGTGTGAACCAATGGTGTGGATGGGCGTGGGTAAATGACTGCACCTCCCAAAACATTAATCCAATTAAAATACAAACTTTCAAAAGTGAAAATGAGGATTTGAACACAACATCTTTTTCTTTGGAAAATGGCCACGGTATTAAAATGATGATACTTTTCAAGGTGTCATTCTGGAGCACACACTGTATTGTGTTTACCTGTGTAATGCACCAGGTTGAATCTGTATAGCCTATAATTGTGATACATGATCAATAACCACAAGGACACTAAGACAGACATTTCATCCTGCACGCATTCAATAAAAAGTGCTAAGGACTGTACCTGCTCTGTCTGCCGGCTCACTGCAGAACCGTATCTGCAATATGTGGCAAAGTGTTCACAGTTATTCCACAGCAGACTGTAAGGAAAAGCTCCGATTAGTTTTTCAGCTCTCTTGGCGACCTCTTCGTTGGAAAGTGTGCGGTTCTTCATCATCTTATCCATAGAGCTGACCAGTATCTTGGAGCCATATGCAAAGTCCTCTAATGTGTCCACGCGCACCGTGGCACATCTGTATATGCATCCGAGGATGAGCCTCTTGTTCGTGATGACAGAACCGATGAGCTTCTTGTCGTTTGTCAGCACAGGAAGGATGTCAGGGATCAGGTGAGCGACTTTATTGTCACCTAAATAAATGCCATAGTGGGTGAAAACGGTTCTGGGGACCTCCAGCATGTCTCCCCTCCGGAGAGGCGTTGTGGGACAGCGCTGGGCGTAACGCTCCCGGTCGCGGTCTTCACCATCCGACCAGCTGGACTCAAGAAGTTTGAATTTGAAGAGAAGAGAGATCTTCTGCACCAGGAATGTCAACAGCTGCAGCATATTGAGAGTTTTCGGGGGAAATATCCTAACATGCTTGAGTGTAATGAGCTATTTATGCTCACTGGCACGAGGAGGAGGAAATCCCGAAAACACGATTGGCCACGAGTGACCGTGCGCACGTGCGCATTCTCCGTCATTCACACGCTCAGCATCTTGTATTTTTTTCTGCTGCATTTTGTTCCAGCCTGAGGTTCATTGTTCTCCAATAATCACTTTTAATTGGGACAGCAGCCGAGAGAATTAGCTGTGTCTAGAATTAGGAATTAAGGCAAGGCTCAGTGGTTGTATTTGATTAATTGCAATTTAAGAGTTACATACAGTTTGAACGTTATTTTCCCCTTTAACATAAAAGATAGCAAAGCAAAATAAAACTGGTGTAGTGAAAATGAATCCATAATGGCACAGGTTTGAAAGAGAGTAAAGTCATATCTAGAAGCTGGTTCCAGCTGTGTGCAGTTGTTGCTAACTGCTGTCTCACTTGTTCTGACTCCAGCTGTTCCTGAAGATCAAAGGTGGTCTACAATTATATCGTATTTTGGTTTTACATAAAAACTTTACTGGAAGAATGTGCAAAGACTGAACAATGTGCTTGAAGACAAATGCAGTCCCATTAAGAGGCTGCCACTTAACAAACCAAACACAATCATTTAGTGTCATTTAAAGCTGCACTAATCAATAGTTTTACATTGAAGAAATGATGTAATGTAAAAGGTGTAACCCTCCTTATCCCCCAAACTATGCAATTACCCTCAGATTAATGGAGCATTTTTGCATTTTTAAGTTCATTGATTTGGTTTTCTGGGAAGCAACTTTACTGTTTTGGTTCACTCTCACTGCTCTCATCAGTGAGAGTAAACCCACAGTACACTGGTCAGCACCAAAATGCAGGCAGACATTGTTTGCAACACTATCTTAGGTAAAAGTACAGATGCTGCACTATAAATACTTAATTGCATGTAAAAGTACTGCATTCAGAAATGTACGTAAGGAAAACTTCTGGAGTATTAGCAAAAACAAGTACTTAACGTATCAAACATACTCATATGTCAGTGCAATATTTCTCTCTGAAATGTACTGCTCTTGAAGTACAAAAGAGCATACAATGGAAATACTCAAGTACATCAAACTTGTACTTGAGTAAATGTATTTAGTTACTTTCCTCTCTCTTTGCAAGGTCAAAGTATAGGCTAAAAACGTTTGGTTTCTTTGAGGTTCATAACACACTAAAATGTTGTTAGGGGCAAAAAGAAAAATACTAAATAAATAAAATAAGGATAGCAATAAAAAGGTTTTGATTTAATTTGTGTTATTCTCTAGTTTGCTGAACTGATGAATGATTTTTTTTTTCTTTTTTTAATGACCCTTTTGGCAATTTAAAACAAAATTCTAATTAGGCTATTAAGCTGATTTTCCTCCAGACAATGACTTGCAGAGGAGCTGGTGGGCAGTGGATTTAACTCGGTTAATCTGTTTTGCCCCGTCATGAATTCAGGTTCTGTCCTGGGAAAAAACAGACTGTGTTAGATGGTCTGCACCTTCTCAGACGAACCACATGAGACAAAACATTCCCTTAACCAGATTACAGTAATCCTGTCAGCTCCAGTTACGCGCTCATCTTTAACCATGAAAATACCTTGAGAAATGTTTGAACCTTTTTGATCTTGTGTCTTTGAATCATTTCTTACAGTCCATTTGCTGACCTAGATACTGTGAAATAGTTGCAAAAGGGCTAAATGAATGTGGTATTTAACCAGCTGCTTCTTCAGACTATGAGAAAAAACAGTTTGACAGTTGACCCACAAAGCATACATACCTTTATTTTTGAGGAAGTGTGTGTGATTAAGGATTATTCAGCACTATACGGCTCTTGAATTTCTAATTTGCAAACATTGCAAAGCTTAGATTCATAGATTATAAGCAAAAAACAAAAAACAATACATCTTTGTTTAGTGCATTGTTTGCACGCATACTGAAGCCCTAAAATCACGAGTAAATGAATTAACCCAGTAATAAACAAATACTAACTTTCGCTGAGTTTCTACACTCACACATATATTGCATTTTATACTTCTCTAGTGTTTTGGACCATTCAATGTGAAGTTGTGACCAAACACACATTTTTTATCAGTTGTCAGTTTAGCTTTTGGGGTTTTTGTTGGATGATTTGGAACGTTTTAGCCACAATGAGAGCCTATTTCATTTCTGAGCATTTACACACACTGGGTTTATTTACACACACATTTAGACACACTGGGTATATAAAAATAACCTGTTGTGTCATAATCAATGGTGGAAGAAGTATTCAGATTCTTAGAAATACTCCACTACACGTATAAGTGCAATCTAAAGCATCAGTGCTTATTAAAGTACTCATTATATAGAATAGCCACTTTTAGATTGTTATATTATGTAAGTTATCACGTAATATTATTGGGTTGTCACTACCAGTGTTGGGCAGTGACTCATTACTTTACCTTGACTTTACCAATTTTGTGGGGAGTAGCAGAAAAAAAAATCTATTACTGTTGGCAGGGATAGATACATAAAGTCATAACATCATTTTTGAAAAGAGTGATGAGTAAGGACCAATAAATTAAGTTTTTTGAGTAATTAGTCTAACACTGGTCATTACTGATGCATTATTGTGTAAGCAGCATGCTTCAGCTGGTTGAGGAGCTAATTTGACTATTGTGTTGGCTAGTTTTTTAGAGGAAGATATTCATATTGATATTAATCTGAAAAGTGACTAAGTGTAGCTGTCAGATAAATATAGTAGAGTGCATGTATAGTTGAGTAGAAAGACGTAGAATGGAAATATTCAAGTAAAGTACCATAAAATTGAGTCCAGTACATGTCTAAATGTGTTTTCCACCACTTGCCTGAATCCAAAGTGGCCAAAGTAAAATGGTAATAAAAGATGCCACTACAGTATCTGAAAGTCCCCTTGAAAGCAATTTAAAAAATGATTATATTTACTAAAACGCAATGTTCATCAATGTGTGTCAGTAATCACAAACATCTACAGTATCAAACATATGTGTGTCTCAGGGTTACAATGACATTAGCCATGGAAATTAAACATATATTTTGATATGATCATAATTAAACTTGACAGGTTGATATGGAAGCACTCATTATTTCTCAGCGACAACACAGAAAGTACGAGTACTATATAAATCAATCAGGGCAATAAATGGCACAACGACCAGTGAGTTAACAGAAAGAAAGAGGCAATGTAAGACAAGTATTAATATACTGGTGGTCACATGTGCCCCACATGTTTTATTACAGCACAGCTGCAGGACCAAATGACACAACCTCAAACTGGGTGTAAGCAAAGTAAACATGGAAGCAGAGCAGAGTACAATAAATCTATATGGCAGTCCTATTATTAAGAGCAACATATTCAGGTCAACTCAGTCACTTAGTAACACAATCAGTGAAAACCTGAGACTAATAAGATGTTCTTTTTATATTAAAGTCCTTCACGGTGTGTGGACAAACAAAGTGTCAACCTCGCTGCACATTGCAGATCCCCGTTCAGCTGAGTCGACTTACCGTCTGTGACCACAGGCATTATAACAAACCTTTGCCCTCTGTCCTGGGGAGATTTATGCCACGGCTCCAGACTTATAGTTGAGGCCAATGGGGGATCCTAACAAGGCTCTTTACATTTAATTCCTGGTCAGGCCACTTGTAAACTATGCCGACTTTGTTTTTCAGCCCTAAAACTTAGGTTAATTACTGCTGACCAGATTTTCTATGTTCAGGAAAAACGATGAATCAGCAAAATAGCATGGCTTGATTTACAGGGTAAACACGTGAGAATTTCAGCTGCCAGCCTTAATACTTAAAGCAAACAAATAACTTTGCATTTCTTTTATATTGCTTCGCATCCTGATATAGTACAGACAATGTAAGAATGTCAGCCTGGCATCAGTGTCTGAATACACCAATAACAACAGCAGCCCAAAACACATCTTAACCCCCTGGACACAATGTTTTCATGTCTTCATGGCACTTAGAGAAAGAAAGAGACACTTTCCATCTGGCATTTCATCACAAAGAGGCCAGTTCAGCAAAAGTTCAGCACTGTTAAGTTTCACGGCCCTGGCAGTTCATTCTCAGGTCAGCAAGGCTTTATATCCCTCCTGGGCCTGTTTTTTCCACGTAATAAAACAAGGTCACACAGAGAGGTAGTTAAGGTAAGATTTATCATCTAATGTCAACATGGTGCGCACATATGAAGCCTTATTCAGCGTTATTTGTCACATGTATCTGCACTTTGTTTGTTTTGATGTAATAAAAAGAGGTGCGTTTGCCTGGAGCACCCTGAAGAACATCCACTGGTTAACCATTATCAGCAACTGTACAGTATACACAATATTTGAGTGATAAGACCAGCGTCAAGTGGCATTGAACAGTATGGAATTGACTGCAAACATTCCTCAGTCAAAAAACAAAATAGTTGCACTTTACTTTTCAGTATCGCCGTAACTCATCTTAACCCAGCAATGCTAGAGAATGTATATAGTTTATGATGTTGAAACAATAGATTTATTAACCCACTCACATTTTAACCTTAAAATCCACAGCAGATAAACATTTCCATTGTGAATGTGGACTTCTTGTTAAAAAGAAAAAGATGCCTCAAACTCATCTGTCACCAGAGAAGTGATGTATTACTATTAACTGTGACTCAAAGAAGCACAGCAGCATGAAATCAGAGCCCTGTAGGAAGCTAAATGTGCCCGATACAAGAGGTTATTGTGCATTTTTACTCTTCTTAGGATGTGCAGTGGGAAATGGAAACGTGATAACAGTATGTGCAATTTATGGTTCTCTGTAAGTAAAACCAACAACAGCACAGTGGTCCCTCAAATAATGCTTAATTGTGACTTAACCTTTTGACTGCCTGACCTTGAATGATCAATTAGCCAGGATTTTAGAGGTAATGAGGGCGAGTATTGGGCAAAGTTTTCACTGACCACTGTTGCTCTATGCATGTAGGATGCAGCTGGTTTTGGGGAGAGTCCAAGTTTAGGGAAGTCCAGTCTATCTGCTATAGTTTTGGACATAAGACACGCAATGGCATCATGAAAGTCTATAAGTATACCTGTTAAACTGTGTTTTATTGGTTTAATTACAAATGCATTGTAGTTTAGCAAGAAAATGAGGATGATGATCATGATGGCGTAGGTGTAGCAGCCTCTCACAGAATTAAAATTCATGTATTCATCTATTTATGCCTGAATTCTGATGAACAATGACACTGAAATGAAATGCAAAATGCTCACAAAAAATGAGATGCCCATCCAAAAGGTTTCCTCTGGCAAAAGGACTGGAGACAGCAAATATTAATTAAATGATTTGGATGTTTTGAATTTTATTTACTCAGTTAGATGTTCAGCTGTATGTCTTTCGTATATTTTATTTCTCAAGATCAAAATTGTGTTTCTCTCCACACTGCTGGAAATAAAATCACGGTGGGAAAATACTGAATCCTGAAAATACAAATACTGTATAATCTTCAAGGACATTTTATTTGAAACTACTCATCCTTCATGCAGATTAGCATAATATTCCTTATGAGATCACTAGAGATGGATTGAGTGGGACTAAATGTTTATCTGCCAAACAGGACGTATTAAAGTATCACTTGAAACATGTACCAACACCAATTACAAGCAGGCCTGCCTATTTGTTGGTAGGATTTTCCTGCAGACTGGAGGAAGCGGTCCAAAAACGTAAACTGTCCATAAAATAACTATTATAATGGTGTGATATTCCTTGTACAAAATCTAGATAATAAGGTAAAAAGATATAAAAAGATAATTCCAAAAGTCACCCATGTGTCCTCCTTATGTGACACAAATAGATTTACACATCTAAACAAAGCTTTTAAGTGGGGTTAAACTCATTTTATCACAGTGTACCAATTATGTTTCAGTGCGCTTGTGAGTCAGATTTAACTTCTATTTGTGCAAATATATCTCAAAACACAGATCTCACAGAACAGTGTAATTGTTTTACTACATAATTGTGCATGCAGTCTTCTTTTAAGCTGAACTACGCTGCTGTGTTCTGAATGCTAATAAAGTCTTCAATTTGAAGGCGTGCTCACTGATTGTAAGGTATGCATGTCTGGTTTATTGTGGTTCCACTCCCACTAGTGGTTTTATCTACCAGTGCAGCCAGGTTTAATTTAAGAGGTCAACCCTATCCACCAAGCTGCAGGATATTAAGTGAAGGAGTAAGAATTCATTTTCCAAAAGTTTTTTGTTTTTCATTCCTTGCTAAACTATCACAAAGTGTCCCTATAAAGCCTCATAATTATTTATCTGAGAATCATTCAAGTTATATTGTGATGTTTACTACTACAACCACTAAATAAATAAATAAATAAATATTTTGGAATGATAGAAAAAAAAATCAGATAATAGGTCAGAATTATAATATAATAAATCTACATTTTTAAATAAAGTTTGTATTTTTAATTTAATATTTAATTATTTGTTTTCCTTTTCTAGGCAGAAATGGGCTTCCGTACAAAATGACAAAATATGTCAATAGACTCTTTCTAAGTTCCTAAGACTTAGGAAGGATCAATTGTAACTGCCATAAAAAATAACAAGTAAGCATTTTCTGTATCTGGTGCCCCAGATAAGCAGGCCAACATCATTTATCAGTGTCTTCCAAAACTGTTACAATAAATATATATATATATATAAAAATAAAACCATTTTCTAATTTTATACCACTTTTGTTTACATGTTGGTACCTTACCAACATGTAAACAAAAGCGAGTTGGTTAACATTAGGGAAACATTGAGGTTTGTCTTACAGAAACTTTCATCATCATGGTTAAAATAATAACTACTTGGTCTCCTGTGACGTCTGACGTTTTTTGTTCTTATAAGGACAGTTTTAAACATGTAGTTATACATTTGTTTCTCAAAATTATGTCAATTTAGAATCTCATCTTCTTGACTTATAATTGTGAAAATGTATTCTAATTAGTTTCTTTTCCTGGCACTAATGGCCTTCCATCTTTTTTAATTTGTCTTATTGAGATGTTTCAACTGACACCTGCGAGCCAACTCAAAATTAGTATTTTTCATGGACATGTTCAAAAAAACAATTTGTTCATCCAGAATTTGTTGGCACGTCTTTAGTGACAACACAGTGATGTTAATGTTTTACAGGGACATGTTAAAATGACATTGTGTCTTTGATGAATGACTCACACTGTCATTTGCCTTTGACTTTATTTTATGATGAATAAGAATGCAAATAAATTGAGTTCTAGTCCCGGTACACAACTGACATGAGTTCAGTTTGACTGTCCAAGTCCAACAGAAAAAAATGTCACAAATAGGGAACGATAGATGAAGCTGAGTCATCATTCTTCTCTGCTTTGTCATAATTACCGACATTGTGTTATAAACAAATATGCAGTTAATGGTTAAGTAACAGAACTCTGTTCTGATAGCTCAACCGTCAATTACAGACCCCGTCAAATATGGGAAATGACCTCCTTTGGACATTTGAGTCACAGCTTTGTCCCAACACAGTGAGTGGGATGTTTGCATATGAACCCCTTATCAAGCACTGAACTGAGGACCTTGTTCAGATAAATATCCCACAGAGTCGAGCAGCTCTTCATTCTCCAAGAAGACAAGACCACAACTGGTGGCCAAAGCAGCATGGCTCCATCACTTCTTGCAGCCGTAGGAGGACTTCTGTTTCTTTTCTCCTTCTCATCAGCAGTAAGTCACTGAACTTTTCACTGATGCAGTTTTCTTGAGCATGAAAATAAAAAAATCTAAAATGTGTCTTTTTTTTGTAGCAAACCAGAGGAGACAGCGTTGCATTATGCAATCCAAATGATGGCTTTGTAAGTACAGCATACAGTTACAAATAATAAGCTTATATATTATTGTGTTGTGGATTGTATATCTATGAACTATGTTTTACAGTTGTCCTATCTGTATTCAGGGAAAGTACTGTCCTACTACATGTGGAGTGGCTGATTACATGCTGAGGTATATGCCAGAGGTGAACAAAGATTTGGATGATTTGCAACGGGATCTTGATTCAATTGCCAATTTGACCCAGGGGGCCGAGGATACAGTTGTCTACATGAAAGATTCTGCTACTTCAGCTCAGAAGAGTTCGCCAGGTAATACGCTCATTTTATTGCCAATAAATATCATCCAAGATCCATCTTCATACAACTGATGCGTTTGAATCCATCGTTTTAATATGACTATTCTATTTTGGTCATTTATATAAATACCTACCTTAAATTCCTCTGTAAAAACATTTGTCAACATTTTTTTTTAAATGTGTTCTTTGATCACTTCTTTGGTCACTACTGACACTAACACTTTATTTCAGATTCATACTTCAAAAAGTCATCAAGCATGCTGGAAGATGTTCTTCGATTTGAAAAGACCATCATCACACAGGAACAGCAAATATTGTAAGTTACCATTAGGGCTGAAATTATACCATTCGATATACCAAGTGGCGTAAAGTAACTAAGCACATTGACTCAAGTACTTAAGTACAATTTTGAGCCACTTAAACACAAAATGCTAAATATATAAGATATGCCCGTGTTGATACTTCTCCTGGCTGCCATCGCCCTTAGGTCAATGCACACCAACCCACCTCACCCACGCAGTTAGGACTGAACACAGGTCAAGGGACGATTTGCCACCCACGCCTCTTTCCCCTAATGTCTGATTCACTTATAATACAAACATTTAACGTCTTCGTCCAAATTTGATCGATCATTTGTTCCTTTTGCTGCTTTTTCATTTTCTTGTATTATAATTCTCGTCTTATTTTGTACATTATCATTTGATCTCCGTTGTTTCATACTGAGACATACAACTCACATTTACTTCCCTCTTTGCAGTGAACTTCAGAATTTAATTTCATCCAACGAGAGGAGAATGGCAGACTTGAAACAACTCTCCATTCAGCTCCAGCAGAAATGCAGTGAGACCTGCAAAGAATCAGTTGAAATCCAGCCCACCACAGGAACAGGTAAAACAAAAAATCTATTTGTTCACCCTCAGGTCATTCCTATTTCACAAGAAGTTTCTCAATCATGCCTCATCTGAACAACAGTTGTCCTTGTTCTGTGTTTGGTTACAGACTAAAATCAATATGGTTTATCAATGCAAAGTAAACAGATTTGTTCTAGATGTAATTTGTTGTGACCTCATTCCAAATAAGTTATTTATACTTTTTTTAATGCATAGAATTGTAGACATAATTCTGTAAAAACAAATTAAACCAACATCAGGAAGAAATATGATTTCTGTCTTGTTTTATAATAAACAACATCTTTTGTGTTTTGTTGTAACATATTTAATATATTTGTAACTGTCTTTCTTTTTCTTCCCTTTTGCCAATCAGACTGCCAGGATGTTGCAAACAAAGGTGCCACCACCAGTGGACTTTATTATGTGAAACCAGCCAAAGCCACTGAGCAGTTCCTGGTCTATTGTGAGATTGACAGCTTTGGACGTGGCTTCACAGTAATACAGAGGGTATGCGTCACTTTTATTGCCTCACGATCAAGGATGGCTCTTCACTGTCTTCATCTTGTACTGCCTGGTTTTGTCAAAGAAGTAGACCTTACGCTCAGAAAAACAGCTTAACTGATAATAATGATAAGGGACTGTGGGACTAGGGACATATGACCAATTACTACAACTGATAAGGGAAGGGTTACGGTTAATATAGTGAGTGTCGCCTGCCCTATTTTTCAAGCTCCCTCCTTCCACTAATAGTTTTCATCCCCTAGTGAACTACTTTTGTAAGAGTGGACTTTAGAATTTGAAGAATGTTTTGTTGACAAACTGCAGAATCATGAGTCAAAATCGTGAAGTTTCGTAATAAATCTTGACACTTTCTTATGTCCACAGAGACGTGACGGCAGCGTGGACTTCCACAAGGACTGGGTCCAGTACAAGCAGGGCTTTGGTTATCTCTCACCAGATGACACCACAGAGTTCTGGCTCGGCAATGAGAAGATGCATCTGCTGACTGCCAGTACCACCATCCCAACTGTGCTGAGGATAGAGCTGGTTGACTGGGAGGGCACCAAAAAGTATGTACACACTCACCCACTCGCACGATAACATATTATGTAAGAGGAGAGCAAAGGGACTCACAGACAAAGCAAACATGACCCCAATGATGAGATTTAATACTCAGCAGAGGTTACCAATAGCTAACATTGATCCTCTGTGTGGCCTCTTTTCTCCAGGTATGCTGACTACACCATGTTCAGAGTTGGCTCAGAGGCAGACATGTACCGTCTGACATACGGCTATTACTTTGGTGGCGATGCTGGAGATGCTTTTGATGGCTTTGACTTCGGTGATGATCCCAGTGACAAGTTCTACACGCTTCACAATGGCATGCAGTTCAGCACCTTCGACAAGGACAATGACAAGTATGATGGCAACTGTGCTCTGCAGGACGGCTCTGGCTGGTGGATGAACAGATGTCATGCTGCACATTTGAATGGCAAATACTACCAGGGTAAGACCACGTGACTAAAACCAGTGCAAACCATTTCATTTTGTTCACTTTGAGGCCCAATAATTCTGTTTTTATTAAAAGTACATGTATGTTTTTATTTGTGTATAATCATCTGAAAATAAGAAATGTGTCTTCGTTACCTTATCTACAAAAGAAGCAGGTCTTCTTCTACAGAGTCCACCACATTGAACCACTATGTTTTCCATAGTAACCTCTCTAACACTCTCGGAACCAAGCTGTATTTAGTTGGTTGCAATCTGCGACTTCACTGCTAGATGCCACTAAATCCTACACACTGGTCCTTTAATAAATATGCAACCAGCACCCACATGCGCAGAGACAAACTGTTATCCAAGCACATACATTAGTAAGAATCATTTGAGATCTAATCTAAACTGTGTTCTCTTTCATCTAGGTGGCAGGTACACAGAAAAGGATGCAGGTGAATTTGGCTACGACAACGGCATTATTTGGGTCACATGGCACAACCGCTGGTACTCCCTGAAAGAGACCACCATGAAGCTCATTCCCCTAAGCCGCATCACAGCTGGTGGACAGCAGGCTGGTGTGAAGCAGTTTGGCGGACTTGGAGATTCTTAAAAAGTACACTAATATGCTTGTGGTCTGTTTAGGCTGCAGTAATTATGTGTTCAATGCAACGCCTTAAATTAACAGGTCTCCATGGAAAATTCTTGACTTTTTGATCCTTCCAAGTTTTGCTGAGCTGACCTAGCAGGACACTTTCCTTTTCTTTTTCTGTGTTATTTTGAGTACTAACTAGATGTATTTTCTTTACCAAATGGTTTTGTCATACTTCATTGGACAGTTTTAGTTGGACTGAATGGTCAGCCTGCAGACACAACAGAGTAAAGTCCATGTGGCCAGCAGCTGTTTTGTAAAACAATGTGGAGATGAGACAAAAGCGCCTTGTCAAAAACATTATCAAGAATGGTGAAATACGATAAATGTCTGAACTGACTGCAAACAATTGTACTATTTTGTCATAGTGACCAAAAATATACACAATATGTAATGTGCAGAGCCTTGAAATAAATACCATCTTAAACATAAATGTTTTGTCTGCTTGTCTAGTAAAATTAACATGACTGTAGCACAGTATCAGTAACCATTAAGATGATTAAAAATCACCCGAAGACATGTATCAAGACATATACAAATAGTCTGTTTGGAACAATCACGTGTGTCTGCAAACAAAAGTACAGTTTCTACACTGCTCCTTCTACCAAAAAATTCCAGAAACTATGAATATGCAAATTGTGTTCATTTCTAAAGTTTTCATGCTGGACAAAAGATGTCTCCTACTTTGCTGTAAAGTTGCATATGTGCACTGGTGGCTTCAAGTTTCTACATCACCTGGTCAGTGATACCAGGTACTTTAAAAACATGAAAAAAAACATGTGAATTAAAAAAGTTATTTAAAATAAATTGCTGTTTATGTCTTGTAATGGGTCTTTTTTACCTCTACTTGCTGTGCAAAAGTTTTCAACTTAGTTTCAACTTAATATGCTCTAGTGGATGCCTTCATTTTAAAGCACTGACTCATGCTTATTTGTGCTACAAATTACCGATGCAATGAGCCAATAAGAAGTGTTTTTATTTTATTTTCCTCACTAAAAACTCAACGTTACACATTACAGTTCAGCCTAGGCAGGTTATTTTCATTAAATAAACTGCTTATTTTTCAGGGGCTGACCCCAGAATTAATTTGGGATAATATCTTCCAAGACTAACAGCAGGAATTATATAATTAAATACATTTTCAGTATCACAGGACAATAAAACCACTTTGTGACCGAGTTATTATGGCCAAGTTCTTATCAGAACATCACATTGGCCTTGTTTATTTAGATCCGCATTTGGACAGTTTGCAGTGTGTACTATTAGTACTTGTCCTCGTGCATCATCAATTTGACAACCAGTCCAAATTCCATCTGACTCATTGTAGATTTGGTTGTGCCAAATGACAAATGCCTTTGTATCGCCTATTATATTATTAGCAATAATAGTGCAAAAGGATGATATTCGATCCCCCTAAAGTCAATAGGCGTTTCTCACAATAATTCCATTAAACTTAAAAGGAAAAATTTGGTCCTAAACATGATTGTTTGGTTATAGTGCTGTTACCACAACATAGCAATAGATAAACTTTTCACCAACAAGGTGCTTTTTTTTTTTTTTGGTTGGATAACCATTAATTAGTGGGTAAACAGCAGGAAAACCAAACTTTGGCCTGTGCTCACTGCAAGTTACACCTGCAGACATTGCATTCATTGAATCAATATATTGACAACAATTCTCTAAAATTACCAAAATGTTGATATTTAGGGAATATTTTATCCTGTGGAAAAGTAGAAAAGAACATGTAGGAGCGGTGGTGGTTTGTTTGTTTTTTTGTCGTGTTCATTTTGTGTTTGCAGAATTTGTGTTGTCTTCCTTACCGGTAGGTGGCGCTGTTACGAATACTAGCTGCTTATTGGTGTTGTTTACGTCCGGGTCGTTCGGTCGTCGGCTTGTGGTGGTGGTGGTGATGGTCATGGTGATGTTTTTGGGGATTGTGATATATTTTTGAGTGCGACCAAAGCTATACACATTGGGAAAAGTATTTTTCTTCAACTGTGGTGTTTGACCCGTGTTTATACCGCCACGATGACTGAGGTAAGCCGAGGTTTGAAGTCTTTTCGGGGCTTTTTGTTCGCTCCCGCTCCGGCGCTACTAAAACGTTGGGCCCGGCTAATTCCTGAACCGCGTTACCATAATGACACGATTTCTCCTCTTCGTACCTTTTTTTTTTTTTTTAAATATATATATGTAGAATAGAGTCGTGTATGCATGTTGCAGTCTGTGTAATTTTGATTTAATATATTTTAAGACAACTGTTCTCTTCTACAGGACGTCCAGAAGCACTCAGTCCACACTCTGGTCTTCAGGTCTCTCAAAAGGACGCACGATATGTTTGTGTCCGATCATGCGAAATCCGTCGCCATGGATGATGAAAGGTAATTATGGTTATTTAGATTAAAACCTGTTGATGAAGTTTTTAAACTTCATTTTCTTTTTGTTTTTACAAGGATTCACAACTATTAAAACTGGTGTAAACCTTATATATACTGTGAAAACCTGTTCTTTGTCTCAAACGTTAGACTGGTCCATTTTTGACTAGTTCAAGTGCAGCAGTTTTTGCTGTAGATTAGACAACTGTGATTACTAGAGAGAATAAAACTGTTAAAAATTGCACGTTTCTATTGTTTTGATTATGATAAACATAAAAAAAAGTATGTTTAGTACCTGTTATGTTATAATATAATATTATATTGTATAATATGTGAGAATGTGTGTAACATTTAGGAGAATCTGTTGGGTATATTTATTAAAATGTAGATATAGAAACTGAATATAATATTCATAGGTATGTTTTAGTATATAATCACCTGAAAATAAGGACAGTTGCACTTTTTGTTATATTAGAATGAGTTTTTTCTACAGTAGCCCAGAAGAGACAAAACAAATACTGGCTCTACATTGGGTCTTTCGCATTTTTCACAAGTTTTGCCGCCGCCGTAGTTTCTCCTGCAGTCTTGGAAGGCTGAGCTGTATTCAGATGGTCACAGACTGCAACTAGATGGAGCTGAATCCTGCTCCGTTAAAGGGTGTATTCCCAATATTAAAACATCTATCGGAATATGTCGGACGTAGGGGCGGATATAATGAAATAACTGTGGATGGTTTTTTCATCAGTGTAATGGAGTGTATTGATTTGTCAGGGTCAGGTATTTCATTCACTGGATTGACCCAGCACTTGATTTTTAATGTATATCCGTGTTGTGAGATAAAGCGACAAAGATAGAATCTCGTATCCATTATTGCCCACAAAATAACCATGTCATTGCTGTATGAGCAGAGCGACTGGATAAGTGATTTTGAAAGAGAAAATGATGCATCGGTGTCTCCTGTATTTCCAGCTTCAAGATAAAGATGGATGTGAAACTGAAAGCGGACTATGGTGCGGTTTTACACATGCCTGTCCTGAAGGAAGGAAAAGACAGAGTCTCACAGCTTCCTGGCAGTTTGCACCAGATCTACACACAACCAGGTGAGGAGGGAACAAACACTGCATTTTACACTCAGTATGATAACAGTCGATTGTTGCAGACATTTTATTTTCAGGCCTCCAGAAAGCCCAGTATTTACTTTTATAATTTTAAGATCATGTCCTTGTTGTTTTCCTGAACTCTGAAGCTGTGAAACTCATTTGTGGTGTGTGTGGTTTCCCCCCCCCCAATGTGTTCCAGGTGATGACCCAGAATACCTGATCACCGGGACACATGCTTATCCCTCTGGACCTGGTAACCACTATGCTATTATTTTAACCAAGCTGCAGGCTTGTAGTTGTTCTGCTGCCATTTGAAGAACGGTGTGGGCTTTATTCTATTTATATCTATTTATTCTGTTCTGTTCAACAGGAGTAGCTCTGACTGCCGACACAAAGATGCACAGGAACCCAAGTGAGGGAGGAATCCACTCTATGGCGCTGGCTTTGCCACCCTCACAAGCCAGGTAAACCTTTTTTTTCCCCCTCCACAATGTGTAAGTCGAGTCGGTTGTTGGCAGTAATTCGGCATAAACACTTATATACAACAATAGTCACGTTGCTGTCGAATTTTAGGCAGGACGCAAGCCGCACTGCATCCAGCATCAGTGACATCCATCGACACGCAGGAGGAGCAGAGAGATCTCACCCTCCGTCAACGGCTATGGTAGGTCGCAGTGTATTTCCACATTGACTTGTCTTGTTTACCCCTTGCTGTAAAATCCCTAAGAGAATTACAGAGCTGATAACAAATCTGTTTATGTTAGTCGCTCATGGAGGGAGGCGGCACCAGAAATTCTTCGCTCATGAGGAAAGCACCAACCATGCCCAAACCCCAGTGGCATCCACCATGGAAACTGTTTCGGGTAACTACAAATTGTCATTACTTTTTAAATTATTGCTGTATTTTTCTTTTATTTGTAGTTACACTTAAGGCATCTGTGCCAAAGTGCCATCTGGGATGCGTCCGGTTATTTTTTATAAAAGTTGTACATTTTGTCTCACAGGTCATAAGTGGTCACCTTGGCTGGGTGAGGTCCATCGCTGTGGAGCCTGGGAATCAGTGGTTTGTCACAGGGTCTGCTGATAGAACCATAAAGGTGAGTAAAGCTGAAAATAACAATCATTTCCTCTGTCAGTTTTTTTATTTTTATTCATTATTTTACTTAGATTGTCTCGATGTATAAGATCAACACAATAAAGTACGAGCATGAAAGCTCCTGTTTGACCTCCGGAGCAGCATTTTGACAAAATAATTTTAATTCAAGGTTTGAATTTACTTTCTATCCCCAGAACTTTAAACCACATCTAATGGTCTTCATCGGTAAATTGAAGTTGGTTTAGGTTTGTCATGTAGTTTTATTAGATTGGTCACATGATGACAACTGAGATGACTTTAACTTACTGATTCAGACTCAGATGTGGTTGAAAAAGAAAACGACGTATGATGTTGGAGCACCTATTTACAATTAAGTGATTTAATTATTTCTAATTTCTATAAACCTGTTGTATTGATAACTTGCTGCTTTTTATTTAATCCATTCAGTCCATTATATTTTAAGTATGTTTTTGCGAGCCTTAATGGTTGATTGCAGCATTATTACACTCTACTGTTAACGGCCATATATTATATATTTTCCTTTGGACCAACACAATCAAAAGCCCTTTTTTCAGTATCTGCAGCTTTTATGATAAAGTCCCTCCAGCTACCTCAAGGTGGCACTCAGGAGACACTATTGCTGTAAATCTTCTAAAATGCTCCTGATATGACGTGATGGTTATGTGCTTTGAACAGATCTGGGACCTGGCCAGTGGGAAACTGAAACTCTCCCTGACTGGACACATCAGTACGGTGCGCGGTGTGGCTGTCAGCAGTCGCAGCCCCTACCTGTTCTCCTGTGGAGAAGACAAGCAAGTCAAGTGTTGGGATCTGGAGTACAACAAGGTATGACATTGTAGTAATGAGAGAGAGCTTAATGTGATTGTTAATGTGTGCATTCTAACAATGACAATCTCTGTATTAGGTTATCAGGCACTACCACGGACACCTTAGTGCTGTGTATGATTTAGACCTACATCCAACTATTGACGTGCTGGTGACGTGCAGCAGAGATGCCACAGCGAGGGTAAGCTCATACTTTGCATATTTGCCCTTGAATGTATGAATGATAACTTGAATAATGAGAGATTCGGGCAACAGGGATCCAGTTTCTTCATCATCTGGTCTGGTCCTGGCCACGCTTTGCCGTCTGTGGTTTGAGTTCAGTTCTTTATCGCGTGTTATGATTTCAAGCATGAGTAACTTCTGGCTATCAGATGTCTGTGCCTGTCACTGTATACCTATACAGCTATTGTTGAACAATGGAGTGGTAAATAATTAAGAACATACACGAATTAAAGAGAACTCTTCGCTTTCACTTGGTCTTGGTGTAGATTTCTGATGTGTGTGTCCAAGTTCAAATAGCATTCATCTCTCCTCAACTGAAAGAGCAAAAGTGTCAGAATGGGCTGTTGTTTGGAGAAGCCATTCTTCCATCAGAGGACTGTAGTTGAATAGGATGTGTACGTAATCAGGCCTCTGCATGGTTCATCAATGAAACTATATGGATTTCCTCTCTGTCTATGCAGGTGTGGGACATCAGGACAAAAGCTAACGTGCACACACTAACCGGCCACACCAACACTGTGGCCACAGTGAGATGTCAGGCTGCAGAACCACAAATTATCACTGGTAAACTTAAATCTAGTAATACCAAACAAATGGCTCTGTATCATTATTAAGTGTTTTAGTTCAGCTGGCTTTTAAATATTAATCAGAGCTGATTTAACCTCTCGCAGGCAGCCACGATTCAACCATCAGGCTGTGGGATTTGATTGCTGGAAAAACCAGAGCAACTCTGACAAACCACAAGAAATCTGTCCGAACTATTGTGCAGCATCCCAGACAGTAAGTTCCCTCAGTCGCCCAAACCCAACATGTAGTGTTTCATTAGCTAATGTTAAGTATATTGCTGAAACAATTAAGTAAGTATGCTAAATGTTAGCTGGCTTCTGCTTTTTAAGATTTGTTGTTTTCCAGTTGTGTATCATATTAAATTAAATTAAATTAAATTAATTTGGGGTTTTGTTTTTTGAAATTGTATAGACCTAAAGCTTAAATTAACAATTAATCAACAAATGAATTATAAAGAATAAGCCCTTCTTGAGGTATTAGTAACAGTAGGACATTTGGGATTATATAACACCTATTATACCATTATGAAAACAGATAAAGAGCTTGTAATGTGCTTAATGTTGTCCTTTTATTTCCTGTGTTTTTTATAGATACACTTTTGCCTCCGGTTCTGCTGATAACATCAAACAGTGGATGTTCCCAGATGGCAACTTCATCCAGAACCTGTCGGGCCACAACGCCATCATCAACACTCTGGCTGTTAACTCTGACGGCGTGTTGGTGTCTGGAGGTATTCACCGCTCTCACTTATTTCCTTAACTGCCTCTTTTTTCTACAGAAAATGTCAAACTTTTAATTCTTAATATTACATTTATTTGGGTGAAGGCTGAAGGTGTTGGATTAAAAACGCATTAAGTGTTTTTTTTGTTCCCTTTGTAGCCGACAATGGAACCATCCACATGTGGGATTGGAGGACGGGCTACAACTTCCAGAGGATTCATGCAGCCGTGCAGCCTGGATCTCTGGACAGCGAGTCGGGCATCTTTGCCTGCATGTTCGACCACTCAGAGAGCAGACTGATCACCGCCGAGGCCGACAAGACCATTAAAGTATACAAAGAGGACGACATGGCTGTAAGTTGTACTGTTTTATTTAAAGTCTCTTTGGATTTTAGTGTTAGTTTCCAATAAGCAGATAGATAATTTGACAACTGTGTTTTCTTTTTTGCAGACGGAAGAAAGCCATCCAATCAACTGGAAACCGGAAATCCTGAAGAGGAAAAGATTCTAATGATTTTTTTATTTGTTCATTTTGTCACAGTAACAGTTTTATTTCTACCCATCAAGTTTTGCTTCCTACGGCCTTTTCATCAGGCAAACTTCTTCGTAACTAATGTGTCTTTTGTCAGAGGCGACTACACGCTGAAGTTAAAAGTTCAACGGTCCCATTTTATTCCAAAAACCATTTGCAGTCTTCATTGTATGACATTAATCCAATAAGGTGGCCATCTTGGACTGCCAGGAAGCACCCTGAGTGTTTGTTCTTGATGATGACGGCTCTCTGATGGCTCTGGTCCGTCTGATCCACCAACAGCAGCCACTCTTCAGACACCGACGGACTGGCCTCGGAGTGGACCTTGTCACTGCTGGGGTCAAACCCTGTATTGTTTGAGGAAAAAAATAAAAGTTTTTGTATTGACTCAACAGAATTGCAGGTTGTACAGATATGGAAACAAACATTGCCCCTGTTTTTCTGGCTTGCAATTTGAAGTTTATTTTGCTCCATTTAATAAAGACCACATTTTTCACATACGTGCTGTTTCTTTTCTTCAGTAAAGATTAGTTTCCTGCACTTACCGAGATATCTGTTGGTGACAACGTTCCTGTAGTATTTACAGCCGCTACCCTTAATCTCCTCCCAGTAACTGTGATCTCCAGGTGACTCATTGAGCTCCACTGTGTTTCTGTCATCAGTCGGGTGGGTTAGCTGCTCACCTGTCAAATGTCATGGCACAAGAGGATGCTCATAGGTTGTGCTCGGATGTTTTCAGGATACCTTTATTCGTGCATGTGAAATAGAATCTGGTCACGTAAGTCTACATTGTTAATCACACAGTTCAATGTGCAAGTCTCAGATCACTAAAGATTAAAAAATAAATACATTTTGTGATCTCCCTCAAGTAATGTATAGCCATGCAGTTAGAGAACTATAGCTTGGATAAACAACAGACTTCACTGCCATTGAAACTACCTTCTACAAGGAGTCCATATGAAACACCCATAAGATGGTGGTGTTGGTCAGTTGGTCCACCACTTTGGTCTAGACTGAAATATCTCTAACTAATTATTGGATAGATTTTCACAAAATATTGGATTAATTGTTTAATATCCATATCTACCTGAATCATGAAGGTAGAGCTTTGAGAGAGCATGGCGAAACCCTCTGCCCGGTTTTCTCTTCAGGCAAGGTTTTGATGGTTCTGGATGATCAACCTCCTCACCCTGAGGTTCTTCAACTACCAGGAGGTTACCGGCGTTAAACATGATCTCCTCCTCCAGTGACCTGACACACATCTCAAATTCCTCCTCATCTTTTTCTGCATTTCTAAAAAAGAACATTGACAGCAGATGTAAAAATGTTCCAATGTCTAAAAATCACTTGATTTAGCCAAGAAATACTGAGTTTACATCCTTTGCACCTTTGGATAGAGTTTAGAAATACGTCACCCCTGCTCCTCTAAAGGCCTCCTCACCTGAAGTCCACCCACAGCAGGCCTGCAGTGATCAGTCCGAGCCACTCACTGGCCTCCCAGTTCTTGGTCAGCATGACCGGCACCATGATGACCTCCCTGGAGTCTGCGTAGTTCAGCTCTTTCTTACAGCTGCGGGACGCCTGGTAAGCTGGTGTCATGAAGGGACAAATCACCACGGCCTCCTCCACACCTGCAGCCATCCTGAGAACACACACAGCTTTTGCTCAAAGAGACTGTATATTAATTGATCTAACTCCCAACATGTGAAAACATATGCATACATGAATTAATCCCATCAATGATCCTGATAGAGGTTTAAACACACTGCTCTCTACTCACGAGTCGTTTATGTTCCCTGTCACCCCTCCTTCGATATCCATCCACACTGGCAGGCCATCATCTTTGAGGCGGTCGTGTATCTTTTTCACAAGAGCCTGATCATCCCACTGGTAGGAGAGCATAATATGAGATGGCATCTTCCCTCCTTTTCACTAAAACTGAGTGAGAAAACAATCCTGTGTAAAGCGTCTATGGAGGAGTTTTCACAGTTTGTGGACGTTTCGGAATAAAGTGACCCAGACAAAGGGAGACTCAGTATCTATGCTGCTTGTTTACTCAGGTATACAGCTCAGGTGACATCCGTTGCTTGGTTACAGTGCTTGCAAGCACCGATGGGAGAATGCATGATGGGTACTAAATCCTGCTGGACCAATGGGATCACAAAAATAAAGGTGCTACATGACCAAAGAAGGAATATAAAATGAAATGCCTCATGTAATCTGAGGTGTGAAAATGTACCAGAAAGGTTTTTAAAAGCTATTTGACTTTTGTGGCCTGGTGAAGGAAAGTGTGTCCCAGTTATTTTTTCAGTTCTCCAGGATATTTTTGGATTGATTTAGAAAATGTTTTGACACAAACACTTCTATAACACTGTTATAAAACTGAACCAACTCCATGTTTGGTGTTATGTTGAGCTTAATATAATAGATAAAATAATTGTTATTTGTGATTCATCAAAATGGTAACATTCATCAATCACAATTTCTTTCATTTATAATTATAATATAATGGTTTTAAATGAGTTGTAATAAGAGCATACTGTACATTTCTGTATTAAATTGTGAAATAGGTGTTTGTGATACTATTGTATGTACACAGTACTTTTTTTATTGCACTATATTCCCCAATGCTGCTGTGTGTAACTTGAATTTCTCCTATGGGGGATTAATAAAGGTATATCTTATCTTATCTTATTTCATGGAAGCCTGGATTCTGTATAGGATTCAAAGCTTAACTGTCAATATGCACTGTAAAATGACATTCTTGGTTTGTCGCCTCTCTGATATACTTGATCTAACTCAAATTTGTCTTGTTTTTTTTCTTGCTGAAAGTGCAACTTTTTTACCAGTAGAGGGAGCCACCCAAACACACGGACACCTGCCAAGACTAAAACCTCATTTATTTAATTTACTCATTTAACCACTTCACCAAAGGCACATCGCAGACTGTTTTCGCTCAACTTTCCCACTACAGCTCAACTTTTCTGCACACGTTGTGATCTTCAACAGGTCAAACTTACTATGCCACCTGTCAGCACGCGGCACTGTGGGTAATCTCTCGGCCTAATTAAATCTTAAGCAATCAGGGCCACAGATGGAGCCGATCAGCGTGGGACGTGCCGCCTGCCAGGAGGTGTGTTCAGTGCGCACAGTTGGTGCTCTGTGGCCACTCGGTCAGTGCCGTGATAATGTGAAGAAGCCCAGGGGATTTGTGCTACTAGATGTGTGGATTTCTGCTCTACAAAATCACGCAACAAGCTGCTGAAATATTGTGATGGAGAATGACTGCTGGCTGTTTTCATGCGCGCAAAAAAACCAAAGAAATGCACGGTGCGTTTATCTGCTTTTTTTGGGGAAAGGTGCTCTCAAATGTGATTGAGGAGTGTGACTTTGACATGGAAATATGTAGCCTGACTTCAACTCTCCAACCAAGAGTTCAAAGTCACGTGTGAAGGAGGAATGGGTCGCAAAAATGCCGCAACTTCGCTCCTTTGGACGCTCGTCCTGTCGCTGCTTTGCGCTCAGTCGCTCGGGCAGGTGTTCAACCTGACGCTGTCCGTTAAAGAGGGGTTGCCTGCCAAAACCATCGTGGGAGATCTGGGAGCGGGGTTAAGCAGGCCAAGCACTGGATTCTTCATCTCAGAGAGCAGAGACTCTTATGTGTTCAGAGACTTGGAAATAGACGCAGACACGGGGATCATCTCCACTGCTGTGATCCTGGACAGAGAGAGCAGAGATAAGTATGAGTTTGTGGCCGCCACTCTTACAGGTGAGATGATAAAGGTGAAAATAGAGGTGAAAGATGTGAACGACCACTCACCTGTGTTTCCCTCTGAGGAGGTTAACTTGGAAATATCAGAACTGAGCCCCCCGGGGAGTCGATTTAAGCTTGAAGGTGCTAAAGATGAGGATGAGGGTGAGTTTGGTACCCAGGGATACAGGATCACAGAGAGTGAGATGGGGGACTTATTCCACCTGGAGTATCGCAGTGGATCTTTGAACCTCCAAAGCCTGGATCTCATCCTCACCAGCAAACTAGACCGAGAAACACAGGACTTCTACGCCCTAACCATTGAGGCCTTCGATGGTGGAATCCCAGCCAGGACGGGGACTCTCCTGGTGAACATCCACGTCCTGGATGAGAACGACAACCCTCCTGTGTTCAACCAGACTGAATATCACGCCTGGCTGCCCGAGGATGCTCCAGTGCTGTCTGCTGTGTGTCAGGTGCACGCCACTGACCTCGACCTCGGTGACAATGGCCGAATCACTTACGAGATAAACAGGCGGCAGAGTGATCCAAATGAGGTTTTCTCCATCAACAAAACCAGTGGGGTGCTGTATCTCAGCAAGCCGCTTGATTACGAAAGTCAGGCTTTTTACGAGTTGATCATCAGCGCGAGAGATAACGGGGCTCAGCCGGAGTACAGCAGCACTTTTGTGGGTGTGAGGGTGCTTAATATCAATGATAACAGTCCCACCATCAATGTGCTGTTTCTTAGTGAGACAGGAGATGCAGTGGTATCAGAGGCAGCAGCGATTGGAGACTATGTTGCACGGATTTCAGTGTCAGACCCCGACTTTGTTGAGGAAAGGGTCATTGTAACGCTTGAGGGGGGCGATGGGAAGTTCACCCTGAAGCAGACAGATGATTTCCTGTATGCTTTGTGTGTCAATGCAGAGCTAGACAGGGAAGAAAATGATCTGTATGAGTTGAAGGTGCAAGCATCAGATTTTGGGAGCCCAACCCTGAGCAGCGCGGTGGTCTTCCTTCTGAGGGTGGCTGATGCCAATGATTGCCAGCCAGTTTTTGAGATGGATGCATACATCATTAACGTTGCAGAGGACGCTCCTCATGGGAGTTCCCTCATCCAGATGCAGGCCCGAGACGCAGATGAGGGTGTCAACTCGGACATCAGATACTCCATCCTCAAGTCCAACCAGGACAACCTGATCAGCATCGACCCGGAGTCGGGCCTGGTCACAACAGCTGCAGCTCTGGACAGAGAGACACAGATGGAGGTTTGGTTCCTGGTGGTGGCAGCTGATGGAGGGGAACCCGCTCTGTCATCCACGGCTACAGTCACTCTGCTGGTGGAGGATGTCAATGACAACGAGCCTGTGTTCCAGCAGCAGCTGTACAACGTGTCCATACCAGAGCACAGTGACATTGGGAGCTGCTTTTTACAAGTATGTTGCTCCCTTTACTCAAAGTAGAGAAAAATAACATGTTCTCACTTACCCTTAGGGGTATCTTTCCATGCAAATAGTTTTGTTTAATTGTACAGCTTTTGAGATGTACATCCGAGCCGGACTTTAGACTGGGGATGCTGGAATTCTAATCTTAAACTCCAGGGAGGTACCACAATGTCCCTCACCCAATAAAATGTAATTGATCAGAATTTCATTTTTGGTGGTCAAAGCACTGAAAATTAACTCTGAATTATCCACAGAACGATCTGTGAGCAGCTTTCCTAGTAATATGTGTTTGGTAGAAGGCTGTTCCAATGAAAATTGTTGGCAATGAAGTGTGTGGCTCATTGTGTAACCACATTATTAAATGTAATTTTTCTATGCTATGAGCACCACAAACAAAATTATGTTCACTTCAATTTTATTGGAGTGGAGGCAGATATCTAAAACCTAAACAACTGACATACAATCTGCAACTCTTTTGGTCATCTATAAGTAATTTCAGTTATTTGCCAACTTTTCACCAGTTCCATTGTGATTATTTGCTGCTTTTCTCTATTTTACATAATTGTTAACTGAATATCTTTGGTGTTTAGTCCGACAAAAACAAGCAATTTGAAGATGTCGTCTTTGGCTCTGAGAATAGGCCCCTTTCAATTTTTGACATTTTCTAAACTCCAGAAGATTAATCTGTCATAAAAAAATAATCTTTAGTTGCAGCCCCACTTGCAAAACTATCTGCATGAAAAGACATCACACAAAGACACCAGAGTCAGGAGTGAAAATATGCTCAGTTTTAACAACACAGTTCAGTAACTTTAAATTTGACAATCATCTCAGCCATATATCATCTAGTTTGGTTTTACAAAAAGGTTTAAGAGTTGGTTGCAAACCAGACCAGTACCTCCAGTGTGAATATTCAACATCGTATGCTCTCTGTTTTGCTTTCTCTTTCTTACGTCTCTTAAGACAAAAGTAGCCTTCAGTCTGTATGCACAAAGACATCAGTGTCCCTACTAAACACACACAACACACACACACACTCTTCGCAGTTCAGCACTGTGGCGTTGATATGACAGATCTGACGCCTGGTACCACAAGCTTAAGCCCATTACAAAAGACGCCTTATTTACCAATTCATTTTCTGAAAACATGAGTGTTATTTGGCAATAAATGTGATGATATAAGAACTGAAACTAGTAATAAATACTATTTTTCAGTGACATCTTTCGCTGTAGAGTGATCTAGCACAAGCTTGAGCTATAAGAATGTGTGTGTTGTTAGGCCCTTTACTTTTAAGGCAGCTTTATGCAAGACAAATTGGCTTTAGAAATGTGAAGAAGTCAAACTAAGCACATTTTCATAATAGATTTATCTGTTGATTTATTTCAGATTAAGCACTGAATTGTCAAAGAAATGTGGAAAATCACAACTTCCCAGTGGTCAAGATATAGTGCATATAGATATATTATGCAGATAAGATAATAATTTTGATCAATGATCAAAAAGATTTCTTATGCATTTTCTTTCAATCAACTAATTATTATTATTTCAGCACTTAATGTAAGATTACAAATGTAGCTATCATAACTCTATAAATGTGTATTGTACTTTAACATATTTTATTTTTTTACACTTACTGCTTGTACTTTGACTGTGTAGCCAACAGTTGACAAACCATCTTACAGTACATATAATATTAATAATAATAATAACCTTTTTGTAATCAAAATGTATTTTATTTTCCATAAGGAACAAGATAACTGACAAACAGTGGTCTATAAAAAGCAGGTGACTTCTGTGAAGAGTAAAAATTCTGCAGATGATAAATATGTTACTGTCTTTGACAACAGACATTGTTCCTTATTATGTTCAAGCAATA